ATGGGACAGGCCTCCTCACCTGGCACGCCTTCTGCGACAAGAACGGAGTTAGTGAGGATCAGAGGGCCCCAGCCTCACCCCTCCTCATCACCTCTCTCATAGCCACCCTCTCAGGTGCTTTCTCTGGTGGCACCATCGCCAACTACATCTATGGCATCCGGGCATGGCACATCCTGCATGGGGTCCCATGGAAGATGGTCGACCCTGAACTGGAGGCACTGCTCAAGGCCGCAGAAAAAGCAACCCCACCCACGTCAAAGAGGAAGAAACGCCAGCCATACACAAAAGATTTCATGGTTGCTATTCGCGGTCAGCTAGACCTCTCAACGCCCCTCCATGCTGCCGTTTATGCCTGCTTGACAACCACATTCTGGTCAGCTGCCCGAGTTGGTGAGTTCACGGTCAAAAACCTGACAAGCTTCGACGCAAACAAACATGTCAAACCCTCAAACGTTACAACCACGACAGACCAGAACGGCTTCGAAACAACCGAGTTCTTCATCCCCTCCACAAAGTCTGAACCCACCAACGGAGAGACAGTCTCATGGTCGAGACAGAACGGAGACACAGACCCGGAGACTGCATTCCACAACCACATAGATGTCAACTCACCGCCAAATGGTGGCCACCTCTTTGCGTACAAAGTAGGCTCAGGATACAAGCCACTGACAAAGACTGCACGCATCATTCATAATTCTCACCACCGCAGCACGAGCAGCTGGCCTAGAGCCACTTCAAGGCCATGGGATCAGGATTGGGTCAACACTCGAGTACCTCCTGAGGGGGATTCCATTCGATGTGATGAAAGCAAAGGGAAGGTGGGCAAGTGACGCCTTCCTCGTCTACCTCAGGAAGCATGCCCAAATCCTCGCACCATACATGCAAGCAGACCCAGTCCGCCAGGAAGAATTTATCAGGCTAACCATGCCTCCACTACGCCGCCACTAATCAGGTAAGCAACCCCTGTCATGCTCCTAGCAGAGTGGGCTCGAGACTCGCTCGATGCGTCGCAGGACTCCTAACAATTGGGAATCGTGCTCATCTTGGCTTCTTTCACAGACCAGGAGCTCCTGCCGGGCACGAAAGCCTTCGGGCTTTCCGCCCATATATTACATCCAGCACACTGCCATTCCATACACCTATCCCTCTTACCCTAGTCTACCATCGTTAATCTAATGCTGTCACTCGCCAGACCTGCCTCAGCGCCATTCATAGACAACACATTCATTTATGTAGCCCCTGAGCTTTTGACTTTCCGCCCCCCGCACGTGATGGACCGCATTACATAAACATTGTTTATGAGGAGGCGCACCGCCACTGTGAAAGCCGGTTTGCTTGTCACTGTTGACTCCCTGTATCGGGCCAGGAAGTTCATGCAAATCACTTTTTTGCGCGTATCTGGTACTCTTTTGCCCAAACTCCTGTACAAATCGAGAGGATTTCATGATGTGCAGGGTACCTAGAGCCTCGATGTCGTAAATACACGCTCTAAGGGTATAAATGAATAGTGAAGTCAATTAAAGAGGTAGAGTTTCACCAAATCAGTCTCAAGGCGACCTGTCTGACACCTCAAATATTTCACAGAGCACAAAAAAAATGAGGGTTGCCTGATTGTTTGTTGTGAAAAAGTGTTCTCAATTTGGACGCGCTCACAAGTCAATTAAGCGCTTATGTAATACGTGTCCTGCCGCGTCCAGAAACGCGATGACAGCAGAAAACAAGCCTCCCTGACCATGATGTGCTTGCTATGCTCTCTATAATCACTCCACATTTCTTCTAATATTCTAAAATGGCTCACTCTCTCAAGAAACAAAATAAATGAAGCAATGAATGCACAACAGGCTGCCGTCAAGTTGCAGCGGAATCTACTGGGAGACAGGACAAATTTTCCTGCCAGATCCACCCATCGCACTTAAGAAAGAAGTTGAAAGGCATTTAGCTCATGGAAGTAACGTTCTGCTCATCCAAGATATGCTTGCGGAGGAGGATGGTGATGTGCAGATGCTCGGGCCTGACTCTGAGGATAATGATGATTGTGACTTAGACTATAATGATGATCATGTTTAATTATAGCACAACTATCCAATGGCAAAATATAAAGTACATTTCAAGTGTTTAAGCCTTCTACAAGCAACTAACGGCCTTCCGAGGCGACTTGGGATGGATTTGCAACAATTTTGGTGGCTGTGCGATTAGTCATCAGCCGCGACCTTTCCGAGTGATGCGCCTCCCCAAAAACTGTTTTAAACATGCTGGTTCGCGAATCAGTTCTGTTAGGCTCGTGACCAGCCGTTTCTTTTAAACTCCGCAAGGCTTCGTCAAGAAACGGCTGGGAGAAACGAATCGCTTTTAAGGGAGTCATGTTTGTCACGCAGGACTTAGTGAAATTTCGCCCTCGCCCCCTCCCACCCCACATCGTTAATACCTTTCCCCTTACTCTCAACTTACCAAATGTTGTAATTGTATGTGAATAATGTAAATTAACATAATAGACAAATTTATTCTTATCCAATGAGTGAAAGGGATGTTGGGGCAAGCACCTCCGTTGTCATGCTGCCCCACAACTTTCCTCTCTGTAAAGGACGAAGGTGCGTTCAGTCAGCTCATAATAGGGAGATAAACCTCCTCATGACCCTCCACTGGCATTTGAGAAGCAGCTGGTTGTGAATGACAGGCAAGGATGGCAGCCCTGTGATAGACTCTAACATCTGGATTCCGGATGTTCACAGTCGGAATCGTGCTCGATGCTTGTGCTAGTGGGTCAATCTGAAATAGATATGCTGTAGTTCTGTTGTTGTAGAATCAATAGGCACATTAAATGAAGTGTGGCAAGTCAGCGACTAGTGATTTGCCGGCTCGGCCTGGAGGCCGTAAGCCGGCCTAAGCCGGCCGCCAGAAGCCGGGCCGAGCCTGAGCCGTGGGTACGGCTTTGGGCGGCCTACGGCTCAGGCTTCGATAATCCCAAGCCCGAGGCCGTCCCCCAGGCCGTCCCCCAGGCCGCCGTGCGCCCCGCGTTGGTGGTCTCTGATTGGCTTATGGGATACAACTGTACAGTTCATTTCCGGTGAGTATAAATACCTTTATTGGTGAGCCGAACTAACCAATCATGACTTCTCGTCCCACCTGTACCATTCACCCATCCATGAAGCTGACTGCTAATAATGCAGGCGATCTCGAGCTTCCGTCGCCTCGTCACCTCGTCGCAACGACCTCCCTTAGCCGTCAATAGCCATCTCGCCATTGGTTCTTCCTCGACATCAGCCCCATCGTCATCGCCAAGTCCACTAAGCATTTTCGGCTGCCGGTATCACAATTACCAAGCGCCGAAATCGACTATCTTCTCTTCCGCCGCCCGCGAGGTGGTGACCATGGCCCAAGAAGAGAAGGACCTCAATTTCGTAGACAGGCCTGGAGCCGGAGAACCAGGAGAGGGATACAGTGCAGGCCCGGGGCCGTCAAGGATGCAGAAGCTTGGAGACGACAACAACAACGTAGCAGTGGAGTTCAACCATGCAGACTAAGTCCCTGTCACGCTTGGGGACTCCCTTAGAAACGCTTCGTTTCTCCCAGTCGTTATGGGAAGTCACCCCTTTTCGCTCTCCGATTGATGTCCCGCTGATGTTTGCGCCACTGGGATAACCAAACAAACCCGCCCTTTCGGATGCACAACAACTAGAAAAGGAGTGACTCCCATAACGTACTGGTAGCGAGTCTACGGTTCTGTCCCACGCGCCTTCCAATCACTCTTTCCCTTCGACCATCATCTCTGCCGCCGCCATCGTTGTCCACCGCCGCCATATCCTTCACCGCCCACATCCCGCCCACATTGACGCCCCCCAACGACGCCCACCATTTGCCCCTCGTCCAACTTGCGCCTTCGCCAGCGAGTCCCCTCTTCCATCACTGTGGCCACTGTCGTCGTGGATGGGGCTCGCGGCGTTTCCCTCGACCCCCTAGGTGGTGGCTCCACTGCGTTTCGTGCTCCCCTCTCAATCACCCCCGTCGTCTACATTCCCGACGACGTGCCTGTGCCACAACCCCCAGCCTCTCCTTGCTACGACGTGATTGATAGAATTTCGTATATTTTGTGCTACATAACTTGAAATATATGCCACATAGCTCTTCATAAATTCCGTTCTCAGTGGATGAGAGCCCCGAAGCAATGGATAGATTACACTCGGTTTTTTCGCTGTTTGACTTAGAAATTTTTGGAATCTCGCCAATTTAGCCCCTGTCGGAACCGCGTCTGTCACATGTGACTTATGCACGTGCAGTCGATTCTCGCGTCAGTTCCTGAAAGGTTTGGTCTTCCACCTCTCATCTCGCACCTCGACATTCTACCTCTACTTATCGACCTCTTGTTCCCTGCATCTCGATCTCAAATTGCAAAAGTCTTGAGATCGCGTTGTCAGAGGAAGAAGAAAAGAAAGGAACCGTCGTCACAATGCTGAGTTCGACGGCCACAGAAGCGCTACGGTCGCAAGTAGCATCAAAATGGCAGGAATCCTTCTCGCGCATAAATCGAGATAATCCTGGGATATCAGGGCTTATAGGTTTCAGTGAGGTATGCACATGCTCTTTGGCCGTTATGATCTGCTTTTAGACAACTGTAGCGCAGGCATGGGCACTGTCTGTTCAATTTCTATATCCACAAGATATCAGGGTGTCTCCACCTCCTGACGCTGACACTTACGGTGAGTAACTTACTTCTGCAACCATAGAGATCTCCCCGCTTATCTACTATAAGAAAGAAACCTGATTGCTATTCGGCCGGCCTTCAATCTTGTTAGTCAATGTCGGCGACTTCCAGCCTTACTAGAGAACTTTCTCGGTCAGTCAGGACATTCCTACACTTTGAAGTTGATCCAATTGACATGAGGAACTGCAGAGGATATGCGGAAGAACTTCCACTTCATAGAGGCAGAGATCAACGAGTACATGACGCGTTACGATGTGAGTGATTCCTTCCAGTGGCGAGACTCTCCCTGAGTCCAAGCGTATCCAGGAGTCGGAAAATACTAACGAGATCGAGGCCCTTGTTGCACGTCTGGTACAATGGTGTCACGCATGGGAGCCACCACAAGAGTGAGTTCATGAATCTTTCCCTCCGCCTTCCTAACACCAACCAAGTCTGGATAGCCTCGGAGCGACCATCCTCTCATCCTACACCCTGAACTTCCAAACACGCGTTTTTTCTGCCCTTCCAGCCAACTTTACAGCCGCCTTCAAGAACCTCTGCAGATCTCTGCTCGCCCCGCCACCCTACGACGAAGATGGCCAGCCGCGACAGTGGGACTCGTCCATTCACGCAACGACATGGCGGAATTTCGACTTTTTAGGAATGATGGATCGATACGAGAGCATCATCGCAAGTGTCGGATATGAGTACATCGAGCAGCATGTGCTGGATACATGCACGGGAGAGTGGTCGAAGCCGATGTTGGAAGACTTACGGACCTGGATGTCGGACAGGGTTGTGCCGTGGATGCTGCATGTGTACGCAAGAGGTGCCACGAGTGGTGCGTTTTTCTTCGCTCAGGTTGATGTATCCCTGCCTACTCCTCTCCTTATAGCCGACGAAGCAAGAACGATGCTTCAAGGTGTTGGTTCCCGTTTTGACTTCCATATCAACAAGACTTTGTGTGAATTACGGTTGGTGTCTTCATCTGCTGACTCTTCATCATTGAACATTTTTTCTGCAGGACAAGAGAGATCTTTAATATTATAATCGACTACCCCGATTCCTTGGGTGCCTTGACAGACCTCCGCGTGGGCTTTCGTCTTCGTCGTCATTATCCCGCGTGCTCATCTTATCTTCGCTGTCAGGATTCTCTGCATCGTACAGACCAACGGCAAAACCTCGTGAAGTCGCTTCGAAATGCGTAAGTTTTTCATTTTCCTTGATCCACTCGGCTTGATTCCTGATACTTTCATTGGCTAGCAATCGGAAACGTCTTCTCCACCCAGGCGCCGACACCAAGCTCATTCTTCAACAATACGTGGCCACGATCAAATGTCTTCGCATCATTGACCCACCGGGTGTCCTTCTCTACAAAGTTGCGGATCCTATCAGAAAATACCTTCGGTCTGTAGCTTTCGCGCTTACGCCCTGCCGATTTCGGCTAACACATTCTCGTAACAGAGAAAGACCTGATACAATTCGCTCGATCGTAGCCAGTCTAGTCGGAGATGAGGATAGCGGCGACTCGCTATTGGACGAAAGCGAGCCCGTCCAGCCTCTCCAGCAGCACGAATTCGAGGACTATACTGACCCTAATTGGGAGCCTGAACCAACGGACGCAGATCCTGGTAAGTTTATTATCCTGCTCTCCTATGCCACTTCATGCCGTTATCGTTGCTCCGTCAACTCTATCTCCATTCCCCCTGTCTCGCAGCGATCTGCGCTCGCTCGCTTCTGTGGCGCCCTAAGCCCCCGCCTGTCCATCTCTGAGCTTTTCCTTGACACGCTGACGATCCCTCCTCGCTTCCCGTACAGAATTCCGGACTAAGAGGTCAAGCGATGTCATCAGCACGCTAGTCAGCATCTACGACTCGAAGGACTTGTTCATCAAAGAGCTCCAGGTACTTCTCGCCCAGCGGCTGTTAATGCTAACGAAAGATGGTTCCGACCGAGTCGAGCGAGAGGTTCGCGTGGTTTTGAGTGTTTAGGCGTAATGAAGCTGACGACGGCCTTCTGGACAGAGAAGGAACATCGAGATATTGAAGGTTCGGTTCGGAGAGGCCGCCTTGCAAGTGTGCGAGGTGATGCTGAGAGATATGACGGATTCAAAGCGGATCGATGTGCACGTCCAATCGCAGAAGACTGTGGGTCGCTTTCTTGATATTTTTGCGAGCATACTTGACATTTTCACATGGGCATCAGTCGGTGGTGCATCCAATGATAATTTCAACGCATTTCTGGCCCGCGCTCGAGTCGAGCGAGCTGGTGATGCCTGGCCAGTTCCAGAAGTATGTTTGCTCAATGAACGTCCTTATTGTGATCTAACCATAGTAACAGGCTCGCAGAAGACTATGCTCGCGAGTTCACAGTCTTCAAACCCGACAAGAAGCTCAAGTGGTTACCTCACCTCGGTACCGTTCAAGTCGAAGTGGAACTCGAGGATCGAACGCTGTCATTTGATGTTCCTCCACTGGAGGCTGCATTCATCGAGCTTTTCTCTCAAAAAGGTCTGTCTCGTATTTCAACCCTGTGTTTTCTGTCATTAGATACTGACATATCTTAAATGCAAACAGCCGTTTGGCAACTCGACGAACTCATGAAAGCTGTTGGCTCCGTCGCTCGAAGTGCAGCCGTCAAAGCTCTATCCACCTGGGTCGACCATGGCGTGCTCAAAGAAGACCCAGAAAATACATTCATCCTACTAGAACGGGAAGAGGAGGGCGGCTCGTCTGGAATCATTCGCGATCCCTCAAGACTCGGTAAGTCTCATCCTGTGTTCTCGTCGTTTGTTCTAATGCATCGAACTCTGTTTCCTTTAGACTCTACTCCACCAGACGTTCCTCCTGTCGCGAGCGTCCAGCAACAACAAGCGGAGCAAATGCGTGTATACTGGAAGTTCATCGAAGGCATGCTTACGAATCTCGGCACCTTACCCCTCGACCGCATACAAACGATGCTCAAGTTTGCGCCGGGGTACGACCAGTCCGTGGATCAGCTTGCGGCGTTCATGGAGGCGGCGAGAAGAGAGGGTCTGGTCGTGGTCCGAGACGGGATGTGGAAGCTGAACAAGTAGGGATCAAAGGTGTTCTTGTTTTGTTTTCCCCATTGAAATTGTAGCCCATAGTATGTATGAATAAACTAGAATTAGGCTTTCGAACATTATTATCAGAAGCAATTACTTAAGTGAGAACTCGAAGCTTGAAAGCAGGACAGCAAAGCAATACTAGTAATACATGATTTCAGAAGGGCGAAAAGGTCCAGTTTTGCAGAATTACTGTCCTTAGGCAGCCTTTGCCTCCTCCACTTGCGCGAGTCGTTCAGCTGTTTCTTGCAACTTCCTCTCCAAGTCTTGATTTGCCTCCTCCAGTTGCTGGACCCGATCGTCCTTGGCCTTCGCTTCGATGGCGCCTTGAGCGAAGACATCGCACAGCTTAAGATACCGTTCCTCCAGTGCCGCGTATTTCTCTTGAAGGTCGTCAGGCAGCTTCGCTCCTTCTCCACCCAAGATAGGCTGACGAGTCGAGGAAGAGGTGGTGGCGTCGTCCATCTCAACATCTGGATGGGTGTCTTCCTCCTATATTGTAAGAAATTCTGAGCTGATAGCATATATAAACACGGAGAGACACTTACGATGATCTTTCGTCGTTTGGAGGCTCGCGTTACTTTGACCGTCACCTTCTTCACCTTCACTGGTTCTTTCGCAGCCTGTAAGGTAGTAAAAAAAGTCAGCAATGAAAACTAATCTGAGTATGTTTATATTGGACGATGTACCTGTCCCTTTCGGTGCTTTGGAGGGCGACCTCTTGCGCGCCGAGGAGGTTCGGGTGCTGCTTGTGGTGTTTCTTCCACCACTTCTTTGGGTAGCTCAGTTTCAGCCTCAGTTTCTTCGCGCTTCCGTTTCGCCAAAACAGCATTCTTCTTCAGCAGTTTCTGATTCTCCAAAGTAGCTTGAGCCTTCTGAGTAAGCCTCCGAGTGCGCTTTGGAGTCTCCAAGTCGGTGGTTGCTGAAGTGGATGGCATAGCTGGTGCTGGAGGAGGCTCACTCTTTCGTCGAGTAGAGGGGCTGCCAACAGCAGTACCATTCCGTCGAGCCAGATGGATCTTGGGGCTGACGGTGCTGGCTTTCTTGTGCTGTTCCGAACGCTGGGCTGTCTGTGTGGTGCCTTTGCCTTTTGGAACGGGGTTCGAACTCAAGGTAGTGGTAGCGCCCGTCAAATTGCGGAGAGAGGGGTTGGCCGTCGTCGTTGCAGCTACTGGGATCTGTGTAGATGCTGTACGGGTCTGACTGTCGGCTCCGGGCTGAGTGCTGGGGCTGCCGAGCTGAAAGATAAATTCGCCAGGCCTGCGTGCCTTGAACTCCTTCCGAGCAAAAACGGGCTTCTTCGCGGTAATCGAAGCTACAGGTGTGGATGGTGCCGACATATCTGCAACCTTCTCCGGGCTCGAACCCTCGGGTTTGTCCCTGGCTTTCTCGGGAGGTTTCGATTGCAGTTCCACCCATTTATCGTAGAGCTTGGTCGCGTCTTCCGCGGATAATCCGTAGTGTGTTGCGGTGGCAGGAATGAGGATGTCGGCCCTCCAGCTACAGACTTTTCGTCGCTTGGAGCAGAGTGCACAGCGGATACCACGGCCGGGGTCAACGGGTACACACTCTTCGCCATTGCGGACGCACAAGTCGCATGGCTATGGTATTTTCAATACTTGACGCATATAAAGTGCACTAGTCATCGTAACGCACCTGCTTCCCTTCCCGCTTTCTGAACTCGACCATTGTTTCGGAGGTCGACTTTAGTGTCGTCTTCGTGAATTCATTGTAATCTGCAAGGTCGATTGTTGCAAAATTTGACGTATTTGCGGGTGAGGGACCTTCTTGCTGACTGACGTCGGTCATCAGAGGAGAATCAGCGCTCCAAGGACGCACAAAAATGAGAGGACAGTGCGATGAACCCTCTTCCCGAGTTGCTGTCGCGCGATACGCGCCAGCCCTGTGCTTGCTGTTGTGTCCGACGCCTCCCGGCCCGTTCTTAGCGACTCGCATTTACGCAACTGCAAATAATCTACTAGGTACCATGGAAAATAGTCTGGTGAAAATACAGAACACGATTTATTCGAAAGGCAGACGAGAAACAATGGGGTCAGAAGTAACAGAATCCCTTCCACCTGCTGGAGCTTGTCCAGAGTCTTCCTAAGAACTCGTACATCGTTATCTTCAGGTCACTCTGCGTCCGGCCCTCGAGCAGTTCGTCGTTGAGGTTCGCAGTCGGATAAAACGCCTTCCCCTCCAGACCACCCCAGTCAATGTCGACGAGCAAAAATTTTGGAGGTGCTTGATGAACAAGTTATCGGAGATGAACTGGGGCCTCTGAGTGTCAGCTCACGATCACCCTACCTGTCCTGGTTGACGGTAAGTTGGAAGAAACTACAACTTGGCTCAAACGGTGTGCCATCGGATTTTGCAAACATTACGTCCTCGACGTGACTCTCGAACCAACGCAACTCCTTCTCTGTCAGAGAAAAATCGTCCCCGCATACGGATAGCATGTAAATGCCATGAGGGTACACTGCCACATCCTCCTCCTCTGAATTGTCTGACGAGTACGAGTTCACTGATTTCCGTTTGCGACGGATAAGTTTCTGCAAGGCCTTAATGGTGATTGAATCGCAATTTTCAATATCGAGGATTGTTAGGAATCGAGCGCGGCTTCGATCCTCCGATAACCAGACCAGCAGTGCGTCATTGAAGCATGGCGAGGATCTGACAATGAGGTCCGTTCCAAACCACGTGTGAAGGATACCACGAAGGTCTGTCGATGCCGGGATGTTTTCCAGAATGACCTTCGAGGAGAAGAACGCATCATCGAAGGGCGGGATGTCGCAGGACTTGAATATCATTGCATCCGGCGCAAATCGGCAAAGGAGGCGGTCCGAGTCGTGGAGTAAAGCCGCGGAGATGAAATTTACACATTTTCTAAGATACAATCGACTATCATTTGTATCTATTAGGTCTGTCTAGGGAGACTAGATCGTCCCACCGACCCTCGAACAGTCGTCCTAGTGACACAAGGCCCGAAGCGTTGAGAGAAAGCGGACGGAAACCTCGATATTCACGAAGGGGTAGCAAGTTGGATGGCAGGTCCCATGACGGACTGATGGGTAAAAGAGAGGAGGGAGGGGCTGCACTAAATCGTGAAGTGAGACTGAATTCGTGAAGATCAGGCGGGCGGTGTTGGAGAAAGAAAGCTGGAGGAGGGAGAGAGGTCGGAAAAAGTAGATCAATGTGCATCGCTCGATATGAGGCGTCAGGGATACCATTAACGTATGCATTCGTGAGAGTTCCAATTCTGCGAACTCCTTTTGCAATTCGGGATTGATGTTGGGGCACCTCGCGTCTGGAGAGGAATTGAACACGGCCACCTGAAGCGGGAGTTCCTTCGACCAACCGAACGAGTCTAACCATGGCGTTGGATCGTCACAAAGGTCAAAAATCACCCGGTCCCAATAGTTCGGAGTGACAGCGAGGATACGACGCCAAAGTCGACATGTCCTTGCCACGGCACAGTGGGGGAAGAGAGCCGCCCATCGCGTTTGCCCAATATCGTCCTCGTCGCCGGACTCCTCGGGTTCGTCATAGTAGGAGAGCTGGAACGCATCAGTTCGGTTCTCGATGTAGAGAAATCGAAAAACACGGGAGAGTAACTCCACAGGAAGGTCGTCAATGGACGCCATGACTAAAGTGATGGCCAAAAATTCAATCTTTTAGGCGGCGTAGGGGAATTTCAGGCACTTACCGGCTATTGGAAGGCACTGGTCGCCCTTTGAATCCAGTGATACGGACAAACAGTTCAACTATGTAGTTTGACGCTTCAAGTTTGAGGGCCGTCTGCTATTGATGATGGACGTTGATGTGCCTACGGTGGGGTGATCGTGCGAATAATGAATGACAAACACACACCCAAAACACCGCAATGAGTGGCTCTGAGGTGCGAGGACAGTTCCGTGGTTGTGCGGCTCTAACCAGTGGGCGCGCGCGACTCGAAGACGGATGGCGAATGCGGGCGCTAAGCGTGGGAACGGGACGAATGAGGCAACGGCGCCTCCGGAATACGAGTGAGAGAGCGAGGAACGAGGGAGGTGAGAGACGGAAAAACGAACTAAATTCTCTATATTGTGTGAGTGTGTAGACATGGATTATATCTATGAAGAAAGAAGAGCCCGGCAAGGAAGATATCCGAGCCGTGGGTGAAGGAAGAAAGAAAAACAGAAAATTTCAGATAAGAATGAAACAGGAATGGAATAGGGGAGAGGCGGCGAGGCGGCAACTGCGTTGATGGGGGAAAAGGCTACCTAACAAGGAAAGGGTGGCGCGCCGAGCGTCTCGGTGAAACGGGAAAGAGAGGGAAAGAGGCGGTGCCAGTCACGGGACGGATGCTTTTGCTGACTGAGGATCTCCGGGTGTGTCGAGGAATCATATGGCTCGATGGGAAAGGTGTCGGGGATCGAGGGGACGACGAGAATGTGATGATGAAGGTCGAAAAAAGGGATTTACCGGGGTCAGGGAGCAGTCCGGCTCATCAACGTCGTCGTCGACTCGTCGTGGTGTGACAACGAAGACTTCCAAGTTCCAATGGAAAGTAATTTCGCACGCCCCTGTCGTCGCGAGGTTGTAACGGACGCCCTAGATTGGAGTCTGCGTGACTATATCTACTTAAGTCTACTTACTTGAGGCAGCACTTCACCCAGAGTCATGCGCCGAGTCGACACCAGACTCCGAGGTGCAGCTCGCAAACGGTTGTGAGCCCTCGTGCAAGACTAAGGCCTTTGGAAATCTGCCTTCCTCTTTCTCTCGATGACGAGCAACTAAATTCCTGACTTGCGAGGGTGACTTGTGCCACAAAGTGCTGGAACATAGGGCCGCTCCAGCGGCCGCATTGATATGCTCGCTCAATGATCAAGTTAACAGCAGATGGAATGAGAATAACGATAATATGGCTAACTAAACTATGTCGCACGTTCGGGTACCGTCCACCTATCGCAGGTGCCAAAGCGCGAAATTTAAAAGGTAGAAAGAGCCGACTCAGCCAAGACACTCAGAGTCACACGACGAGGAAGAAGGGTAAAACCCTAGGCCCGCAGGCATGAACCCCACAGGGCGTCCAATTAAAGCGTGCGCTTTGCGCCTGGGCCGCCTGCAGGTCGAATCATGCGTCTGGCCGATGGTATAGTGTACTGCAGGGGCATGGCACCGGAGACTATGGCTCGCCACGCACCCCAAGTGCTCGATAACCAGGTGATTATTGTCGCCAGGAGGCTGAGTGACGATGCAAGAAAAGGAAGCAAGGAAGAAGTTAATCTCGGTAAGTACTTTAGAGTTGAAATTCATAGGATGCGGTAGGTAAGGTCGCTTTGAGGTCGGTCGGATGGCTTGAGTCTCGAGGTGAGATGAAGACAGAGTAAATAGCCGGAGTACAGCCCCGAGTGGAAGAAGGCGAGAGCGAGTCGAACTCCTACATAGCAGACCGCGAGGGTTCACGTTAACTACGGTTAGTGGGTCCGGGGTTCCGATGAGTGCAGGACGCGTGACGATTTTACATAAAGGCAGGGTGGGCACTGGGGAATGCCATAGATCCTGTAGGGAGGTTCGCGCGGAGGTAGTTTTGTGTCAAGTGGGGGTCTAAACTGTTAGGCAGTCGGGTACTTGGTTTGAGCGTTGTTTGCAGACTAAGAAGTGTAGCAAGACTTCCTGAGAGAGCCAGCCGAGCTGGAGGCTGTTCCTTCATGAGGATAAGTCGATCGAGGTTTCGGCAAATGGATATGCGAATGTAATATCTGCCCAGTAGACGTGGGAGGGGGGCGTACAACTGGATCCAAGACTCGGAACGAGGCGGAGTGCTTGGGGCGTGAATTGAGGATGTGAGTTTAAATTTGAAAGAGTACTGTATACTCAAAGCCTTTTATTGAAGCCTCCTGCCTCGGGCATCGGCACGAGCATCACTACCGTTTCAGCCATCAGAGATGTAATGCCATAGTAGGCGTACATCTGATCCACGGCACCGAAACACTTCAATCGTCACGGTGCGAAACGCCTGAATACCACTTTCAGATGAAGGCGACGGCCGCTCCCTTGTGTCCTGTGAAGCAAAATACTCGGCCAATGTCCTCATATCGCACCAATCCTCCTGTCTTCAGCCGGAGCAGCCTCGAAACACTTGGAACCTGACACGGTGGTCGACAGACGGCACATATCCAAGTCGATTGCGATGATGGAGCCTGAAACGGTTAAAATACCCTTTTAGAGCTTCGAAGAGACTTCAGGCAAGCTCAAGACGCTTGGTGTGGACCGTTTATGAAAGCCCAAGAGAGGGACAAGAGGCCGAGAGAGGCGAAGAACGCCCAAGACACCCAAGAATGCCGAGAGAACAGACCAAGAGCGTCAGAGACGAGTGTGGCGCATTTGCCATTTCGGAGGCTGTCACTAATGCGAAACATCCTGCAGAAAGACGCCTGCGGCGAGGATGGCAATACTGGATGTATGTGCAGTCGGCCGAAACGTACTGGACATGGTGGTGGATAAGAGACGAGTGCACGGAAGACGAGAATAGTCGCAGACGGCACCTCGGCATTCACACTAAAGGACCCCGAGTAACGGAGCCTAGACCTCCTTCAAATTATGAAAGGGTGCTAGGCTGTGTAGTAGGGGGTTAATCTGGGTTCTGAGACAAGGCACATGAAAGCGAGATGGGTGTGAAAGTTCAAAGAGGGTGATGGATGGAAGCCCGAAGGAGGCCGATAGCTAACTGAAAGAGTCAAGACTCGGTGTCGGTATATTGTTTCGTGAGGGGGGAGGGCTAAGGTGAGGTTTCGAACGGGAATTCTGCTCGAGGGAGGTCAAGGGGGTAATGGTCGATTGAGGAAGAAATGAAAGCCAGACTTGTAGTTTTTGGTCACGAATAGACTTGTAGTTTTCATGAGAGAGTTTCGTTGCCGGCTGGAGCTTATCTTAGCGTCCAAGGAACCCAAGACAAACGCCCAGAGTGATTTGGCAGCAGGAAAGGGCACGCCAAGGCTTGACGAGCACAGCTGAGGCCGCACAAGAGACTTGGGGTGGGGAGTTAGGTCATGCCGCTCGGCACACCCAGAAAAGAACGGACGAAATACTCTGGGATGTGACCCTCTCGTCGTTTTGGCTTTTATGAAGTCTTTCTCCGAATGAAACCGACCACCTAAGGGTACTCAGGAGCAGTTTGAAGCGGCCTAAATAAAATAGAGTTGACGTGCAGGTATGGAGCACCGTCTGGGTGCACAGCAGGTTTTGCGGTGGTAAAGATATTAATTCGAGGGTGGCCAATCCGGAAAAGAGGGCAAAAGGGCTGGTAAAAATAGACGGATCCAATGGGAAATCCGGGAAGATTTCCCAAAGGGACAGGGAGATCGTATTTTTTGCGACAGACATGGTCGTTTTTAGGCGTCATAATCTGTGGAACATTATAAGGTCCTCTATCGGGGTTTACACAGGGTCTCCGTCCCACCACCCCCTCTCTTCTTGGCTCCCCGCAGCCTTCCTCGTCTCTTTTTTCCCTTTCTTGCTTGGGCACAGCAAGCAGTCTGCTCGGCACCTAGGCTCGGAACCGCCTGCGCCTGCAAGACGACGAGCGCTAAGGGCGAGACGCTTCCCCCTTGCGCGAATTACGCTGTTGGGTTCGGGAAGGCAAACCTAGTGCTTGCCTCGATTGTCACTTGGAGGTCCTACTAGAGGCCACCAGGCGTTCCCAGTTCGGCGTCTGCGCCTACAACTACCTTATCATCACGAAGACCGGCCCCGGAGCTTACATTTTCACGACCACGACTACTACGAGTAAGACGACGCGGACGAGACAGGCTACTGCTGCACTTACCCCACGGCTACTTTTTAACGACAACGAAAACACATACTACGACGAAGATATTGGATAGGAGGAGGAGATCAAGATGGTTTTCTACCCCGTAAGTTCTTTCTTACGTTGAGTCTTGGCCTCGGCATGGGAGGTGCCCAGCGGACAAGAGGAAAGGAGAGCGAACGCTGACGGTCTTGGGCCCCTTGGCCTGCCTTTCCAGTTCGAAGTGACGACACCGCATGTCATCTATGCGCTGCTGGGTGGGTTCATCGTGCTGGTGAGTTAGCCTCTTCTTCCGCCGTCGGAGCATGGCTCATGCATGGGTTCCGGTTGGGCGTAGTTCGGCATGTTCAGCTTGTTCCTGCGAGAGAAGGTGCGTCCGCCGAGCATGATTGGCTCTTTTCATTGATGACGATTCTCTTCGGTTATAGCTGTACATCGGCGAAGCCATCTGGGCATTCTTGTTTGGTGTCATCGTTGGTCTGTACCCCGTTCGCTTCTCTTCCTCTTACCACCATCATCTTACCACCACTTATGCCCACCCCTCGCTCCGCGGTTCTTTCGCGTTTCCAGGCCCATACTGCGCGGACGTGTTCAATCCGAGGGCATGGAGCGGCAATTCCGAAGAGGTCACGAATGTCATTACCCTGGAGTTCACCCGCGTTGTGCTCGCGATAGGCGTATTTGCGATTGGCGTTGAGCTGCCCAAGGCGTACATGAAGAAGCACTGGCGCAGTCTGTTTTTCTTGCTGGTTCCGGTTATGACTTGGGTATGTCCTCCTCATGTTTTCTTCGTTCTTCCGGCCGGCTATATGCGCCTTTTTGGCTCATGCCGTCGATCCAAGCCTCTTTTCTTTGTCTTATCACCTCCATGTCCTCCTTTGCCGATCCCTTCACCCACCCACTGCGTCATTCGTTGCCATTCTTCCAACAAAGTTGATTATATGCGCTCCGAAATCCGTATTTCTAACCCTATCTTCTCTAGGGATGGTTCGTCTGCGCCGGCCTTATCTACGCCCTCATCCCAGGGCTTAATTTCCTTTCTTCCCTCGCCGTGGCTGCATGCCTTACCCCGACCGACCCCATTCTCGCTGCCGCAGTAGTAGGAGGCAAATGGGCTGACAAGCACGTTCCAGCACACATCCGGCACCTCCTTGCGGCAGAGAGCGGATGCAACGACGGCGCAGCCTTCCCGTTCCTCTTCCTCGCGCTGTACTTGATCATAGACAGGGATACGGGAAGTGCGGTTAGGGATTGGTTCTTAATCTTATGGCTTTGTGCGTCCTATTTCGATTTTCTATCTGTGTCGCTGAGAAGTCATTGTGATGAACAGACCAGGTCGTATTGGGCGCAGTCATCGGCTGCCTCCTTGGCTGGGGCTTCCGCCACCTCATGAAGTTTTGTGAGCGCCATGACCTCATCGACCGGCACTCCTACGTCGCCCAATACGTCTCCCTCGCCATCCTGACCATCGGCGTCACCACCCTCCTCGGCTCAGACGACCTCCTCGCAGCCTTCTTCTGCGGCACCGCCTTCGCCTGGGACGGGTTCTTCAACAAGCAGACAGAGGAGTCCGTCTTCTCCAGTGTCATCGACATCCTGTTCAACATCGCCGCCTTCATCTTCGTCGGAGCCTGGATGCCATTTGACAAGTTCGACGACCCGGCGCTGACGCTGTCGGTGTGGCGGCTCATCGTCATCGCGATCCTCATCCTCCTCCTACGACGCCTGCCCATCATGATCGCGTTGTACAAGTGGATTCCCGACGTCAAGACTTTCCGCGAGGCGATCTTCAGTGGGCACTTTGGGCCGATCGGCATCGGCGCTGTGTTCATCTCCACGTTGGCGATCGAGGTACTGCATAACGCAGCTGAGGAGGCGAAGGCATCGGGCGTGGGAGATGCAGCGCACGAGACCGGTACGTCCGGTGAGCTGACGCAGACGCAGATCCTGCAGGGTGCCATGCAGCCCATCGTGGCGTTCATGGTCCTCTGCAGCATCACGATCCACGGGCTCTCCATACCCGGGTTCAGCCTCGGAAGGCGAGTGCACAGCGTATCGCGGACATGGTCCAGGAGGGACACGTACACCAACGCGAGTGTGCGAGGCCGCATGCCGGAGTGGGCGGCGCAGACAAGGATCGTGCAGAGAGGAGGGGCGGACATCGTTATCAATCGCGATGGAACGGAGGTGGTCCTTGGAGAGAAGGGCAGCGGGACGAATAGCACGGATGTGGATGTGGAGGTTGGGCAGGTGACGACGGTTGGAGGGAGGAGGGGAAGTACGGAGAGCAGCGAGGAGACGAAGTTGCATCTTTCGGATACGTTGGTCCCACCGACGCCTGCTGACACGCAGGACGGAGAGGCTGGGCTGCCGATGCCTGTTACAAGCCCGACGACGAGGTCTGGGAGGGCGAGTCCTGTTCGGATGGAGGCAGATGCAGGACATACTAATGGTGCTGCGAGTGGTGGTGTTGCGGTGCAGAGGCCGCCTCCTACGACGTTGCCTTTACCACCACTGACCTCGAGAGACTTTGGGGTGAATGGAGAGAGGGATTATAGGGAGGAGTCGCCGCCTGATGGGTCGGAAACTATCGCGGAGTGGATGGAGGGCAGCCATCGGGTTATTGAGAGAAAGTCTGGGCCGGGTAGTGATGTGAGTTTTCTTTCACTTTATCTTTTCCGTCTTCTGTCTTGTTCCTTCTGCAACTTCTTCATCGTCGCTTTGGTTTCGTGTCCTTCTCTGTCATCAGTTGCGACTACAGTTTATGTTCGAGGTTTTCACTTTGCTTGACAGTCCTACACAATCGTCTCGATTTCTTCTCTTCTTTATTTTCCCTGTCATTCGTCTCAATCTTTGGCTAATTGCTTCCCATCTCTCTCCAGGTCGAAGTCACTGTCATCAACGAAGATCCACACGCTTCGAATGCTTTCATACCGGCGAAGTGGACGGGTAAAATCCATGAGCTCGAGCATGGTGCAGAGGAGGCCGCACATTCGCTCCGGCATGAGTTAAGTTTACTCGGTAGGAGGGCACTCGATGCAGTATCGCCTCATCATAGCTCGCCGTCTGCGGAAGGCTCGAGCACAGCTGCTCCAAGACAGGATCTGGGCAGCGCTGTTGTCGAAGATGAGGATGAAAACGAGGAAGGCTGGTCTTCGGAGGGCAGCAACGGCGCTGCTCCCGCTACATCCGGCTCTGGTTCTCCGCAACGCAAGACCGCGAAGCCACGACCAGTCAAGGGCGGTTATCCCCACCAACTTGTTGCGCACCCCGTTGGCAAAGGCCGCAGGAAGATGAGACGTGGCTCGCAAAGCCACGGTGTCGACATCGTGGAGGAGCCTCGGGGACGGGAAGGACGACCCGGGTCTGGTCCGGCTGCCTCCATTAGCTTCGCGTTGGACGCTGCACAACGTGCTGGTCCGGTGCCGCCGTCTCGACTCCCAGGGGCTGCTGCTGCAAGGCCGAGCACCGCGGATTCTGCTGCTCGCAACAACCGACTGGAGAGTATTCGTGCTCTGCATAGTCGGCCGCCAACACGCGAAAGCTCGCCGTCTCGGTCTGTGAGGTTCGTTGATGAGGAGGCCAGGGCAGGTAGTGGATCTGCACAGGGATCTGGGGGCGCGGTTAGTGCCGCTGCTGGTGCGGGACCTGCTACGAATGGGAGGACGTTGATTGATAGACCGCTCGTTGAGGAGCCAACACAGGTTGGTGGTGGACGTTGACGATGGTGATGGACCTTGGCTATGATCCTGGTGTGCTCAGATCTATAACGGCATTCTCGTGTGCTACCTCTAGATGTCTAGATGGCGTTCTTACTTACCCTTTCCTCTTATGTTTTCCTGGACCTGCTAATTTTTCACTCGATATCACATATATCTTTTATACAGGCTTTCTTGTTTTTTGCATATGTTCTGTCTCTTTCTTTTACAACCCTTGGTTTCTTTCCGGCTCTACACTCTAGTTTTCCACTGTGTATCTGCATATATACATACTATATCTATAGCTCTGCTAGTCCAATATGCTTTTGCAGCCAGTTGTATGAATGAGGTCTTTAGTTGGGTATACTCTAAATTATCTCGAAGTATAGCACAGGAAAGAGATGGGGAAAAAGAGGTGTTTTCTATAAGTAATACGAGCAGTACTGTGAATCAATCTTCAATCTTCTAAGCTTCAATAGCGAACTCCGGAACCTGCTTCTTGAACCAGGCAAGGTCTTCCTCGGAGAGTCGATCTTGGATGCAGCCCTTCATGAAGACAAATTGTAAATCCGGTCTGACCATCACTGGAAGTGGCGGACCTTCCGCATCGAGGAAGAAGCGTCGTTTCTCTATTGTGTTTTTCATGCTTTCCACAGAGAAGTCTTTGCAATGATGCATAATAAGCGCATTCAGGTTAGGGCAAGCAAACCTGCGTCCGCCTGGGTAAACGGTAGCGGCGCCTGGCTGTGTTGCGACGTCTTTGTAACGGGTAAGGTATTCGAGGAAGCTATCAGAAACCAATGGGCAGTTGGCGAAGAAGAGTGCTCTGGACCGCAGGTCTGTGACGAAGCCTTCGAGATTGACGGTCGGCGGCAGGTCGTCGAAAGAGAGGAACCGTAATTGCTGGTCGAGGTCTCCGAGTAACCCGATGGGCAGGTCGGGGCATCGCGCGATATGCAGGAAGTGAAGGCTGTGGAAGATGCATCGTTCGAATATTTCTAGCAAGGGCTCTGGATCGATGGTGTCGAGTACCAAGTCCTCGACGAAGTCTATATCGAACGGAACGAAGGGCGGATCGTCGGGGTAAATTGGCCTTGGGGGTGCGAAACGGACGTTGACGAATTTTAAGGACAGGAGCGTCGTCACGGACGAGATCCGTTCGAAAGCCTTCACCACCGTCACCTTGTCGAGGACGACGCCAGGGCGGTAATTGATGACCGCCAATTGCTCGAGCTTGGTCTCAAGTCCGACCCAGAACCGCCTCTCCTCGCAGCAATATGCGAAATTGAGCCCATCGAGGACGAGAACCGTCAACACAGGGAATGACTCGTCCATCGAGAGCGCGACCCGATTGAGGTAGCTTTGGTACCCGTTGTGCATGTTGTCCTTTGTGGGGGGTCGGTCTCGCTCGCAGTTGAACGATATCAGTTGGAGGAGGGGCGCTTTGACCGTGAACTCGGTGGCGATGATGGGCAGACTTGAGCTCGAGGCGACGTCGATGTGGAGGCTACGCCAGCGGTGCGCTTCCGGAAGGAGAATATCCATGAACGTCCAAACGCGAGCTCTCTCTCGTGCTTCACTCCAGGCAGTGATCAGATCCTCGCGTCGCGTTATCGTTATGTCTATGGGCAGTCCACGTGTCCGCGCGAGGTGTGCCTTGGCTTCTTCGACTGAGGTGGGGTTGGAGTCGATGAACCAGACCACTTGTTCCCAGAAGGCCGGAGAACAACACAAGACGTTCCTCCATCTGTTGAAAACGGCGGCTGGGGCGAAAGGAAAGCAGCTCGAGGACGCGAGGTAACGCTGCGCGTTGCTTCTCGCGACTGTGAGCTCAGACCGTTTGAGGATGTCGGGCTTCTCTGGATTCATCTCGAGACGCTTTTCAGCAGAGATTCTATCATTAATTTCTTTGAAGAGACTCCTAGAGTCCTCGTGAACATAGGAAAATATGATGGTGAGGAGTTCTGGTGGAAGCCATTCCATAAACGAGCTGGATTTGCACATGCTGGATCAACGCGCTTTAGTTATTCATAAGAAAAAAGAACAAACGCAAACCTACCTTCGACGAACTCAGTTGTACACGGAGTATTGTGGTTGAAGAAAGAACACGCTGAGTACACTGGTTGGTTGAGGTGATCAAAGGCGTGGCAATATTATTGCCCCTGTCTCTTTCCGTCCCGGGCCGTGTGGCGCACATCGCAGCCGTCGGCAGTCCTGCGACGCGGACGGGGATTTGCATACCTAGCCCAAGTACAATTGCCGTAAAAAAAAAATACACGTAACGTCCGGCTTCCTTGCAGCGTGTCATCCAGGATTGACTTCACCACATCCCAACCAACTGTCTTCGCGCTCCATGACAAACTTATGTATTACAAAGGTTGAAAAATGAGCTATCTTTATCGGCGTCCTTTCAATTCTTCCTTCGCGCTCATATGTAATCAAACTTTTTGGCCTGCCGTCAGTAATGTAGGGTACTAATTTTGAGCCTTCACCTTTCGCTTCTCTTCAGGATAAGATAAGAATCTAATCATTGAAAGGAGGGCTATTTAAAACACAGAAGCGAGCCACAATTGGCAGCCAGACAGCCGCCTCTATAGCTTTCGTTGTTCACCATGATAACCTTCTACGACATTGCCTGTACTCGCCCCAATACAACGTGGTCTCCAAGTACTTGGAAGACGAGGTGGGTCTTCCTGGTGCGACATTTCTCCCTTGAATTATTCCTGACTGTAATAGATATGTTCTCAACTATAAGGGCCTTTCCTACCGTACGGAATGGGTCGATTTTGACGATATTGAAGCCCACTCCATCAAGAACGGGTTCGCCCCTTCGTGTAAGAGAGCGGACGGCAGCCCTCGCTACACGCTTCCCGCTATCTATGACGAGTCAACCGGAGCGAAGATTGCGGACTCGTCCCTCATCGCCGACTACCTTGAGGCAACCTATCCGGATACGCCATCCATATACCCTCACAACACTCGTGCGTTGCAAGCCGCATTCGAGTCGGCCGTACTCGCACACCTCGATGCCGTGCACCAGTTCACAGCCCCGTACCTCATGACCAAGAAATACTTCACCCCGAAGACCGAAGAGTACTATCGCAAATTCAGAGAACCTGCGTTTGGCGGAAAGCGTCTCGAGGACCTCCTACCCTCCGGGGAAGCGCGCGTCAAGCAGTGGGAGCGCTTGAAGAACGACATTGGGAAGATCGCCTCTTGGTATGATCAGAATAATGGAAAGGGACCGTTCTTACTTGGCGAGACGCCGTCGTGGGCGGACTTCGTCACTGCTTCCTTTCTCGTTTGGTTCAGGATTATTTGGGGGGAGGAAAGCGAGGAGTGGAAAGAGTTGGAGACATGGCACAATGGACGATGGAAGAAGCTGTTCGCGGCTGTCAAGAATTACGAAGCGATGGCGTAGTCTGCCTAATAGATTTGGAAGCATTCGTAGACGAATAGCTGAAGTTATCGACACCAGCGCTTTGCTTGTGCGGCGCAGGTGCCTGCTGCTTCTGCACTGGCACAAGACGTCTCCGAGTCGGCGGTATGTCCGCCCCGAGTCGGACACGCTTGTGGGAGAACGTAGTTCATCCTGGTCAAGAGCGCCGATGTTACAAAGCTGAGCGCTGAACCGTGATCAACTTTGTAAGGTGTTCCTTCTCCTCGATTGTCGGGACTTCCTTGACGCTTGAACTGGATCTTTCAATTCACCGTCAGTAATATTCTTATCTCCTACACGGTCACGTACCTTTATGATAAGTGGTATTTAAGATACGTGCGCGAAGAGGCTCCAGTCCTGCGCCTACTTCAGGATGATAATCTTTTATGACATCGCATCTGTTGGCCTTGATACGACGTGGTCCCCCAGTACATGGAAAACTAGGTACGTCCCGAGTTTCTCTGTCTATGCTTTGGTTCACAATGTTCCATATCCACTGTCATAGATACAGTTTGAACTTCAAAGGAATTCCCTACCGTACCGAATGGATCCAATACGTCGATATTGAAGCCCACGCGATCGAACACGAGATACCTCCTTCGTCGAAGAAACCAGACGGCAAGCCTCATTACACCCTTCCGGCCATCTACGACGAGTCGACGGGTGTTAAGCTATCAGACTCGCTCGTCATCGCCGACTATCTCGAGAAGACGTACCCGAACACCCCGCCACTCTTTCCTAACAATACGCGTGCCTTGCAAGGCGCGTTCGAGCCCCCCGTCTTCGCCAACATGAGCGCCGTCGCCCAGTTCTCTCTTCCCTACCTCGTTTCTGGGAAGTTCTTCACCCAACGTGGAGAGAAGCATTATCGCACCCTTAGGGAGCCTGGTTTTGGACAGCGCCTCGAAGATATACTGCCCGTTGGGGAAGCGCGCGTGAGGGAATGGGAGCGCTTCAAGAACGACGTTGGGGATATTGCCTCCTGGTACGACAAGAATGGCAGCAAGGGGCCGTTCGTCCTCGGAGAAGCCCCTTCATGGGCTGACTTTGTCGTTGCGTCGTATCTTGTGTGGTTAAGGGTTATCTGGGGAGAAGAAAGCGAGGAGTGGAAGGATCTTGAGGCGTGGCATAATGGACGGTGGAAAAATCTGTTTATTGCGATTAGGAAGTATGAAAAGATTGTATAACCAGGATTAAAATTCGAGCTCAAACCTTGACAAGTCCTATGACAGAGATGATCGGCAGCTTTGGACTTCGTCTAATAGCAACCGTGAACAACAACTGATAAGATTGGACAAACCTAATTATAACCACGAGTCATGCATGAACGGAGTCATCCTTAACTTCCTCACCAACCATGACGCTCTCGACGCGCGATGCCACCGAAGACGATGGCATCCCACCAATCGTGGGAATCATGAACCACTATATTTAATTCTCAACTCCGTCGCCTCCCTGCGGTATGACCCAATTACCGAAGAAATTTATCGCGAGACAGTATTCGACACAGTATTAGCGCAACGCCTCCCCTTCATAGTGGCCGCAAACTCTGCAGATGTTCTCCTACGCCACCGGCTTCCGGATATCAGCATACTATGGGTACCTCTACACCGCCGAAATCACCATATACGTCGCGCCGGACGCGCGCACGAACGGAACGGAGACGAAGTTCATGGATGCCTTGATCGGCGCTTTGAAGATCATAGCTGCCAGACAACCTTCGATATAGCCCAAGATCTGATGTCGCCCAATATGCTCACTGCACCCCACCAGCGTGCGAAATTGCTTTTTCACAAAGATGAGCAGCCGCGTAAATCAACACGCCTTACAAGGCTGTCTCCATCTCGTGTACTGTCAGCCTGTGTTACTGACCCTGCTATAGTGTTGAAAAAAATTATAATTATTCGCTATTGCTTCTATGTAGAGCCATGCCATAGTTCTTTGCATGACGAGCTGACGCGTAATGATCGGCGGTGCTACTAAGAGACGAGCGTCTATTCCCCGGCACGATCGCACCGGAACCCCAGTCGACAATTCCTTTCCAGACCCGGTAGAGGAGGCTCCGAAAATCATTGATCAACTAGGCACTGGGCGTTACCACACTAGCAGAGGATTGGCGAGGTGATCAACGGGATGAGAGACGCGGTTCGTTCAAATGAAAATAATTGTATCTAGTTCCGGTGGAGGTTCTGAACGCAGATACAGTCTATAAACGGTCATTTGGACGCCGAAAAGATGAATTTTAAATATCTAATGAAGGGCGCAATGTCTCGGTTTGAAACTTGGCATACACACTCTCACTACACTTTTCAGTGCCTGTGTATGTTAATAAGTTTATCTAACGACATATGAAGCGTCCGCTGGCAAATTACAGGTGTACAAACCACCGATCAAAGAAAATTCGGACTCCGCTCGAAATCACCCATTTTCATGTCCTCAATTGCGGGGCCAAAACACCTCTACTTATGTCTATCAAATTTTGCATTAATCTTGAGTTCATAAGCACCGGTTTATGAGAATATTATGTAGGTGATGAAAAGCAAAAGGGAGGTGGAGATATCTGGATGCTAAAAGTGTCCAAACGACCGATCATGTACAATTGACCGTTTATAGACTGTAGACCAAGAGATCCGCGATGCTGTCGCCCCCGTCGTCGTTGTACGAGACCTCTGCGCGTCGCTGTACGCGTTTGAAGGAGGGTAGTGAGTGTGCGGACGCGACGTGTGGTTGGGGCAAACTCTACCATTGGATCTAGAACGGGATCGGCGTGGGCGTCTGGAGGTTTGGGATTTGTGGTACGCGCTTCCGGGGTCAGAGTGGTGTTGTGAGGGATGATGCATCCATGGGGGATGACTTTGCAGCATCGTCGCTGATGTAGGCGTTGGACGTCGGACCCCAGACCCACAGATGACCCGCTCAATTCACTGTATGATATCTGATATCCAAGTATTCGCGTGCGTCATGCGACGCGTAGTACGCGTCGCCATCAATAGCCCCTAAGCGCGCATGTGCGTCGCGACACGCTTCTAAAATTGTCAAGGGAGGGCTCTAACCTAGTCACTCACCATCTGGGAGGCGTACTGGACGGCTGTAATTAGCAACGAGAGTATTATATCTGGCTTCGACCAGGTGACCGTGCGCTTGGAAGACTTCTTACCTAGCCCCGATTTCTGAACCTGCGCAGCATTGGAGCGTGGAAGAGCTTCTCAAATGCAAAGACAAGAGCATGGGCTGGACTTTTAATCCCAGCTCCAATATTCTAAGAGCACTTTTACCATGGTCGGATTTGTACGGAGGAAAAGGCCTGTTCATTGTTCTGAGGCTATGCTGCGCGAGTTCTTGCTGTCCTAAACTCCTGGCTTCTAAGTGATACTTGGAAAGCCCCAAGCAAAGACGAATGCATTCATCGCACTCTGGCACCGCCTCGTTCGACAGAATCGACTGCGGTCAACGAGCTATTCTCGCTCCAGAATCAAGATCTTTGACCGTTTGAAGTCTGAACCCGCAGATGACCACCATCGACCAAACCGAGTAGATAGATGGCCAAAGCTGGCACATCATGATTAAGGAGAGCCGCCCGTCTAGATAGATGGTCGAAGCCGACCCCGAGGAGCCTATTATTGTCAGCGAGGGCGCTGATAACGTCGTTCAATTCAAAGACACAAGGAAGATTTTTCGAGTCAATGTTGAGGGCTCGATGGCAAGATTGGGCGCCTCGGGGGTGATTAGATCCGCAGCGTTGACAGCGAAGGATCATCGATGCGGACTCTGCGGAGGATTTGACATCCGGAGCAAGACGCCGCGCCCTTATATTCGATATAAGTATTCGAGGTGGTTACGCAAAAAGGGTCGGCACCACTGTGAGAAAGGTGTGAAATCGAGGACCGAACAGCGGATTTGAGGTGGATCTTTCCTGCTCAAGTCCCATGTCAAGCAACAGTGGGCGGTGGTGACCGGGAGAAAAAGACAATCGAGTAGGCTTTTATCAAAGGGTTTGAAGTAAACGTTGGGCAACGAGCCAATATCGAGCTTGAGCTTGAAAGACTTGAAGGCGAGGCGGGACAGCGTTTTCCGGAGGCGATCCGTCGATGGATCCGGCCAAGGCATCATGTCGACAGTTGGGATCACCGTCCCTGCTTTTCCTCCATTGATGCGTCAGCCGAGTTAGAGGAACCAGAGAGGAGGTCTCCAAACCTTTGAAATCCACAGAAAACTTTGCAGACACGCATTTTCCACTTTGTCTGAAAGGTTCGTAAACCTAGAAACGAAACCCGTCGAATGAACGCCAAGAAACCAGCACTTCCCACCGATGTAGACCGCAGCCCACTTGTCATAGTATGCTGTGCGGCGTGTGTTAATGGATACCATCGCCCTCAGGAACATTGTCGAGGCCCTTTTAGGACCCCGAGAATAGCGATAAATCAGTAACGTCTTCCACGGTGAAGTCACGTTATCCAGGACCCTGAAGTCCAAATATGGAAGTTTATACCGTATCTGGATGAATTTTCTCCCAAAGATAACCAGACTTAGAACGGGAGGTTCAGGGGTCCTCACTTAGTGGATACTCCCGCAACGAGGCAACCCCTGAAGCCGTCAGAGCTGTGATCTCTCGGATTCCGTCAGGCCTGCATTGAAGGCGGTACTATAAATATGGACCCTGCCATTGTGGAGTGTCCAAGAGCGCTTGTTCCCCTTCCCCCCCGCCCCACGTCCTCATAGACCACTTCGACGCGTCGACGACCTCCACCTTTCATTCCTTTGAGGCATGGCTCATGACTTGAATCGAATCTTCGGCCTGGTGCGGACGGGAGTATTTGGTATGCGGCGCTTCTCCAATTGAGAGAGAGGGCATGACTGACAAGTTATTCTCGCGTACAGGCGTCGTCTCCCTCTTCGCACTCATCGCCATCATCCTCGCGGCCCTCGTCACAAACTTCGCCAGCACTCACTTCTTCTCCCACTTTGGGTTTGCAGCCCTCGGCATTGCGACGGGTATCCTGACCATCTTGACATTGCCTGTCATGTAAGCCCCCACGTTCATTGTGATGTTTTCATGCGCCTGACTGCGACATGCCGTGTAGGTGGTTCCTCTCCGTAAAGCGCAAAGGCGCCATCACCTCCATGACCGTTTTTGAAATCGCCTGGACGTGGTTCCTCTGGATTATGTGGGTCTCCGTTGGCGGTTCCACGGTGAACACTTTCTGGTTTGTAGGCTGCGAGGATGCCAGTTCTTTGAGTGAGTTCATTTCTACCTATAACTTACTTTTCTCACATGGTTCACGTCCTACAGTCACTGGGGATTTGGAGACAGCCTGTCGCTCCACTCAGGGTTTGGCCGCCTTCGGCTTCCTCAACTGGATTGCCCGTACGTTCCTCTCCATAAGTTGACACACCCTCACTAACACCGTATTATAGTCCTCTTCTTCAACATATTCCTCCTCACGCTCGCCATCCGCCAACACATGCGTGGGCACACTGGTATCTGGACGTCCTATGTCACCGAGGTCGACTTCACCGCACCGTCAGTCTCGGGCGCCAGCGGCTTCAGCGGTTACCCCGCGCAGAGCGTCGAGGCGAAGCCAGCCAACTTTGCTCCGCAGTACCCCCCTCCCACCAGCACACCCTCGACGGCATACTCTGGCCAGCCTGTGGCTCAAAATCCCTCGTATCCTCAGGTCTGAATTAGGTGCGGAGGCAAATAAATGCTTGTATGAGTGCGATAGAGGTGTTGTGTGCATGTTATAACGTCTCCGTCCTTTCATTTCTGTTGTACATACCCCAAGTCCATACCCGGCGGTCGTAGTACCACCAAACTAACGATTATTGTTCTATGTCTTCCTAAGAACACTACGGACTAACTACATTGGTCGTTACACTGTCCTTCCAGAAAAATGAAACACTTCACTGCCGTGAATATAGAGCTGGCGCTTCGGGCATCATGCTTGGTAGAGTTGGCAGCAATTCCCTTCAAGACCTGAGGCCTGAGACCTGAAGCTTGAAACGTCGCGAAAGACAATCGGCCTCTCAAATACAGACATCGAGAAACCGCTCTACAAATTCTGCATCTCAGTACTTGGGCGCTAGCGTGGAAAGCAACGTTTTTGTTCGGTGTGACCGCGTGGTGTTGCGACTCGAATAAGCGCCGATCGCCATCCGTCAGAAACTGACGCGCAGACAGGTGTAAAACAATTGTTATCGTAGTACGAGTAGCTAGCACCCCTCACGGCAAATGTTAAGCTATGGACGTCAAACATTGGGCGGTGAACAATCGATAGCATTGGCAGAACTGCGTCGATGATTATCAACCTTCTCGACTGGGCACCTTTCACTATGTACACTTTGCCGCGCAGCGCGTCCGCTATCGGCTGTCAAATCGATACCCATGGGCGTTCTTTTAACTGCCCATCTCTGTATAATTTGACAGCACTATTATGATTAATAATTCTGTGTCAACGGTGAGTCCTGCGATTAACGACGGACAAAAACCAATGAAGCCGGAACCAGTGTTGCTGGAGCCGTCGTATTATCTAAAAGGTGATGTAGAGGTATTGGCAAAGCAGGCCAGCTATGTATGAAAACAGAAATTCGGCATTCAATCAATTGAAGATGGTCTTGGCATGTTGGTCCTCTACAGGAAGCACCTTCTTTCTTTCGATGACGAGCAACGAGATTAAAATATCTTCAAAAAACTTCTGTCCCGCTAGAGTGACCTGCAGCGCGGGAAGTGGAGTTTCTTCCCCACGCTCATTCACTTGGATGACTCGAGCTGGGATGAAGGTGGCGAGGAGGGTTTTATCGCCATTGCTCGAGCGGCACTGCGGGACGAAGTCAACGGTGAGTTAGTAATTTGCTGAAGAGCAATCCAGGAAAATATGCTCACTACAGCGGAAGAATGACGACAGTCCCATTCCCAGGGGAGGCCATTGTTGATCAGAGGCGAAAGGGGCTTCCACGTCCAAACTGCGTTCGTGCGCGATCCGCGTTTCGTGAGGACGCTCGGAACGGGAGCATCTTTCTTGTGCATGCGCACGCGGCTCCAAACAATTGATATTCCCATTCTAACAAATTATGAGAAGAAATATTCGATGAAACTATCGTGTGTAAGACTTTTTACGTACTCAAAAGAGCCAACCCACTGGCCAAACGGAGTCTCCCCTCGGTAAACTGTGGTGATGTGCGAGAGTGGGTTGAACACGTTCGGGGTCACGACAATGTGGAATCGGGGCACCATGTCTGGCATGTCTGAAGGTGGGACGAGGGTGAGCGAGTTGCTCACAGGAGAGGTCGGGGTAAAATGGTATCGGATGACTGGATACTCCCTCGTCACAGACGGTGTGCTGAGGATGGACGGTGGCCGCAGATGAACTAGCGTTGAGCTCGAGAGCCCTAGGCGATCCATCGGCCCAGCGAGAGTCGATGTATCACTGACGAAGGAAGCGGCGTCATTGAAGGACTGCGCGTCAGAGACGTAACTCGGAAGCGCGGAACTAGTTGGGGTTGCGATCCAGCTCTCGGAATCGAATCCTTCGTGCGTTGATCCAACATCCCCCGCGTGGATGGGTGGGAAGTTATTGTTGCTACCGGCGCTTAAGCTCGATGGGTAGGCGTGCTGATTCATGATCGATTTCGGGGGCCTGCTGAACCAGATGGTGCATTAGCTTATTTAAATATGTTTCTCCCACCACCTAATCAGGCAACTGGCAACAATCTTTTCTTACCCGTGGCTATGAAACCTGTGCCGGCGGAAATTTCCTAAAGGCTAGGTTATCGACCCTCCCGGGGCTGTGCAGTTCCAGCTTGTCAACGACGAAACCAAGCGGGCATTGCTATGCAGGACAGGCAATGGCGTCTCAACCGAGAGGTAATCAAAATGTATTTGCTAGGGAATCTCTTGGTGCGGATGTGGCGTATTCTTTCTAATTATAGCAAGTGATGGCCCAGGATGGGAAGGAAGCAAACAGCGCTCTCTTAATTTTAAGGCATTCTATCAACCTGTCTAGATATGTAAGTCTTCGAAAACTGGCCCATAAATATTGAGCCGGTCCAACTTTTTCAGCTGATGAAAAGCAATATTTGTTCTGCTACCTGCATTTGACGGCCGAAGTTGCTCGCCATTGTAGACCTCGGTCATTTTATGCGCCATTATAGCACTCAATAGACCATGAATCTAAATATCTGGAGCTCTACTTTGTGAAGAATGGAGGGCAATGCATTTGCGACTCTGGGACAAAAGTTGTTGGCGGGAACGGCGGGCCGGGATCTTGGTGTATCATTGTTTGGCGACGCCGTCCGAAATCGAATCGCGTGCCGTGCGTTGAAGCTTTATCCCCTTCAACTAATTTACCACTCGGTGACAAGGCTCAACCGCTCAAACTCAAGGCCTGGAACTGCTCTTAGGAGGTGGATAGTATGTGTTACAACAATCTAGCATTGCACATGCTTACTGACCGGTGGGCTTCGACAGGCGGATAATTGACTTTTTCCTCGTTAGCCTTAGAGTGATCAAGGTCGGCCTCTGAGCACAAGACAGGAAGCAGGATCGTCCGTTAAGGATTGTCGACAATCAAAGTACGCAAGCATTCTAATTTCGCCATTATCGTGGATGCTGAGGAGCATTCAATCGTATAGCGAATGGTGAACGTTAACGTTGAAAGTTGAAGCCTGCCTGAGCTATTGCCGTCTGGCCCCAGGCTTCACCGAGCAATGAATTCGCCCTCTCAAGAAAAAAAGGCATCTTCTACACCCAAGGAGAACATGGCTACGTTTGATTACGTCGAGATTCCGGTCGGTGCGACGCGTTTACGCTCGTCGTCCGACACTTCCAAGCCAGACGACATCCGACCAGCGCCCAGAATCTTCACCTCTCTACCTCATCCCTCCCCGCCATCTTCTCCTGGTGTTCCTCCGCCAAGACAGTTCATTTTGTCATCCACCGCAGCATCTTTGGCCTCACCTACGATGTCTGTCATCCCACAGATGCTCCTTTCGGCGACCTTGCCACCGATGTCCCCAACGGCTACCCCCGCGCAGTCTACGCCCAGTTCGGGGAAGAAAGGAGAGGCAAGCAAGCCCACTCTGATGTCTTCGAAAGACCCGCTTTCGTTGCCCATCATGACTACGAACTTCAAGAGATTCGTCACAGTCATCGGCCCTGTTTTCTGGCTGCAAGACAGGATAGAGGAGATAATTCTGTGGAAAAGAGGGTGGCCTCGAACAGCAGTATGGATGGCTGCCTACTCATTTATCTGTACGTTCTTCCTTACATTTTCTCCTTCCTTTCTGACCATGTTTAGGTTTCTATCCTCGCGTGCTCCTTCTGTTGCCTCACATCATCCTCATCAGCGTCATCCTTGCCACGTATCCGTACCCTGCTAAGCCCTCGTCCGACCCTCTCAATCCATCCGAAACGGCAACCCCGCAACCGCCAACAGAAAATTCAGTTCCATGGCAAGCTAATATCCAAGGAATCCAAAACCTGATGGGTGCAACGTAAGACCGCCTTTTTTTGACTCTGTAATCGCGTCTAACGTCATTTCTAGAGCTGACGCCCACGACCTTATTGAGCCCTACCTCCACCACCTATACCTCACGCCTGCGCACTTCTCTCCACCCCGAGAGCGTCGGAAAACATCAACAACACCTCGGTCTCCGTATACCATGCATATCTTGACACTGCTTGCCCTCTCCTTCTTCCCCCTCCTATTCCTCATCCACCTCCCGTGGTTTCCAATCCGTGAAGTATGCCTCTTCGGTGGCCTCGCGCCGTTTGTTGTCACCCACCCCTACGTCCAAGCTCTGCTCCCAGCTCTCTGGCCATTCCTCCTTGACCTCTCGCCAATCATCCTCAAACACGCTCAAGAGACCAAAGAAACTGCCCTCCGCACTCTTGGCTACAAACGCCCTCCAACCCCACCCATCGACTACTTGGCCCAAGAAGCCTCCTCATCTGACGCCGCCCCTCCTTTACCCTTTCAGATGGTCCTCCAGCGTCTGATGGACGATGACCGCCTGACTGACGCCTGTTGGACTTCTGAGCTGCGAGAGGTCGAGCTGTGGGAGAACGAGCGGTACGGCGGTGGGTTGCCAGGGGTTGCTGACGTGCTGGCGATGGGGACGGCGGGCACCGGTTCGGGGCCGGCGGCGCTCTCGTTGACGTCACCACCGCCGGTGCAGAAGGGATGGAGCAAGCAGAATTTGAGGCCGGGCGAGAGGACGGCCTGGACCAGAGGCAGAGATGGCTGGAGTGGGGTTGAGGGCAGCGGAGGAGAGGTTAGGTTCGTACTATTTTCGTTTACTTCTCGCTCGGTCTTTTGAAAGATAGCCTTGCTGACTGACTTTATGTGTAGCAGCAATCTCACTTTTTCGCTCGCGCCTGGTTGGGCATTCGTCGAGACGGAGGATTGGAGAAAGGATACACAGTGTGCTTGGTCGGGGTGCGGGGGCGATCCCGGTACGTCTTGGACTTCTATTTCCATCTCTCGCCCCGTCTCGTTGGCTAATGCATGCGCTCAGATGGTTGGGTATACACGAATGACGCGTGGGTCGGACCACGGCCTGCGCCATACACATCTGGTTCTGGAAGTGTTACCCGCAGAAGACGATGGGTGAGGAGGGTATGGTACGATCCGAAGAGGGCCACGGAAGACAGCTAGTGGTGCACCACTTATTCAGACCTGTACGTCCTAGGTGTTGTATTCAGCTCGATCCCGACCATTTCATTCTCTTGTTGTGTATCCGGCTGAATTACATCACCTGTGCCTATTCCGGAGCCCAGATGAGAACCTTTGCGATTCACTTCCTCTGCCCTTCTTCCAGGCTCCAAGATCTTCAAATATCGCTGGTACATCGTTCGGGGCTTTCTCATCTTATCCTCGTGGCAGTGTCTTTAATGCCCCTCAACCCCGACGAGTCACAGCCAGGACTTCGACTTTCCTTCAACCAAGCAAGTGTCGGTAGGGTTTATTGAAGTCATCATACATACATCATTCTTCACACTTGATAGGTTTGACGACCAGTTTAGAGGCTATATCAGCGATACCTTCAAGAGTCTAGGGCCTTAGCACCGCAATGAACAAGCATAGCCATCACCGGCAGCAGCAAAGGATTATTTGACGCCGAGGAAATGCAGAAAGAATACTTAAACTCCTTCCTGTCGTTCGTCTCTTTAACATCGCAGCTACAGGCCGCTACAATCCATCATAGCAGAATCATGAAGCACTTCTCCTCCCAGAAAGCCAGCCCTCACAGCGTGCCCTCCGCATTGCCAAGCGGGCATTCAATCAGCACCAAGACTAAAAAGGACGAAAACGAAATACCGCATCTCAATAGCACACAAATCGCTGACGAGTTCGAATCGGAAAGCTGGATCGGAACCCCTACAAGCTCGCGACCCCCAACCTATATCTCAGACGCCCAATCTTTCAATGACAATGCGTACACGGATGACACTTACACTATATACGGGGGTCCGTCGACATCTTCCTTAGTGCACTTAAGGCCGCCATCAGTATTGGGCTTTGACAGTTCCCAAGAACCAATAATCTACTCATTTACGCCAACATCGCCAGTGGGCAACTCCCTCACCTTGATGCCACCGGAAGGTGCCTCGGATGCCCTACCACGATTTCACATTGTCGTCACCCCGAACATCTTTAATCCGTTCCAACAGATCACTTCTGTGTATCGCGGAGAGACACAATTCGGTGATTGGGTCGCGTCTTTCGAGTGAGTTTTTGTACAATTCCACGCCTGACAGCTTGCTCAACTGAAGACTGATTTTTTTTCGGCAGGATGGGCATATCGAGCTTCCCTGGTCGTGTCCGCATTCATAGACGCGACAGAGTCATCAACAACGCGTTAAGAAAGGACGGCCCTCGAAACCAGGCGAAGTGGACGTGGACGTCTCCCAACAAGGGCGTCGAGCCATTCATTTGGGATTTCCAAATGCCCACTAAGCCGTGTGTGGTCTGTATACATTTTTTCTCCATTCTGTGAAGCAGGATTTCCGACGCTTTTTGCTCTTTGTACAGTGCAAGTCTGTGGACGATAAAAAGAAGATTTTCGCAACATTCAGCCCGGCGCGCTCCTTGCTTCCTTTCGCAGGAGGGCTAAGTGTCTCTATTAACAGACGTGGGGAAGAGATTGAACTATCGAAGTTAGAGGTTACACATGAAGGACATCAAATGCTTGAAGACATTGTGGTCTCTTTACTAATAACCCAGAGAAGGAGAATGCTTCCTATGGATTATGAGCACAAACAATACAACTAATTTCAGGGCAGAGCTACTCCGACAGGGCCGAAAGATAGGGGTCTATAAAGCCAAACAAGATCACATACCGTCATGCAATTTTCTCAGATACGTTCTTTCACTTGCTTTCCTTGTTTGTTGTTACAATTCTTTTGAGAGCCCTAGGTAGTCTAATAGGTGAGTTAACCCTCCTCAGGCTATCCGTCGTACGTCGGCCTTAGAGTATACTTATCACGGCTTATAGGGACTCGAGTTGATTAGGAAACTTTCAAACGCTACAGATACGTCGAATCCTCCAAATTCTCGCGTTTCAATGCGAGAGATTACTTTTGTCCACGATCTTGCACCCGAGCTCCTTAGCATTATCTTTTCCTTCCTCCACGACGACCAGACCGCGCTGGCGGATATCGTCGATGCCAGTCTCAGCAAAGAGGGCGTGGTCAATGAAGAAGGGGCTCTGGAGAGAAACACCCTTGCTAGAGAAAGGAGGGCCCTGTACCGACGATGGATCTCGCCAACATTCTTCCCGTATTCGTGTGCCGCGGTCTGCCAGCGGTGGAAAGCCATCCTGTCGGGACATCCTCAATTTTGGACACGTATAATTGTCTTCGTAGACACGCTTCAGTCCTCGCCAGAAGAATTTGCGAACTATCTCACCTGGTCCGGCGGTCTTCCGATCGACGTATGCATTACGAGGCGACCCCAGTACCTCTACCTGGATGTTCATTCGGGCAACCAAGATCACGTTGACGGGAGGGAGAGGGCCTCCATCAGGACCTTCGCGAAGATGCTGCAGCCCCATCTTCCGCGCTGCCGAAGTCTACACATTGACGTCGCCTCAAGCTCGTCCTTACCTTTCCTCGGGCTAGACTTCAGGGGTTCCGCACAGAGAATGACGTCTCTAACCTTCCAATGCGATCAAGATGATGCCGTCCTCGACGAAGAACGCAGCGTCCGCGCTGGCGAGATGATGGACGAAGGCGAGTTCTGTCCTTCTCTATGCTTCCTCGCCCTCGATGGTCGGAATTTTCTGTGGAACTGCGATTGGGGGGCCAAATGGTGCCGCCACCAGAACCGCCTGCATGATCTCACCGTTTCAGGCTTCACGAAGACCGCGACGTCTCAACTCACCGTCGACAGCCTCCTTCGAGACATCGAACGTCTCCCAAACCTCAAATATCTCAAATTGAACCTGCTCGAGCTCACCACTAGTCCGAACACGACGACGCACTCTCTCCAGTTAAACTCGCTCGAGGAGCTATCACTCTCTGAGCTCGAAGCGGACGTCATCATCGACATCTTCCGCACGACGGACATGCCTGAACTCGAACGCATCCACATGCAGGGCTGCGCGCTCCCCCAGGAAGACGTCTTCGTTAACATCAACAGTCTCATCCAGATGCTCACGATCACCGAACCCGAGCTCGGAACGGACATCATTGGCTTTGTAGACAAGTGGGATGGCAGTGCCCTATGCGTCGCCCATTCATACCTCTTCAACGACCGGCTCCTCCGCGGCCTCGGCACACGACGCGAGAAGTACGAGGACGAAGACGAGAATAATGTCAACGGAGGCGTATTCTTCCCGGGCCCGAATATGCAGCTGTTACTCTTCAAATACGCCCCATTCGAGTCTTTCGACTCCTTGAAGCAGATGATCGAGGAGCGGGGTCACTACGTCGACTACAGCGACCCAGACTGGAGGGAGAATACGAATTTCGGCCCTGCGCTACATACAGTGATGATCAACAAATGTGGGTTCGGTCCGTTAGAGCCGGAAGACGAGCAATGGCTACGGGACAGGTTGGTCGAATTAACATGGAGTGAGCATTCTGCATTTTTTTCTTGGATTATGATGCTAAAATATCACGTAAAGATGTAAACATGGATGGGAACTAGACTCTTGTGTACTTCGGCATATGAGATATGCACTTGCGTTCTGATCAAATGCCACCTCCAACAACTCTGAAGTGAATTCTCCCCTCAACACGTTCTCAAAACTTGAGCCATCCTTCCAAGCCGTCAGATTGCCTCTGAGCGCTCTCGGCTTCTCGACGGCGATCATCATGAAACTTGGGAAAACTTTCTACGAGGTTGGCGTATGTAGTTGCCATAGCCAACAAAAAGACTCGATCCTCGTTTGGTCTACCCACAGCAAGTGTTGACACAGCTTGATAGGCTTGGCGTCTGCGCAAGACTGAAGAGAGCATCGCCATCAGCAGCGAGAGAATGTTTGATGCCGCGTTCGGACATGACGACTAGGATATGTCGTTATCTGTAGCTCCTATTACTTTCCCCCACAGACGATTATCCAGGACGAAGCGGACCCATGAAGCACCTGTTCTCTTCCAGGAGATCTACCCCACGTAACACGCCCTCCACCTCCCCGAAGATGAGCTCGACTGATCTTGGTACCGATCCCCGCGTCGAAGAGGGAATACTCCATACCGACACCGCACAGGGTGCTGACGAGTTCGACTCAGAAAGCTGGATTGGAACCCCTACTAGTTCGAGGCCTCCAACATATATCTCAGATGCCCAATCCTTCAATGACGACGCATACACTGATGACACTGGCACCATATATGCGGGCCCTTCGACATCCTCTTTGGTGCACTTACGGCCGCCCTCGATCTTGGGCGTGGACGAGACGCAAGAAGCAATAACATACACATTCACGCCGACGTCACCAATAGGCAACTCCCTCACCCTATTGCCACCAGAGGGGGCGAGAGAGGGCCTTCCGCGATTTCACATCGTCGTCACCCCGAACGTCTTCAACCCTTTCCAACAAATCACGTCGATATATCGTGGAGAGACGCAATTCGGCGAATGGGTTGCTTCCTTTGAGTGGGTCGCTTCCAGACCCAAAAGTTTGCTTTATCGAAGACTGATACTCTGGTGGTAGGATGGGCATATCGAGCCTTCTTGCCCGTGTCCGCATTCATAGACGCGATAGAGTCCTTAACAATGTATTAGAAAAGGATGGCATTCGTCACAAGGCAGTTTGGACTTGGACGTCTCCCAGCAAGAATGTCGATCCTTTCATCTGGGACTGCAAAGACTCCAAATTGGCGTCCGTGGTTGGTGTTTCATCTCTCATCGCATGAAGGCAGCCGGTCTCACTATATCCTGTCCTTTTCTGACTCGGATAGTGCAAATCCGCAAACGATAAAAAGAAGATACTCGCGACATACACCCCAGCTCGCTCCATGCTTGCTTTCGCAGCAACTGTTACGATTGATAGACGTGGAGAAGAAGTCGAATTATCAAAATTGGAGGTTACGCCTGAGGGACATCGAATATTTGAGGACATCTTAGTCTCGTTGTTAATCATCCAGAGAAAGAGGATGCTTGCGAGGGAGCATGATCCTAAACCATACAACTAAATTTAGGAATTGCTTTGCACTTACATACTCCGATGTTACAAGTTAGTAGCGATTCTCTGGGCAAGCATACCCTAATTTTGGTTGATTTGCTTGTATCGAATTTTTACAATCAGCAGGACCGTTACTCGTAGATAGGGGCCTGTAGAGCCAAACAAGACCACCGTAACGCGCACATAGCGTTCAACTTTCCGAGATCAACTTATTTTCTAGCTTGTTCCACAGTTCCCAGAAACCAACAAGAAACACTACGAATTGAGCCAGTAGGTGGTTAACGCATACTAAGCCATCCCTCGACGTCAGTGCTCATCAACTACCTCTGCCGTCTGCACAATTTCAGGCCCTTCTTCTTGGCGCTCTGGTTCTGGTTCTGGCAGCGCTTAAACTTCAAATTTTCAACGATTAAAAGCGAAGTTATGTCAATCCCATCCAATTCTCTCTCTGGAGTGCGAGAGGAGACGTGCATAATCGACCTTCCGGCGGAGCTCCTCGGCACCATATTCTTCATCGTGCATGACGATCAGTCAGCCCTAGCGCATATCGTCGATGCTAGTCTCAAAAAAATAGTGCGTTTGGGGAGGAGATCCTAGAGAGAAACACCTTGGCCGGTGAGAGGGACGCTCTACACCAACGATGGATCTCACTAACATTCTTCCTATACTCGTAGGCCGAAGTTTGCAAGCGTTGGAAGGACATTCTATCCAGTCACCCTCAATTTTGGACACATATCGTTGTCTTCGTCGACGCGTTTCCGTCATCCCTAGAAGAATTATCTCACCTGGTCCCGCTGTATTCTTGTCGACGTATGTATTACCAGGCGGCCTCAGTATCTGCACGCGAAGCATTATCTTTTTTTCAGGGATCAGCGTCGTATTAAAGAAAGTCAGAAGGTCTTCACCGATGCCTGCAACCACACCTCGCGCTGCCGAAGTCTGCACATCGACGTCGCCTGGAGTTCATCTTGCCATTTCTTGGTACAGATTTCAGGGGATCGGCACAAAAAATGACCTCGCTGTCCCTGATGTGCGATGAAGATGACGCTCTGATCAAGGAAGAACGTTGGGTTTGCGCAGGTCAGATCATAGATGAAGACGAATGCAACCCATCATCGCGCTTCCTCACCCTCGAAGGCCGCAACTTCCTGTGGGATTGCAACTGGAGTGTCGAATGGTATCGCAAGCAAACACGCCTTTACGACGTCACTGTTTCGGGCTTCAAGGAGACCAAGGCGTTCAAACTCACGGTCGACAATCTCTTCAGCAATCTCGAGTGTCTTCCGAACCTCAGGTCTCTCGAGCTTCAACGTCTGGAGCTTACCACCAGTCCCAAGATGGACAGACACGCTCTCGAACTGAAGCTGACGCTCGCCGACCTCAAGGCGCACGCCATTGTCGACATCTTCCGCGCGACGAATATGTCCGAACTCGAACGCCTCCACATCAGCACGAGTGGGCCGTCCATTGGGTCAAAATTTATACTAGATTATATAACGCAAGGATATAGCCTAGGTCTAAAACCAATAAATACCAATAATGAACCTGCAATTTAAATAACCTGCAAGTAAAGTCGTTGAATTTCCTCCGTAACTGTGAACACTTTTTGAATTCCGTACCAATGAATTATCCTAGCCTCTAGGTACCCTCGGCTTCTCGATGACGACCTTCATGGAATTTGCGTGACTCTTCCAGGAGATCTAAATAACCACTTCCTTGTCTGATGGACAAATGAACTCCCTGTTGGATGGCCTTGAGCAATCGCGAGACAGCGACTTCGTCGATGTACGGCCCAGGACCAATGTGGAGGTGACGTTCCAAGTAGAAAGATACCTTAGAGAGGGGCCGTCTATGGTTTCCTTCTGGCTCTGAACCAGTTGGCGCCAGCATCGACGCAAACGCATTCCAGGAAAAGTCGATTGTTGGGTTGCTTATCTTCAGTTGTGTGAGTAACGGAAGGAATCCTTCGCCCAACCCTCCCGGCGGTAGGGAAGCAGTTGTCGCAAGCAAGTCGAAAAATTCGTCGGTGAGATGACAGTACTCTAAGTCCAAGTCCTTGAGCCGCGCGGTGTTGCGTAGAAGGTCGACAACTTCGGGAGACTGCGCCCCAATAAAGGAGAAGGAGAGACTGCTCAAAGGACAGGAAGAGCGTATGATCAACGACTTCAAGCCGATGAGATCAGGCCCGCAGTAAATGACGTCCTCAAGGAATGGGGTTTGAATGTGGCTTAGTAGCATGGACGGAGTGACGTTATCGAATGATATGGAGAGACGCTTGAGGGAGTTAAGGACGAGTAGGCGCGAGGGGATGGGGTATGTATCGCTTCCTGGAACAATGCCTCCAATTATGCAATCCATAAGCTGTGGGGCGACCCGGAAGAGTTGAAGGCACTCGTCGACGAACAACAGCTTAAGGTCGACCTTGGTGACCTTGGCCCAATTTATTTCGAGCCCTCTGAATGTCAGATCGGCGCAAGTGACATTCCGCGGGGTTGCATTTGGAAGGTGCAATTTGGTAAGATGTCGGTCGGGTTGCGATTGCTCCGGAGAAGGATAGATGGCGATGTCGGTGAGGCGAGAGCCACTTTCTACATCTCCTCCAAGTCGACGAATGCATTGGACAGGTATATCCAAAATCAAATCCTTCCAACGGGCTGAATGCTGGTTGAGGATGTCGATAGCCTTGTTGGTGAAGTAGATTGAGTCGATCTCGGAGCACCTCTGACTGCAGCAGAGACCGATCAAAAGTGGGAGCTGTCCTGAGCGTTCGAGCCATTCCTTTAGAAGGTCCATCTGTGTGGTAACCCTTGTCGATGAGATGCATATGTCCACCTCTGTCCAGAGGGATGGTGTCGACCACGCAATTTCCCTCCACCTCCTGGACACAGCACCAAACAGCAGGGGTACACGGCTGATACCTTCATATAATGGTGTAGGAAGTCTGCCCCAATCGCTCATAGCGACAGAGAAGACACGCACGGTGACCTCGACGGGGAGTTTGCCCGTGACAGGATCGTGAGCCATGTTGAGTTCGACTTTGATCGCGACTTTTTCAGCTACTAGCTGTTCAACGAGCTGTTTCGCCTCTGTGAGCTTGCTGTTGATGCTTTTCAACTTGTGGCAGGAGGGGCATTGGCATTCGGGAGTCCTGTCGGTTCGATCTTCTCCAAGTGAGTGATCCTCCATCGTCTGCGAAACGCCAACTTCGGGCAGCTTGTAGACTTCAGCAAGTACGATTAGGATGAGAACGAAGATTACAAATGCCTCACGTACTATCTTAGTCCGTTTCTGATATCAAGAAGGCTTGACAGAAACGTTGTGTTGAAAGGAAATGAAAAAGACGGAACCAATGATGGGGGTCCAGTGTTGTGATCTTTTATCTAATCTCATTTGAGATAAGATAGCGTTAACTAATAAATGCGATTCGAAAATATGCACATTGACGAGGCAAAGATAGAAGGCGACGGACGAAACACAAGGAGGAAACAGATAGCAACAAAAACGGTAGGAGTGGCCATCGGAGATCGCGATATACTCCATGAGTATCGGCAGAAAATGCGAATAAGCAGTGGGCTGATTGACCAGTAAGCTACTGTGACGTAAGACGGATCGTAGAAATCGTAGAGCCACATGGAATCCCGGTACGCAGTCCATAAGTTCGCAAAGTTTGCTACAAGTTATGTCCTTCAATTCCCTCAATAGCCCCGCGATTCTGAAACATACATCCCACGAACACAGAATCTCACCTGAATCAGCGAATGATAATCCACAGACGCCAAAAGGCATTCTATGGTTCACTCCTGTGCACCCTCAGCTTCACGTCGACGGTCTTCATGAAACTTGCGCGATTCTGCGAGCAAATCGGCAATTTTATTACCATATCCAATGGTAAGATCGAATCCCCGTTCAGTCACCTCGGTCAAGCGCAGGATGGCCTCTTCGTTGATGAACCTCGAGGGATCTACGTCGTTGACTGGCATATGGAAAGAGACTGAGCTGAGGGGTCTACGATGGTTAGTCTCGGGTTCCGAGGTCGACGGTGCTGCGAGCATCGAGGCGAAAGAATTCCAGGAAAACTCGGCCCATAAAACGCGAATCTCCAACTTCTGAAGATGGGGCAGGAAGCCATCGGCGACTTCGTGCAAGGGAATCGACGCGGTTATGGCGAGTAGGTCGATAAACTCGTCGGTCACAGGGCAATCGTCGATGTTCAACTCCTTGAGCCAGGTCGTCGCACGCAGAAGGTCGATGATGTCATGCATCTGTGATTCGACGCCCAAGAGGGAAAGGGAATGCAAGGGAGAGGCGGAGCGGGTGACCAAAGATTTGAGACCGACGAGGGTGTTCGATGAGTAGTCCACATATTCAAGAGCAGGTGTCTGAATCCGACCGAACAACAAAAATGGTGGGATATCGTAGATGGCGATGGAGAGGCGCTTCAGGGAGGAGACGACGGTGGGCCTTTGGGGGATGGGGTGGTTGGCGCTTCCGTTGATTATACGTTGTAAATCACAATATGTCAGCTGAGGTGCAACCTGGAAGAGCTGGAGGCATTCGTCGACGAAAAGCTCCCAGAGCATCACAGTCGTAACTCTGCTCCAGTTGATAGCAAGCCCCCTGAACGGTATGCTGGAAAAAGCGACTTTTCGCGGCGTCGCGTTCGGGGTGTATACGACGGTTACGAATCGGTGAGGCTCTGAATGCTCGGGTTCGGGAAACACAGAAATATCCTCGAGGAGCACGGCGCTGCCGCCAATTTCTCGAAGACGAGGAACACATTGGAACGGGATGGACAAAGATAGCTCCTTCCAACGAGCTGAATACTAGTTGATGACGTCGAGTACCTCGTTTGAAAAGGTGATGGAATCTTCCTCGGGGCATAAGTGAACGGTCCGGATGGTTATTAGGAGAGGGAGCTGCCCCGAACGCCGAATCCATTCATCCAACAGCGTGCCCCGGTGCATGGCATTCCCTGGCGACAAGCAGATATCAACCTCCGTCCAAAGCGAGGGCGTCAACCACGCAATTTCCCTCCACCTCCGACATATGGCCCCAAACAGGAGAGGCGGTCGTACTGTGTTCCTTTTAGAGTCCATGAAAGAGGGGAGATAATTCCAGCCGCTCATGGCCAGAGCGAAGATGCGCGTGGTGAGCTCGATGGGAAGCCTGCCAGTTATAGGGTCGTGGGCGGCGTTGATTGCGGATTTGGTGGCTTCCTTTTCGAATGCTAGCCGTGCGACGAGCTGCTTGGCCTTTTCGAGCTGGCTATCGAGGTTTCTGAACCTCTGGCACGGAAAACACTGGCATTCATGATCTTCGGGGGTGTGGACTTCCATCGGAAAGCCTAACTCTAGTGAAACCAAGACATCAGCAAGCACGATTAGGAAGAGAATGTTGTCCATACTTACATTTGTCGCCACAATATCGTTACAACCCGGTTCAGTAGCTGAATCGATGTGCTGGAGGTGAAAGGAAGTGAAAAGACGCGTCGAACGCGGCGAAAATAGTCGCCAAGGCGGTCAACGCCATGTGTTTGTTTTCCATCTTATGGAAGCAAAATTAGTAAAGGTCACAAGATCAATGAGGGAGTCGAGCGAAAAGACATGTCGGCCAACGAGACGTATCCAACCTATGGGAGGCGGAGGATTCTGGAAGGAGTGAGAGCCACGAGAACTCGCAGCCGTTGCTTTTAACTGTTACCTACAATTGCCATGAAAACGCAACCGGTCCCGCGAAGCCTGCAGGCAAAAGACGAGCGAAAGAATGTCAATCACAATGCCAAAAAAGAGGGGAATAGTTATACAATGTGATTTGAAAATATGAGTACATTGACGAGGTCAAAAAGATAGATGGGATGCGGCGTACGAGATCAATAGCAAAAACAATAATCGACGGATGGGTCATGAAAGGTCGTGATGTTTGATTAGCTGGGGATGTGAATAAGCAGTGTGGGGGTTGGGTGGATGAACACGATGCGAGAAAGAACGTAAAGCGATGGGCGGATAAAGCTTGCTGAAAACATGGAGTCAAGTGGGGATGAGGATGCTGTAAGTGCCTAACCATTGGGGTTATCGTCTCCAATCAGCGTGCGATCGAGGGAGACTGTCGGACACACAGCCAATCAGGGCGTGAAGCACGTCCATCTGAGCGCTGGTCAGAAGAGCAGCACAACGCCTCCAGAAGCCCGAGTTGGTCAGGATAGAAGCTTGTAGAGGAACATCAGGAAGGTGATGATGCTCATGAGCCGGCTGACCGCACCCCACGACGTGGAGAACGGAGTTGTGCTAAGATTCAGGGTGCTGGTGTTAGCACCAATGAACGGCCTGGTGCTTTTGTGATGTTCTGCCTTCAGGTCGCCATCTTCTGACTCCTCGCTCGCGGTGATGACCGTGGAGGATGATGAGGTTGAGGTGGAATCTGCTGACAAATCGGCCAGGGAAGACGACGAGAAGCCCTTCGCGTGTGCTCTCTTCGGGGATTCAGAAGCGGCGTCATTCAAATGCGCGGCAGGTGTTAACGGGGATGAAAAGGATGCTCCGGCCAATCTGGTCGTCGGGGACAGCGAATGACGCCTGTTGTGCGACGGAACTTGCGACGCCGGGAGGAGCGCAGGTGGTATGAGCGAGAGCGTGCTTCCCTCCAGCGAGCATGTATTTTCGCAGTTCGGACACCGCCCTTCTGCGTTCGGGCCGTGCAGCCACTAAAATGACAAGATGAGCATTTGGAAAGTAGAAGACGAGCGCACGACGTACGTCCGCCAGATGCTCTGTGCAAAATATCTTCCCACAACATAGCGTCCTGCATGGGTCCACTGCATACTCGAAGCTACAGACGATAAAATTAGCCCGGACCTTAGTCAACGTATCCAAGAGCGAGCTCACCAGATCCCACAGTCCCTGTCGACGGACTCCTTGAGCCCTGTTGAGCGCTTTCCTGGCTGAGACTGCCACGACCGCCGACGTGTCGGTACTTTGGGCACGGCGACACCAGCCGCAGCCCACTGCTCGACAAAAGCGGCATTGTCGAGAAGGTTCGTCGTGCTCTCCGAGGCGGGCGTTTCCGCCCCCAAGTCTAGGTATCCACAGTCATACTCCGATTCCCCACTCTCCTCATCTATGCGCCCCAGAAAGAGAGGTGGTGGTAATGGACGGTTTCGTTGGACGCGCGGCGGTGATGATGGGGCGTTTAAGGGGTATGAGGGCAAGTTCCGGTTCGTTGGACATGAAACCAGTCGAAGCGGTGTTTTCATGTGGCATACACGATGTACCAGGTCGATGTGTTGGACAGACGATTGCAAAGAATGAGACGACACTTGATGAGCTCCTGTCGACGTATTGGATAGAATACACACCAGAACATGAGCTTCCCTCATACCAATGCTCTTCAGGACTTTGCTCGGGCAATTTGAGATGGAGGTTGGACCGTTTTCTCCGTGTTAAGGACATGTCGGATGGGTCGTAGACAATAGCGAGGGTATGTACTATTGTGCAGTCAACAATGGTGGTGAATGAAGAAGAAACTCAAGGGCCTGAAGTGGAAGTAAAAAACAAAAGCTGGATCATTGAATTTTCAAATACTTTTATGTCAAAAGCGGGGTAATCACGTGCGACATATTTTCCTTGGCATTGCCCCTGTCTCTTCAAACGCCTCGAACGGAACTAAACAATAACGGTACAATTGAATGGAAGCTCGGAACCTGTCGCAGGAAAGAGGAAGTCGCTTTCTGGCTTTTCCAATCCCTTCCAACTTTATTTCCTCTTTTTTCTTCCGGTACCCGTCTACAGACAACTCTCCCTACGCGCTCGGCCGCCCAAATAGCGCGCAAATATTGGATCCGTCTAGAACAATTTCGGAACACGTCGAGACACGCCGGGTCAATTTGCAGAGACCGAGTTTCTACTCTGTGCTCCATGGAACAACGAGAAAGTATTTCTAATGACTCCACTTTCGCTGTCGTCACCAGTAGCTTATCGGCGAGACGCATGCTGCACCAACAATGCCGGTGTGGCGAGTACCAGACATCGCCTAGAGTGGAACCGGGTGGCGAGAAGCGTCCATGTTATCGGCCTTTTTATGGCCTCCGATATTAACCTGGGGCCGCAGTTCACCGTTCCGTCAAGCAGGACGAACGGAGGATCACACCATCTATGTCATTGCCAATGACAGCGAAGAGTTGTTGGCCTGGAACGGCAATCATCGATTTGATCCCGTATGTTACGCCACACAAACTCTGGCAAGTCCAAAGCTACATACTATTATTATGACCCAATATTTGCATATTCTTCGTCCGTCGTGAATTACAATTCACCATGACCACTTTTCCCAAAAGCTTGTACATGTAAAGAGTGCTAGTTAGTATGATAGGCATGAAAAATGCAAAGAGCCTAGGTGAGGGCGAGCAGAACACACATTCAAGTTTTCAAACACTAGTAGAAATGGTACCTAGTGTCATGCCAAATGTCTATTGTACACTGTGCTCTTGCGACGTCATCTAAGTCTTTACAGCAGAACCTAGACTACGTATCCCTACATTGAGAGCTCGTTTATGAGTGATGACTGATGAGCTTGAACGACAGCTGGACACTCACCCCATTCACACGAATATTCTGACCGTTCACCCACTGCGCAGCCTGGCTCGCAAGGAAATCAACGATAGGGGCTATATCCTCAGGCTCGCCGACCCTTTGAGCGGGATTCTGCCTCGCAATTGAATCAAGGAGGCCTTGCGGTTTGCCCTCGCGGAAATAAGGAGTGTCGATGGGACCAGGCGAAATTGTGTTGACGGTGATGCCACGACTTCCAAGATCCTTTGCGAGGACTCTGGAAATCTGTTCGATGGCGCCCTTAGTGGCGAGGTAGCAGAGAGAGTTTGGTGTGACGTCTGTCAGGATATTTAGTACGTCCAAAAAAGAAACAATTAGAGATGCTTACTAGATGACGCAGTTAAGCTAGACGAAAAGAAAATGATTCGTCCGCCCGCTATAACCAAAGCTTGTAAGCAGAAAGTTCCAAAAATAATGAGGATGCAATCTACGAGACTGAAGAAGCGGCGCAGCAGCCTTGGCCAAAAACAACGGCGCCTTCACGTTGGTGTTAAACTGAGCATCGAAGAACGCCTCGTCCGTCTCAGCGAGTGTCTTCGCTCCCCAAGTCCCGGCGTTCAATATGAGGATATCAATCCTGCCAAACGTTTTCATCGTCTCGTCCAAGAGGTGCTGTCCGCCTTCGAGCGTCACTGTGTCGGCCTTGACGGCGATGGCGCCGCCTTTGCCTTGGGAGCGGATGGTCTGAACGACCCCATCCGCCAATGAGGCGTCGTTCACGTAGTTGACGACGACGTTGGCACCTTGTTCGCCGAGGTATCTTGCGACGGCAGCACCGGTGGAGCGAGCTGAGCCTGTGACGACGGCGACTTTGCCTGTAGGACAGGAGCAAAATTAGAGGGATGTTGAAGGCGGAAAAGAGGATAAAAATAAATATCATGCTTGCCATGCAGTGAAGTAGGCGGCAATGAAGTCGAGGAATTGGAAAACTGTTTCACCATCTTGGGCGACGAGGGAACGGTCAACTGGTTGCCGTTCGGGCGAATGGCATTGAAAATGTTAGCCATCGTGCTTGGAAGGGTGGTCTTTCGAGATGGAGGCATGCTATAGAGAGAATGTTGGGACGGTGGGCGCTGCCAAGAAACATATACATATATGTTCTTACCCCCGCAGTCCCCATGTTCACGGCGATGCTGGAAACGTGGAGTTGACCCACAATCCTCGCCTTAGCAGCATGGCGAGGCGAAGCAAAATTGTGGACATGGATTGACGCATTCCAGGCTCAAACGCTGTCACCAGAAACTAAACGTGGTCTAGGGGCCAGGAGTGAGTAGCACGGCGGTGTTGTTGGGCGCTTTTTAACTCGTCATTATCCATATTATCTTATCTTTGCTGGATAGGAAGAAAAGATTAAAACCACGTTCATCGGAATCGGCGGGATTAAACAGCCTCCGGACGTCATTAACAGTAGCGTTCAGTTCCGTTGTATACGTACGGAATCGACAAGCATTATATATCCTCCCGTTCCGACCTGCTAGACATATTAACGAAACATCGACCATCTTTAGAGCAATCACCACTTACCCGCAAAGCATCATGATTCGGAAACCTCGTTTTCGTCGCGACCTGTCAAGGTGCTGTCTTCTTGAGCAATCGCTTCCTTTTCTGTTCGCGGTGATGTTCGAGGGATGCCTTAACGATATCCACCCCACCGAATCCGTAAGCTATCATGATGAGCTCAACTCCGCGCTCTCTGATGCGCAGGATCTCGGACAGGGTCTCTTCATCAATGAAATCGATGATCGGGTCCCAGTTGAGCTCAAAATACTTATCAAGGCTCAAGGACTCAAGCGGTCGGCGAATCGAGTCAGGGGAAGGGGGTTCCAAGCGGAATATCGGAGGTACAGAACTCCAAGAAAAATGTTTATCGTTTCGAAATTCTAGTCTTCGGAGGTTGGGTAGGAATGTTGATTCGTCTTCGCTGTCAACTGAAGAGAACACAGTAGAAGCGAGGAGTTCGAGAAATGCGTCCCCTGCAGGGACGAAACAGAGTTTCAGAGTCGTGACGAATGGCGTTCCGTAGAATAGATTGATGAGCTCTTCCTCGGTGCCTCCAACCCCGGACAGGTCAATGAAAGTCAGGGGGCAAGAAGACCTAGCCAAAAACGGAGGCAGTGAGCTGACGTCGTATACTCCTCCCCATTCCAAACTTGTTAGCGACGGGCAACCTAACTGGGCAAAGAAAGGTTCCACCAAGGGCTTGGAGTAGAATTCCGATAATTTCAATCTTTGGAGGTGCTGAAGGACCACAATGTCGTCAGGCATCCCAAAACCGCCGGCACCTTCATCAACCAGATTGAACCAGCAATTCATGAGTTGAGGCGCTAGCCGGAATAGCTGATAGCTTTCGTCGATGAAAATCATGCCCAGTTCGACATGAGTGACATTGGCCCAACTGATTCCTATCAACCGGAAAGAAATGCTGTAGATTTTAACGACGTGAGGGGATGGAGTGAAGTTTCGAATACTGAAGGCTGCGGTTGGCCGAGCATATGTTGCGCGCCGGCCGATACTAAGGGTTTTCAAAATGGAGGCTCCTTCGATCAAATCGCCGAAGAGGTGTCTTAGGAGTCCAAAAGAAACGACGTCGATGTCTAGTTCTGCCCACCGACTCGAGTATCGGTTGAGAAGTGGGATGATGGGATGAGGCCGAGGGGATGGGGGATCCAAGATATCTCCAGCTGGAAAGCGGATATGAATCGAAAGAGGGAGTTGTCCCGAGCGCGACAGCCATCGTTCGGCGGTTCCTACTTGACAATGAGGATTAACTGATCTGATTACAACACAGATTCTGGTCCAGAGAGCGGGTGTTGACCACGCGACCTCGCGCCACCTTCGACAAACGGCGCCTAACAAGAGAGGTGGTTGGACTTTACGTCGGGTGTTTTCATCGTATTCTCGATTTGCTGGATGTCCCGCCGTAGTGCAGAAGACGAACACAAGGGAAACAACTTCAGGTGGAAGGTTTCTCATGGGATCGTGGACGTCGTTGTCGAGGCTCATGAGGTCTCTGTGAGCTTCAAAGAGATCTGAAAGCAATAGCTGGGCTTGATGTATCCTGCCCTCAAGGGCATCGACTTCCGAGCAGAACTTGCATGCACGATTGTTGTAATGTGAACATCTAGGAGTTTTTGTCAAGCCAGCTTTTCTGGCTGACGCCCCCAGAGATGGAGACCCTGTATTCATCTGCAAGTCAGGGGATTAGATGTATTGAATAGATGTATACGAAATATTGAGCTTACCTCTGCTAAAAGTTGTTAGTGGTCGAAGATTGACAAGTACTTACGGACGAGACAGAGACAACGAGGTATCGGATATCCCCGGCGGAGTGAAGAGCCGGGCCGAACTTCGACTCTGACGCTTTGTTGATACAAGTTCGCCAGAGCCACCTCACAAGTTCTCAAAAAGAGTACATAGAGGGCATTCATAGTACAACTCGTACTTCACTATTATAACTATAATAATCTAGAGGTTCTGACGTTGAGCTGCAATCCATTATCAAGCCCTTAGCGTTGGCCGCACGCCTTGCTCTCGTACTTCCCTAGATCAACAATAATATTTTGCGGTTCTTGAGACCTACCCTCTAGGTAGTTCTGCAGGATAGCCTTCGTCCCATTGGCGTAGCGAGCCTGAGCATCGAGGGTGGTCCCGGAGTAGTGAGGCACCATACCGTTTCCACCACCGAGAGGATTTTTCATCGTGCGCCAGACATGGTCTCTTGGTGCTGGTTGCACATTCCAGACGTCACCGGCGTAACCGCGTAACCGTTGATTTGTCCGCTTGCAAGGGCGGCAGCGATTGCGTCCTTGTCGCAGATGGCACCACGGGCGGTGTTGACAATCCAAGCACCCTTCTTGAAGTGCTTCAATAGTTCGGCGTCGACAGGCCCACGAGTGCCGTCGTGGAGAGGGCAGTTACATAACGAATTACCATTGTCCGGACAGTGCTCACCTTCATGGCGTCTTGAAAATTAAGAGATGAGATTGGTTTGAGGCTTTGATTGTGACTTCGGGGGAGGAGAGAGGGCGATTGTGTTGGAGAAATGGAGGTTGATCCCACATGTCTTCATACTCCAGCAGCCTGCGAGGGGAATAATATGGCGGGAGATGCAGGGGGTTATCATTAGCGCCTTGCTCAGAAGAGATGGCTCGGATTCACAATGTAGTGAAAGCCGTGAATGCCCTTCGATAAGCGCGATCCAAACTGCGTACAGAATCTTTCCGGCGGCTACATCGTCGAAAGGAGCAAAGGTCGTCATTCCGTAATTTCCGTTGGCTTGTTCCGCAGCTCGGGGACTATTGCTAGAGATCATCCCCATGGCACGTGCGCCGCCGCGAGAGCATCCCCCGTCATCCGGCCATCCACGTACGGTGCATTTCGGGATATGCCACTTCAGGATCTCGGAAGACTATGGAATATGTAGATCGATATACTTGCATCGTGGTGACAGTTATTTTTTGCGACGGACGTCTATGGGTGGAACCAATGCGTATGCGAGGATGCGTATGCGAGGATGCGAAATTTCTATTTCCCGTGCGCGTGAAGCAACACCTGCCTACGGAGGCCGTTAATGAGCAAAAATACAGGAGGAACGGAAATTTTGGAACGCACGTCATCGCCTCACAGAAAGCGGCAATCTGAGAACTTTGACAGCGCTCAAGGAGAACTTCTCCCACCCATCGGCATGAGAGTGTACCTCAAACGAAAGGAGCCAAAATCTGCAGCAGGCTGGGATGAGTGAAAGTGTTGAACGAACGTCGAAGCTTTGAAGAAGTTTGAACAGCTTTGAACGCACCGAAAGTGTTGGCCGTCGCTGACAAATCTGATCACACGATGAGACTTTGTCATCAGTTTACTCTCGTTGATTGGCTGAAGACTGAGGTTGCACTTTAACATCATATCCTGGTCTCACCGTCTACATCATCCTTTGAATTCTGAACACTGCCTGCTCATTGGTTGTGATTGCCTAGGCGCAAAAACATTACTTCTTCCACTATGTGAAGCTTCCTTGCAGTATTGCCTCTTGTGGCGCATGTTATGGCATCCACATTTCTCAAACCCCAAACCAGCCCTCCGAGTCGAGGCGCTTGTTCGGATGAAGGTAAGTGAATCATTCTACCACACTTGCGGCCTCATCCATGGATATATTATTTAATGTCTCTCTTAGGTCATATAAATGTGCACCCGAAGTTCCGCATCGCACCTGTTGTGGTTGACACAATCCACAATCTGGACCCATTCGACATGCAGCATGTTGGGAGAATTTGCCAGAAATGCGCCAGGCAAGGCAGTTCGTATCCGCGAGTTCTCTACGAGTTCATCGGAGCGCTCGGCACAGCTACTTCATTTATTGCAGTGCCCCTTATTCTCGACCTGCTCGATTGGTGAGCACGTTCGGAACATACGACGAGAGGCGCTCGCCTCTACGCGTCGGGACCCAATCCTGTGGCCTTTCGAACGGGCTAGACGAAAACCATTTCGTTGAAGCGCCTATTGATTTGCGCCCCCGCCTTCCATCTGATTGTGCGAGGAACAGGTCCCAGGGGCTCGTAGAAAGAGCATATGTCGAGCCGCCCTATAAAATGGCATAGGTATGCTCCTTCGTTGCCGCCGAAATCATCCCAACCACTCTAAACACTATCTCAGGACAAACTCTCTACCATGGATATCGCAAGCGGAGTCTACACACTCACCCTCGGTATCATGAACTACGTCTCGGAGCAAGAAGATCGACACACGATCGCAGCACGGATCCGCGCAATCGTGGGCCGAATCAGCTCCATCATCACCCCTTTGACCACCCGCCGGACTATCGACCCCATCGTCCAGGATTGCCTCCAGGACCTTGTCAGGCTTCTCGAGGACACCCAAGCCCATCTTAGGAGGTGGACTGAGACCCGGTCGTCCAGAGTCGTCGGTGTTGTTAACCCCTGGCTTGTTACGCACCAGCTTCGTGAAGACAGGGAGGAGCTCATGCAGGGATACGCTCTTCTGGTTGGCGCTATCAATCTCGACAATAGCATGAACGGATATAGGTTCGTCTCCCCGAGGTCTACGCTACTCGCGCCGCCTGAGAGGGAGCATCATGGCGAAGGATCCCCCTCCTCGTCCCGTTCAGTATCCCCCATGAGGTCGCTCTCTCCTCTCCGAGCGTCCCCTACTCCGCTGACGTCTTCCGAAGCTAACGACTTTTGGGAGAAGTACTTTGACGACGAGGTAAGGCTTCCACTTTCTAGAAGAACAATATGTAACATTATCCATTCTCTCAAGGTTGCAGACAGCGATGAGTTTTGCGAGGCGCTTTCCAAATGGTTAGGCCGCCCTTTGAATGACACCGAGTGCAAGAGGCTCCTTCTCCGACTCGACATCGGCGACACTGGGCACGTGGCGTATTCCCGATTCGAAGAATGCGTAGGAGCAGAAAGACTGAAGCATTTTATCGCGTTGTACTCCGCCGGTAATGTTTTCCGATTTCAAGGTGACGATGTCTTTCTTAACGACCGTTGCAAGATCCTCCATTGCCATTGCTAATATGGGTCGACGACAGTTTGGACGAAAATTCGACCAAAGCCCAAAACGCCACGTCTTTTGGAGTAACTGTAGTGCAGTTGTCGTCGACGTACGGCGCGAAGGCGTGGATTAATGCAAACTACTGTAAGAAGTGTCTACTTGATTCCACACGTAAATTTTGCTAACATCTCCCTTATATTCTATTCAGCGTTTCTAAAACAGCACGACGACGCAGCTCACATTCGCTTCATCTCCGATCAGAATCGTCGAGAGCGCACCCCTGATGGCGGTGTAGTGGCGAACCCCAACGCTGGGCAGGAGATTTTGGACTTTATTCGCGGCGAAGGTTTCAAAGCGCCGTTCCTTATTTCGACGTCTCGAAAAAGTATCCACTTGACGAAGTACGTTGAAAGCTACCAAATGGCCGGCTCGATGACGGCCAATTATCCTCTATTTCTGGAATATGTGTCTTCCCTCGCCGCAGGCATCAGGGATGACACGAGATGGATGAGGTATAACGCCTAGTGCTTTTGCCGGTTTCTCTTCCTTTATTCCTTTACTATGTCTGTTATTCTAGTCCACTCTAACAAGTTCAATCCTTTGTTATGCTTCGGTCCGGCAACTCAAATACCCTTCGCTGACCAACAAGAAATTGTCGTGAAGCCGCCTAGCAGTGGATTGGCTAGATGGTCAATCCGGACCGCTTTCTTCCGCTCAGCCCGCACGCTCTAGACACCCAACCATGTTGACCAACAGACCCCGCCATTCAAGTAGGTTCGAAGTTTGAAACTACTACTACTGAGGCCACAAGCGGCTCAGCAATCAGCGCACCGTACTCCAGGAGTTCTAATTGCACCAGTATCTTGGTACGTTAGCTATAAAACTCGGAAACGTCTATGACGTTCTCCACATTTGATAAGCCTTTTGCGGGCGGGGCGAAGAAACCTCAGAGTCTTGGCACCAAGAGTTGATTAAAGTTCTTGTCCAGCCCTTCGCGCAGCCGCCACAGAAAGGTCGCGCACAGGTTTGTTCCTGGATCATGAATGTCGGACGTTTTCCCCTCTTTAACATGGCCATAACTTCCGCCCCGACTTTTCTCTCGTAACCCCTCGTCTGCCCCCCTCTCATTCCTATCATCGTATTGCGGAGGCTGTGGGCATGGATCTCGTCACAAGCGTATGCAGCCTCATCGACGCCATCCTCGAGTTCATCAACAACCACGACGGTGTCAAATGTCCCACAATTTTGCAAATTGCGAGCCTCCTCACCCAGATCGAAAAGCTCGTTGTCCCCCTCCTCGTCCGGAAGCACCTAAATTTGCCTCTACGTCAGTACCTGGAGGACCTGGAGGGCTGTTTGATGGCGACGCGCGGGGATCTTCGTGCATGGCACCAAGGGCGGTCGAATAAACTGCACACCTTCCTCACCCCACGGTCAGCCCCCCGCGAGCTGAAGGACGACAGAGAGTTCTTGATCCGGAAACACGCCACGCTCTCCACAGCAGTGCAAATCTCCAGTCATGTCAAGGGATACAACATCGTCTGCCCGACCTCCAGCATCCGGCTCATCATCGAGAACAAGTCGGTTCAGAGCCTGAAGATGAAGATGAAAGGCTCCGATGCCGACCAAACGTCGCTTTTCGAAGCGAGTCAGTTCTGGAAGTGTTACATTGGCGATGAAGTGAGTGTTAGGCCACCTCGATATCTAATCATTCTTGAACGCGACTAGACAGAGTTCGCGGATAGCGAAGACTTCTGTGAAGTTCTGTCACTTTGGCTTGACGAACCGTTGAGCGATCTCGCCTGTAGACGGCTTCTGCTGAGACTCGACGAGCACAGCACAGGATATATATCATTTTCAACGTTCCAAGAATTCATCCGCAATGGCAATTTACGGGAAACTGTTCATCTGTTCACAGCAGGTGAGACTCGTGCTCCATTATTGAGTGCAACTAATTTCGTGTTTCATAGACCCTCATCTTCCTTTACTTGTCTGGATAGATGACGACATAACGGGGAATATCCATAAACTCCTGGATGTGTCGGCGGAACATACCACCGTTGTGCAACTGGTGTCGACTGCTGCGGCAAAAGCTTGGGTAAACGTCAACCACGGTATTAGTGTCCCATTCAATCTAGTGTTGCCCAGCTGACCTGCTCAACACGAAAGATTTCCTCAAGAAGTATGACGACCCCGCGCACATTCGGTTTACATCAAACCAAATACTCGAAGAGCGCAACGACTACCACGTCAAAGTCACCAACGATCAGGCTGGTCTGCAGATTACTAGCCATATCCGCGATATCGGCATTAAGGCCCCAATCCTGATCTACACCACCAAAGCAAACATCGGGTTGACAAGATATGTGGAAGATTACGATATGGTGGGCTCACTAGGGGGGAATAGCCTGATTTTCCATGCTTTTGTCGCAGCGCTTGCTGGTGGTAGAAAGGACGACTCGCGGTGGATAAGATACAACGCCTGAGTTGTGGTAGCACGTATGTCTATTTTTTTTTCCTTTCCCCATGCGCCTATGCTATCAATTCAGAGATGCAAACTACTCCACCTGTTATTCTAGACCTGACACATGTGATGATCTGACAAATCGGACCTTTCGAACAATCCATCAAAGGTCGGAAACTGCTGGCTTATCCCACATACGCCACTACCCCATCTCCACTCTCCACTCCCCAATGCAAATCGAAGAGGGGAAAGGACCTATAAGGCTCCCAATCGAGCTCCTCGAACATGTTATCAGCCTTATTCAAGCCCACGATCCAGTTTCGCTCAAGACTTGCTCCTGCGTGAGCCAAACCTTCGCCGCACTTACTCAAAAGCATATCTTTCGCGAGATCTTGTTCACGCCGCAGTCCTCTCTGAACGTAACGGGGGAGACGTTCCGGAGATTCTTCGATCTGCTACAGGAGTCGCCTCATATCGCCCGCTACGTCCAGGGGATCGTGATCGACGCCACATTCTTGGCGGCATCCACCCGCAATCATTATCTACAACGCACCTTACCCCTCCTCAAAGAGCTCCGAAAAATCGGGCTGTCGAAGAAGCACGTCAGCGTCGACTCTTTCTGGTGGTACTTTATGGATGTCGAGACGCGAGACGCGTTGCTCGACGTCTTTCGATCCCCACTCATTACCGACATCGACCTCACCGGAATTCGAGATTTCCCCCCAGAAGAATGTTTCATCTTTACGCCATCCCTGAAGAATCTATCCCTCCCAACATTAGTATTCGACCGCAGTTCCATTAATCCTCTTGCTTATCTTTTGAACACTCCATCCTCATCCTCGCCATCGCCTACTTCAACGCCCCCAACATGCAGCGCACTCGTGGCATCAAGTCCTAAATTAGAATCATTGACTATCGTCGATGTTCTAGACAATGGCTTAACATTGCCGTGGCTCGCCTCACCGGTGTCCATTTCGCCGGTCGACCTTGCCGAACTCCAAACCCTCCAGCTCGACTTCGAAGAAGTGACGTCTACGAACAATCAAGACTCTTCCAAACTCGACATGGCCATGAGTCTCTTCTCCCGAACTCTGACCCGCTTTCGCCTCAACGTGCTTCAGAGAAGTAAGTATAGTCTGCCCCAAGGCGTCATTTACCCAGTGCTGATTCCGACCTATCGCAGATATGGCATACTTCCTCTGGTCCGAGACCCAAGGCTGGAGTAGTCTTCCACGATCTAGCATCCGCCCACCAAATCTCAGCATTCTCTCTATGTTAGATTGCATGATTATCGACTCGAAAATCTTCCAACACCCGGTCGGCTCTGACCGCCCACTATCATACCGCAGCCCACTACCATGGATTGCGTGGCTCCTCGACGGTTCAGCCGACTTGGAGCTCAAGAAACTTATTTTGAATATCTCATTTCGAGGAATAGCGAGGACAATCCTTCTCAACTTGGATTGGTGTAGACTGACCGAAGCATTGTCGGCGAGAATGCAGTGGAAGGGGACGGCGGTTGAGCTCCATTTTTCGAGTATTGAATCCGCCGGTATAGAGGCACTGGGCCATAACAAGAGTTTCGCAGAGCTAGCTACTAGAGGTGTGACGATTTTGTGCAGATCTTAGTCATTACGCTATGTAGGAGGTACAGCCCCTACATTGTGTGCGGTTCATAGCTTCGCAGTATGTGTTGCATTTAGACATATGAACAGCATAAGCAATGTTGGAAGGAGCTTATGTAGTTTTACAGCAAAGTATATCGAGGATCGATACCTTTAACGCGGATTACATATAGGAGTAATATACAGTTGAAGAGCGTCTCTGCGCGTGAATGTGTAAGGGGTCTGTCGAGCAAGGTCATGAGAAATTTTCATCATCTGTTCGTAGAATCCTTCGGGGTATCGTAGCTTCGTCCATAGGCCATCTTCCTGTCAGTCAACGGTTCTAGAACCTGCGGCCTGGAGGACCACGACGCCCGAACCGACACCAGCAACGACGAAGGCGGTTGCAACATCCCCAATAGTCTTCCGCACTTCCGCTCCGACGTGCTCGTGTTCATCCATGAGCTCCTTCAGCTCTTTTCTATGGTTCTCAACCGCCAGCCTTCGTGACCGGCCAGTTACGACGACAAGCTTAGTCGTAGCAGCCGAGACCAGGCTGGCACTGGCGTGCTGGATGGTAGCATGCAGGGGTATAGGGGTAGAAAGGGTGTTGAACTCGATGTGTGGCCGAGCAGAAGACGATGAGGAAGAATGAACTGATCTGCTGTCAGGACCAGCCTGCGGTGGGGTGGCATACCGAGCCCAGATGATGTTATCTGCTGTCTCCGACTGCAAGCGCGTTTCGGTGTTTTGTTGCCCGTAGACAGTGTCAGGGATTCCGGCGATCCTCTGGGGGCAACAGAAGTGTTATGGGATAGCATACAGGTAGCAAGTCAATGACACGTACCGAGCCAACGGTTAGAGCGTTCAATTCTTCGTTCATCTTCGGATCTTGCAATCCATCTCCCAGATGAGCAGTGGCAGGCTTTGCAGGGGCAGGATCGGCGCCATCGGTTGGGACATCGGTCGGGGCATCAGTCTTCGTGATCCTAACCACGGTACCTCTGATCCTGGGGTTCGCACAAATCTGTACGACGAACTCCAAGGCGAGACGATCATCTGGACCACCGAAGAACGGCAAGAAAATGTGTTGCTGATATGCGCCGTCATATGCGGCTCCAACGAGAGAGGATGAATCCAGTGTGCTTTGATCGACGAACAACGCTACGTCTGTCGTGGCCTGCGAAAAGACGCCACGTACGAATTGAGAGTGGGTAATAGCCACTGCCTTGCTGACGTCTGCACCTCCTGGTGTACTGTGCCCAGGAGACTTCAAATTCGAAGACCTGAACAACAAATCGAAAGGGTTGTGTGAAGCCGCACTTCTAACCGCCGACATCGGTGCAGTCGCTGGAAGGGCGACAGGCTGCTGTTGGGGCGTAGGGGATAGAGGATGATGGTCGATTATTGAATCGTTGAAGGCGTCGGGGGCGGGAGGAAGCCACGGGATCATGATCATATCCGATTCGTAGTTTCTCGCGTGTTCTGCCACACTGTACGCCATGTCGTTGAAATTTACGACGGATAGGGAGGGAGAAACCCGAATGCCGTTGAGAAGCCCAAACATGCGAAAGATGGAAAGGAGGGGGTCGGTAAGAAGGAGAGAGTCCGAAAATGAAGACTTCATAACAGCCGATACGCGATCGGACAGTTCGATGATTCTTAAAGCTTCGGTCGAGATACTGCGAGGAGTTCCAGCGTCGCTTTGAGAAGAGGAGGGCTCTCGAGCGGTAGAAATCTTCCGTTCGCGAGTCGTTTGTGGGGGCTGAATGAGTTGAGTGATGGCCATCATAGCGGGCACATGCTCTAATTTGTCGAGAACAACAGTGAAACGAGCCTTGAATTCTCCGTCTTGAGCGGCAGGACGTTTGTGCTGAGCAGCTTCATCGTCAGGGACAAAATCGAAGTTCGCCCCCGAAGCCGCAATGCGACGCCTCAGATGCGGGGGGTAGAGCCAAGTGACGAGAGGTGTTGTCATGAAAGTTAGAACGAGTGCCTCCAGGACGAACATAGAGAAAACACGCTGCAAGGAAGACGATGAGTAATGTAGGGGCATTGCATTCGAGAAATTTGCTTACCCTCGATAGGATTTCCGCTGACAATCCAACATTGAGAACAATGAGTTCGACCAATCTATGGCACATTAAGCCGACCTCCTGAGCAGGAAAAAAAATAGAACGCACCCCTTGCAACTCATCAACGAGCCAATTGTACTTGATTCGCGCCAATTGAAACCAGCTATGTAGCGCCCAGCAAGCATGCATCCCAAAAATTTACCTAAGAAGGCCGTCACAATAATTGCAATGGTATATCCCCAGGTTATGCCTGTCGAAGAGCGTGAACGAGTTTTCATTAAGGCGACCGGGTAAGGACGCACCATTGTCGAGCAGGGTTAAGTCGGTAGAGAGACCCGAAAGCGTAAAGTACTAAATATACGTTAGTGTCAAGGTTCTCCTCAAGTAACGGAAGTGAATAGTTACCAGCGGAAGGAAGATAATAGAAACCATGTCTTCCAGTTTTTCAGTGATACTGATCGCCAACCCACCTTCACGCGGTACAATGAGGCCAGCCACGAAGGCGCCTATTTTCCAGAGGTCAGCATCACTCAAAGTGTCGCATGTATGCGCTAAAACGGACCGAAGATAGCATGAACGCCAATAACATCGGTGAAAAATGCCGACCCAAACGTTATTAGCATCGTGACCGTCATAAAGAACACAGATGGTCCATTTTCAACTGAAAACGAAGAACGCGTCAAAACTGAATTTCTAGAAAAAAGATGACCGCACGTACTGGAACCCGTCGTTCGGGCCAGCCAAAAGAGCGCCATTTTCACAGGAACGAGGAGGAATATAGTCCATCCGACACACGCAAGCAAGATGTATAAGGCAGTAAGACCTGAGCTCGCATTAACTAGTGCGACACTGAGGGCCAACAGTATCCAGCCAACTTTCGGTTCGATCAGAAAAGAATCTTAGTCACAAAGTGAAGATAGAACGTACCAATATCGTTTCCAACACCAGCAGACAAAACCACGATCCCAACCGTCGTGTCGAGCAACTTCAGCTCCGTCAAAATCCGACATAGGACAGGGAATGCCGTGATGGAGTATGCTACGCCAGTGAAGAGCATAAAATGCGTAAACTGGATATTTGGGTCTATGAACTCCTTGTATACCGCGCGTGCTACACCAGCGCCAATTCCGAAGGGTAAGACCATCCCGGCGAGGGCAATAGAGGCAGAGAGCCGCGCATTTCGTTTAATAACGCCCGAGTCGATTTCCAGGCCGACGAGGAACAGGAAGAGACACAAGCCGATGTTGGCGACCAGACTCAGATAGGAGCGCGATTGCTCCGGAAATATGTGGTCCGTGAAGCCAGGGATTTGTCCAAGGGCAGTTGGGCCTGCTCTTCGTGGTCAGACGACCTCGTAAGGTAGCATATACGCGGGTTGGAGACGCACCAAGAATGATCCCTCCCAACACCTCTGCGATGACCTTCGGTTGACGCATCTTGCTCAACCCCAAAGAAAGTATGCTCGCCGTACAGACGATGATCCCTAGAAATGGCGCATACATTGAGGACCCATAACCGCCGGTGGCCCCTATTGGACGCCGAGTGCCCAGCACGTACCAACTTGGATGATCCATAACCGTATCGGGTCTGACGGATTGAACTCTGTAGGGTCTTTGCCGCTTAACAGGCCTCCCTAGAGATGAAAGTAGATCGTCAAGCCCAATCCGAGTATTCCGACGCCCAACATCTGATACGCACCTGCTCCGTCGCCGCTCTCTTGTGGAACAGGCTGATGACATGGCTGGAGAACTCGGGCATCTCTAGATGGTACCTGGGCGTACGACGGGCAAGACGAGGAGACGTTATAGCTTGAAACGGACCCGTTGGTCGTCTCCAACGTCGCGGCGGTCTAGCGGGGATGATGGTACACGACAAGAGAGGTGGCAGGAAACCGAATCACTCCTCTTTTCTGGTTCCACACCCAAGTTGCAGCCGCTTTTAGCAACCTCTGTGATAAATTGATCGTTTAGAGCGGCGGCACATTTGCAACTGTCCGTCCACGTCTTCTGAAGAATCACGGGAACTCGGCAGATGCATTTGGGATATCGAAAAATCCGCGGTGAGGGCGTGGAATGATAGGTTGGAGCGTCTTATCCTGGCTTTATCATCGTCTGAAATAGCCCTGGTACGTAGAAACTAACGCAAGCGGCAAACGTGCGAGGATGCAGCTTTCATAGTAATGAGCTACAAACCTGGGAGGAGATGGGGAAAGGTAAGTTTGGAAGACAGGTGCCAAGCTCCGATATCGTCTACGTCATCTCTGGTAGAAGCCGAGTCTGGCCAAGCTCGACGATCTGAGGCTTAAGGTGTAGAGTATTCAAGCCACTAGTGAGCAGTACATACTCGAGGGTTTATAAGAAACAACACAGCCATTATTGAGGTGCATTGGTAACGAACGTATATGGGTGGTGTTGCCTACGAAATTCATCAAACCGTCAACGGGTAGGGTATAAAGTTGAGAAGGTGTATAGATATGCATTTATCCTACAAAGATGAAGGAAGACAAAAGGCCTCGCATAGCGCAGAAAAAACAGAATAGATTGAGTACAAATGATGCATCAAGCAGGTAGGTAGGGTCATGAAAGGTTATCACAGTAGTCGTACATAGTTTGAAGGCACAACTGCGGGAGTCGTCAATGAGAGTCAACAATCATGAAACAGGATACGTACTGCCAACTTGTCCAGCTTTCGTCTTGGCTTTCCACCACTTTCCCTCTTTGTTGATAACGAAAAGGACTTCTCCCTTCTTGAAAATCAACTCAGTAGGATCTGATTCCGAGCCATTGTCTGTATGACCCATTAGCAAACCCGTCTCTGTACCGCAAAAAGTGAGCTTACAGTCAAATAAGGCCTCAGCTCTCCATTTCGCCACCTCTTCGGGTGGTTCCTGTGGTTGCGTTGGTGCTTCTTCAGCGGCGGCAGTTCCACTATCCGGTCTGTCCTCCGAACCCTCTCCCCGCGCCTGTGATCCGCCCGCTCCTGTGCTCCTGTTCTCCGATGCTGCACTCGTCACCGTGGCTCGCACTCCAGCACCGCCGGCAGGTTCCTGTGTACTCCAATTGCCCGACCTCGGCTGCTGCTGATGGATGGGCGACATCGGGAACGCGTCCGTGCTGCGCCCGATCTTCTCCACCTTGTTGTATGGCTCGTCTGTCCGCCTGCCCACAGGTATGGCCGCCACAAGCTGTGTCACGGGCGACTGCGGCGGCGATGTGAAGTAGAGAATCCAGAGGAGGTCCACGATTGCGATAATGAGCCAGCCCGCGCCTGTCGCCTTCTCGGCCGATCGAGAGAAGTAGATGTTCCGGTCGACACCCATGACAGCAAACACTGTGGCGAGAGCAGCGAAGACGGATATCTGGGTGCCGTACGCGTACGCTGCGTTGTACGTTGGCGATCCAACGATGACCCGCACCACCAGGGCGGTCACAAGGGTTTGGATGATAATTCCGAACCACAGAATTCGAATACGGGGATTGTTAACTAGAGAATCCTTCAGCAAGGCCCTGCGAGCAGCTTGGAGGACGTACTTTGCGCTGCGACGACGGCTTGCGACACCAATGCGACTAACCACCCAATCTGCGGCTGCGTCAGCCCAACCCACATAACCATCCGGTACAACTCACCAGGCCCAGTACCAACGTTCCCAACAAGAAATAATGGCTTCCTAACTCTCGAGGATGTGCCTCCACTTCTGGCGGTGCGACAGCGGTTGTGGTCGCAGGTCCATGCCCATTTTCAGCCGGATTCGTCGTTGCTACATTCTCAGAGTAAGGCCGCTCCGAAGCCGATGGTGCATAGCTCTGCTGCGCTGGTTCCATGCAGTTCGACGTATAGGAGTAGCCCCGGGTGTTGTAAAGGCACTTGAAAGTAAGGTATAGCGAGGGTCAGAGAAAGTTGAAAGAAGATCCTCGAGGAAAGTTTAAAACATGAGCGTGAGCACGCTGTTGGGATTCTGAAACTAAATGGAAGGCACATGAGATAAATGGGGATAGTCCGGCCGAAATTCATCCAGAAATGGATAGCTCTTGCAGGAAAAATATTTCCTGTGCTTCTGTCCTCATACTTGGGGGCGGTTTGGCACGAAAATCCTTGACATACATTGTTCGAGAAATGCAAGTTTTCGCGTCACGTAAGGAATAGGGATTATACACCCGATAAGCAACTGCAGAGACCCTCTTGCGACGGTGCATAAAGTATCCGAAATAATAATTGTGCGGGCCATAACAATATATAGATCCGTTCGGGCGAGAAGGAGATTATGAAGGGAGCGCTTCTTTCCGCTGAACGAGAGTCGAGGTAATTATACACCTCCCCCACTCTTTTCAACCGGAATGGTCATCCTGTTCGTAACAGAAGAGGGCGTAAAGGATACCTCCTTAAGATTACCGCAAATCTAGTCATCAGATCAGCATATATGCGGTGCATAAAGTCAGATGTGCGGCGCACCTCGATGAACTCATCAAAGTTGACTCGACCATCCTTGAAGCCTGCCTCATCAAGGACGTAGTCCAGCTCTTTCTTCGAGACCTCAGAGTATCCAGGGACATCTTTCAAGAGCTCAAGGATCTCTTCCGTGCCGACTTTCTCCACGCCATCGCCATTCTTCGTCGTCCTTGTGGCAAACGTATGGCGCAAGGCAGCCAGCTCGCCCCCTTCAAACATGCTCCGTCCAGGGCCGAAAGCATCCAATCTGTCCGCTTTCTCTTTAGTGAGCCCAACGAGCACAAGCGCGCTCTTTCCAGCACGCCAGACGCCCCTCTCGACCCTCTCCATCCAGCCTTTGGGAATCGGTTCGGGATGGTTGTCCTCCACCATGAGTGTAGCCGGTAGACCCATCGTGCCGAGGAACTTGACCGCTGCCTTGATCTGCCTCCTGCGTTCGCGGTATGACCAGCCGAGTTCGTCGGCCATGATGTCGACCACGGTAGGAAGAGCTTCGAATGCTGCTGTAGCATTGAGGAAGGAGAGTCGTGTGCGCCGAGCGAGGACATCGATGGCTGTGAGAGCATATTCATGTCGAACCGCATAGCGCACTTCTGCATCGATGACTAGAAAAAATCACGTCGTTTCAATACCCTTTCAAAAAAAAAAAAAAAAAAAAAAAAACTCAAGCAACAGGACTAACAAGGGTATGATGAGATCAGTCGTCTTCCATGGAGAGGCCATCGCTCGCCAGTAGGTTCTGCAAGCGAACAGACTGTCCATGCACGATCACCATAGTTGTCCGAGAGATGCTTGGCGACCTCAGTCTCAAGCCCGTACTATAACACAGATTAGCCTTCTAGTCCAACAAGCACATTCCAACTGACCGTTTGGATCAGACCAATGAACATATTCCGGCTCCAGGCATCGCTGCCCACGAGCCTCACAGTATCCGTCACGCATCCCGACTTGACCCTGCCGTCCAAACCGAAGGTCTTCACGGCCTGGTCAATTGTCTCCTCCGCCATCGCCCTGTATGTTGTCCACTTGCCGCCAGCGATCGTCAAGAGGCCACTCTCGCTGACATGGATCATGTGGTTGCGAACGAGGCCCTCCGTCTTCTCTGCCCCAGGATTCCGCACCAGAGGACGCAGTCCACTCCATGCACTCAGCACATCGCCACGGCGCACCTTGATGTCAGGAGAGAGGTAGCTCCGCACCTCCTCGAGCACCCACCGGATGTCGTCTTCGGAGGCTTGTGGGTCACGGGTGACCCTCGCAGGCGTGTCGGTGGTTCCAGCGATGGTATTGCCTTGCCAGGGCAGGAAGAAAATAACCCGTCCGTCGGACGTCGCGGGGTCAAGGAGTCCCATTTTGCGAGGAGAGTAGTAGTTCGGGAGGGTGATGTGGATACCAGACGACGGTTGGACGATCGGTTGGTGCGCGGGATTGTCCAACGTGAGTAGGGAGTCGGTAAATGGGCCAGTTGCGTTGATAATCCCCTTTGCGCGAACGTTCCACTCCTCGCCCGTAAGGTTGTCCTTGACTCGTGCACCGTTCAGCTTTCCTTGCCCATCCTTGTGCAGTTGCGTCACTTCGCAGTAGTTGGTGACAACGGCTCCTAGCTTGACGGCAGTCATGACCAGCGCGATGTTCATTCGCGAATCGTTGTGCTGTCCTATTTTGACTTTAGAACGCGCATTTATGAGCTCCAAGGAGGTCTCACCGTCGTAGTACACCAGGGCACCCACAAGCCCGTTACTCTTGAGCATAGGGAAGGTCTCCAATGCCTTGCCTTTCGTCATCAGATACGATGTCTCCATGTTCTCCTTTCCAGCCAGAATGTCGTACATCTTGCATCCCGCCCAGTAGTAAGGAACTTGCCAATACTTGTAAATCGGAAGCATGATGGGCAGCATGTTGGAGAGATACGGCGCCGTCTGAAGGAATATCCGCCGTTCGTGCAACGCCTCATTGACGAGCTTGTACTGCTCATAATCGAGCTCGAACACGGCCTTCTGGAGGTATCGAACGCCTCCATGGACGAGCTTGGTGGATTTCGACGACGTGCCTATGAAATTCGAGTGTCAACCCCATGCAGGAAAGCGAAGGACGCACCGGCACCAAAGTCATCCCGCTCAACCAACGCTACTCTCAAACCCCGACTCGCCGCATCGACCGCACACCCCGCGCCCGTAGCACCTCCTCCGACGATCAGCAGGTCAAATTCTTGGTCTTCGCTCGGCGGGCTTCCGGACTTGAAAGTCGTCACTTTGCCCGATGCCTTGAGCTCCTTGAGCATCTCCGCCCTTGATGGTGGGGACCATGGCGGTGGCGGTCGGCGTGTCGTCTTCGTCGGCACTGGGTAAGCTGGCCCAGAGTTCAAATACCAGTATCCACCTCCTAGCACTGCCGCCGTTCCGCCCGTCACGTAGGCTAGAGTTCGCCGCGAGAATATGCGGTGGAGTATGGCCATTGATCACGAAGGCCGTTGAACGTTGAGGGTTTGTTGCAGACTTGCTGGTCGACTATATCGATTCTGAAGGTTTGGAATGACACTGCGGTTCCGATTCGCTTTGGCCAGTAAACGTGCGTCACCAAACCAAGACCAGGCGGTCCAAAGATTGTGCTGGGGGTTAATCAAGTGCACAACGACCGTGGTAAAGGAGAAACCGGAGGTTGGAGAAACGCCATGATGACGTTCAAATACAAGGAGCGCTTTGGTTCTTGTGATTTGTTGGAATCAATCAAACCGGTCCGTCCGGAACGTAGACTTTCCTGCTCGTTTTGTCGGGGTCAGGTGAGAAGAGGCCGCTTTGGCTCTACACTGATTACATTTGTAGGAATATGCGAAGAATGTGCAGTGAAGTTAACGTTCCAGTCGAGGAATTTGTCATCAATGTAAGTAAGTACTTATGGGTTATAAACGTACTCCTCCGAATCCTTGTTAAGTAATCACAAGAAATTTCATGAGCAGGCGTGGCCTTTTCCCAAGAGGCGGCGAAGGCCCGTGCGCAGCTACGACGAGTAATGGGTTGCGGTTCTAAAATGAAGCGAGGAACGAGCGAACAGATAGAACTAAGTCTTCGAGTGAGTGGCGGGTGGCACGTGACGCTCTCTGCTTCGTGCCACCACCATCTCGTTTCGAAGGCTCGCCTCAGCCTCAACGCAGCACCTCAACGGCCGCGTTGAGCACTTCAAAATCTCATCTACGAATTCCAGCTGGCACGAAGCCCAGCTTCCCTGTCAAAAATCGAGTCTCAAGACCCTCCTAAACCCCCGAGTACACGGAATAGGGCCAAGAAAGAGAGCATACGAGCTGGTGGTATATCTGTGAAGCAATGCAAAAGGTATGTGATTGGCTACCTCTATGCAACCAACACTGTCTCGTTCGGTTCCTGAGCAGAATGCGCGTGACGACTGGGCCTCGAGAGCGTCCCAAAACTAATCGATCGCCTGTCCACGCCTACAGCAGCCGGTGCTGCCTACTTTGCCCATCCGAGTTATGCTCACGATGATGGTCGCGAACTAATGCTACCCCGCTACGACTGACCGACCGACCGACCTCTTCCTTCGTCCCGAAAGCTACTTTTCGGCAACATACTCCCTTCCAGCAACGCAATTTTCGACTCGCCACCGATCGACATACTTACATCTGTGCAACTCCGACCGCAAAATACGTTCATCAATCTACTCCGCTTTGTGGTCCTCGCTGTTTGCTGTCCTCGCTGTTCGCTGTCCCCGCTATTCGCTATTTTTTAGGGTTTTACCCTTCTGCTGCTGCTGCTGCTGCTACAGTGAGTTGGTTATTCTCCTCGCTAGTATGCTATCCCTCGCTATTTGATGCTGCTACTGCGTAGGCGGCTGCCGGCACTACTGTGTGTCGGCCACTCCGCTAGTATGCAAATACTTTGCTACTTCATAAGTCTTCACCCTGCTGCGCTGCTTCCGTATGTTGGGACATCTCCCGCCCCTGCAAATGTCCGAATTCCTTTGCCGGCCCGCTATGGTCTCTAACGCTGGCGCACGAACATCGTTGATGGCTCGCTATCACCTCGGCTCCTTGCATGCTATTCTGCTGCCTGTTTTCTGTTATTCGGCTGTCCTTCTAGTCCCACTAAGCTGTGCTCCCTACCTTTTTGTGTCCGCCTTTCGGCTGCAACATGTTCTATGCTGTTTGATTGGATGTCCCTCGTATCTCACTCCCGAATAAAGGCTCAAGCGCGGGCCTGAATCTCCTGTGATACCTACGGAGGTTCGTGATGTTCGTAGTAAGTCACCCAGCTGTCTCTACATTACACCTCGCTATGCTACGCGGTAAAACCCCTCCGACAAGTATTCAGCCCATGTACCATTATGCCATTTGCTACTCTCAATGACATGTATGACTTCGTTAGGCTTCCACGCCTCATGAAGCTTTTGTCTCGCATTATCTTCCCAACTCAAAATCTGCTACTAGATTGATCCCTCATGCCAGCCAAGTTCTGGACCTGCCGTCTGGGTTGGTATGAGCACACAAACACTTCATCTCTAAGTAAATACTTTTCAGTAATGAAGATGTGAGGGTAGTCATGGTATGTGTTTATTCCATATATAAGCAATGAATTGACGCACTAATAATGTTGACAATCTTTCCTTGCATATACGAGCACTTACTGCGAATGCTACCGACCCCGCGATATGAAAGAATGATCCGGTCATATCTAACACGGTATTCAACCACGACACCCAAGGGTAAGGCTGCTGCAAGACTCTTCTGGGCTTAGCGTCCTGGAATACAGCAGTAACCAGGAGGTCACAGTGCCAAACCGTAATACTAATCAGCCAAAGAGATGCGGCGTATTTTTGCGGCTTGGGGCCCTCCACGCCATAGTTATGGCCGCGGCTTAGCACTGTACCAAACCGTAAGCCGAAAACATACCATGGCGGACAACACCGAGCATGAACTAATTTAGTGCCCACTGCTGTAGTCGCATTTCTGAAGTCGGAAACTGCTCGCGCCGACTTGTAAGCGCATAAGCGCGCAGTACCATATCGCCACACCCCTCGTGCCACTTCCCACAACATGCTGGAGTTATTAAGCTCTGGTGATGCCCTTTGAAACCTGGTTCCAGGCTCAAGTCTATCGAAAAGCTGCTCAATAAGAGCCTGAGTACTCTTCTGAAAACAGGTGCATTGTATGAGGAATTCCTTCAACGAAATGTGGTCCTTGCTGTTTTAGCCAGTGAATGACACGAGGCATTGCGACGAGGCGAAAAGTTAACTAGGGCATCTTCGCCCTTCCAGTGATGACTTTGTATTCTGCCTGTGCTGGATCTGAGCATCTCGAGCAAAATCTGGGCCAACCTTTAAGAACCTGAATAGAGGAAAGCTAAACTGCAGTGACGGTTTCAACTAGGCTGAATGGCAAACATTGAACCTGGTCACAAGCTCTGCGAGATTTTTGAAAGACCTCTGGAAGTCTCTCAGCGACGCGAACGCCGTGAAGCGTCTTCCATCATGCACGTAATTGTGATATGACAGCCATAAAATATGTCGACCTACCAGTGCTAATAGGCCCTGAAAGTGACCTGACATGACGACCGTCAGAACCCTCAGGTGCTGCAAGGCCTGACATGGGAAATGGTAATTTTCTAGAAAGCAGGAGCAAAATTGCTAGTAAATTGTAATAGAATCTCTCAAAACCAGACAACACATTTAAGCTCCTAAGGAGATGGTCTTGCTTCGCAAATAAGCACTGGCTATGTACTTCATGAACGGCTATTGAGGTCATCCATTCTGTTAGGGTTGTTGCCGTGGCCCCGAGCATTTAATGCAGAAACATGCTATGGTGTGTCGGTGCCTCCTGGGCTCTATATACAAGACTATCAACAGATTGAGGTCAAGCCATTGGTACCATGTCTCGAATTTTCACTGCAAACTGTCGGAATTCCTATCTCGATGAAGCGCTCAAAAAGAGACATGGTAGGCGAGTGCAAGATGCCAACCGCATGAATAATCATTGTCATTGGGCACTATTTAACTAAACGTCCGAAGCGCCCAATGAGGAGTTATTAAAACTCACTGCTCCCTCAAGCTACATTCTAAAACTGCTGGGCTTGTCAATTCACTCCATGCACTCGTATTTTGGGGCACACCACAGGTGTGTAAGACCATATTTCAACACTAAGATTTCTCCATAATAATCTGCGCACATTAGTACGATTTATGGCTGAACTACACGTACTTTCCACAAATATTTCAGACGCAGCTGAGAGTTTTCAGCGCTACTGGTTTACAACCCCATTATAATTCTAGCACTGTTTAATTTTAGGCTGGCTACTCGCTATCCAACTACATAATTCACAGCTCACAGGTATTAACTACTTGTCTTGTGCCCCTCCCTCCTTTTGAGAAAATAAGGAACACAACTGATCTTTGTGAACAGCGGAAGGTATAAATTGCTGACTCCAATACAAGTTGCAGTATTTTCACTACTCCTTGCTTCGTCGCAGTTTCAAAGCCAAACTAGGGGCTGTTGTATCTTCCTTCAATTATTGGACAATAATAATTGCCCTGCATTCGTGGCAATTTTTTCCAGCAGCTGAGCCCTCAGCCCCTTCATGCTAAGAAAGTGCATTGCACGGCTGGCTTACATCTATGACACTAAGCTCAAGGTTATCCTTGTTCCCATTGTGATATAAATCCTCAGCAAGATGCCTTTTCTTGGACAAAATGAGTGGTAAGCTCTTATTCCCCATTGGAGCACTGGGGCAAAGAGGACCATGCAACCAAACTAGCCATTTATATTCGCTTCTGGGCCTGGGAAGCCTGGCTTCATGCAGAAGACAAATAATGGGTCCAAGTACGAAAAATGGAAAGGACCTGACCCAACTACCTCCCGAAATTTACTTCTACAACTTGGGAATGGAGGGAAGCTATGTTTGGCACACTTCCTGACCCGGGGTCCCTACCATAAATAGCGCACAGCTGGCGTAGACAATGCGGTCCTGCGGGTCCTGGCCACAGATGCACCGACTACACAGCAAAGGAAATTACCTGGAAGCAGCGATGATACGACAAATAACAAATCTCAACCACAGCTCGGAAAATTCATGAGACAGCTGAGTTCGAATGCGCAACAGTTTCAAAGCCAGCACGGGCGCTAAGGCCTCTGAGTCAAAATTACGCGTGTTTCTAGATGGCTCGTGTGCAACTCATATGTCCCGGTGGGGGGCCTACAACAATCCAGTCTCATTGAATCCTTAGCGACAATAGGAAGAGCGCTCCATTCAATTTGGGCTTAGTCTACTAAGGCATCCACGAGCAGAAGTCCAAAGGACAGAGCGCTGAAATTACCCGGAACCCGTGCTCACTCCTTCTTCTGATGGGGACCGACCGAGACTCGCTCGGCGCGTCATGACCACGCATTCCTACTTCGGCTGGGTGTCTCCGCTCGTCTCGGAAAAGGTCCCCACGATGAGCTGGAAGGCACTCCCGTGCCTCGCCCACAATCTACGCTATGCAGGCAATGTGACTAATCTGCATCTAATGACTACATAAAGAAAAGTGCTAACCAAACGATCCTCAAAGATAATGGGAATGGTAAGTACTCACCGTTGAAGCCAGATGAGCGGCCCGCACGCCTTCCTTATATGGGCTGTCGGTAATTGTAGGTAACGCGTGACGCGTAACACGTATAACGAACTCCATTGAACTCACTTTCGGAGCAGTGGCACTTAGCTACAGCCTTAGCCTTGACCATACCCCTTCAGCCCTTCTACGAATCACAAACTATCCAGGTGCAGGTACTTTTTCTCGCGGTTCATGCACCAGGAACTCATGTTACCCGATGGTTTCAGGATTCAGGAAAAATCAACGTTTTGACTAGACCAAATCTTCAACGCTATGGGGCCAAGTTCAAGCCCGTGCGCTAGTTGTGGTAGATCATCCCGAGTCGATATCATAGGATGCCACCTCCCACCATGTCCTCTTGGAGATGATGCACGATGCAACCCCTGCATCGATCTTATCCTATTGGAAGAGAGAATACTTGATACCAAAAAGGTCCTGGATGGATTAATCGAGGAACACCGCGCCTTCAGATCCAAACTCAACGAGGTTCACGATCCACTTTTCAAGAAATTGCCTCCAGAGCTCGTCTCCCGCGTTTTCATTGCGTGTTTGCCAGAGAACAAGAACAATCCCAACGAAGCCGGCTATCTGGACCCTCTTCCTCTGTCCCTCCCCATCCGTCGCTCATCGACTCCTTTGCTTCTTGCATCGATATGCGAGATATGGCGACAACTCGCATTTGCTACGCCCCAACTTTGGAGCAGTATATTTATTCAACTTAAACCAGAGAATGTTCAATATCAAACAAAGGTGGTTGAACGGTGGTTGGGTCGTTCTGGCGGCGTCCCGCTCTCTCTCCACATCGTCTATCGTGAATGGCGACCAGGAAACGTACATGCAACTTCTATTGACTCATTCATACCCATCATCGACCTCTTGAACCAACATTCCGATCGTTGGCAAGACCTGGATCTCGCTCTTCCCCACCCCTTGATATCTCGACTTGGTAGAAATTCCCAGGCCGCCACCAGGTTGAACACCATTCGAGTCGCATTGCACCGTGACGCGCCGGTTGGAACGCACCTCTTCCCAATCACAGATGTCCTTCCTGTCCCAACTGTTGTCGACATCATGGGTTTACCTTTCAGTTCGGCAAATGTTAGTTGGCGCTCGGTCACAAGTGTCAAATTCGGTTGGATAGACGTTGGCGAATGCCTGGCCTTGTTCCAGCAAGCGCCACAAATGACAAGCTGCGCAATCGAATTCCTTCAGGATGCCCCTGCCGGTTTCGTGACTCTCCCTCAGCATTTAGTTCATCGCCATCTTCACTCGCTGACCATCGACACGTCAAGCCCTGCCAGCATGGGACCCCTCTGTTATAGCCTTATTTTACCTTCCCTCAAAGAATTGGTCTACGGTCCCTACGGACGACTAGAATCCCTTCATTCCCTGGTTGCCCGTTCTTCTTGTCCCTTGACAAAGCTTAATTTGACCCTGAATGGCGCATGCACCCCAACAAACCTCGCCGACTTTCTGCATCAGACGCCCATGCTCGAATCATTGTCCTTTGGACCCATCCGACTCAACGATGATCTTCTGGGTCTCTTCGCCAACACGGCGCCCGCCACTGACGCACAAGACGAAAGGGAGAATATTTTTCTCCCTCATCTCCAAGAGTTGGCAATCCGACAGTGCAGGCGCCTTTTTTCTTGGGCCTCTATCCCAAAACTTTTCCCTCTTGCCTCGGATATCGGAAATTTTCCTCTGAAGTCCCTCACACTAGACATTTCAGGCGATTATGACCCAGCGATCGATGACGGCGAATCTGCCAACCGCATCCTGGATTTAATTGATGGAGGGGTCAATATTGCCATCAAAGGAATAAATCGTGATCTCATCCAAGAGGCTCGAAGACACTACGGACGGCCTGCCGTGCCCCTCGAAGACAAAATTGACGGTTTCAGGAAGAGGTAGATGGTCATTATATAGGAAAAGGTACGTAATTGCAGCCAATATGGCACACTGCCAGCTTGATCATTCTAAAATAAAATCAGGTCCCTTCCAATCAACCTCAACAGGGACTTGTTCTCTCTCATAACATCAACCATCTCCTTCGTCCAGTTCTCCGGCATCGGTATACTCGCCTGCAGCCTGATACGAACGCGACGTAACCCCGGCATCTTGTCGGAGAGTAAAATATCCACCAAAGAGCTCCAATCAACCGTCTCGAGAACTGTCTCGGGTAGGCGTACCGGAAAAACAACGATGATTGTAACTTCGACGACGTGGTGCTGTCTGTAGGATGAGATAGTGGATAGAAGGTCTGTCATCCACTGAACGGAATAGCAAAATGCGACTCGGCGATTTCCAGAACGGGTGGTCCGTACGTCTCCCTGGATGGTGAGGGCTTTCAGGCGGGGGAGAGACGAGAGGCTTGGTGGGTGATATATTGAATTATAGTGTTTCACGATGTCTCCGTCTTTCTTGTATGTCGAATGGGCTAATTGCGTTCACACGTCAGACATGAAAAACGCAAAGCGACAAAGAAACTGAAGGGCTCACTCTTTGGACTTGCCACCAAGTAGAATTCTTCGACATTTTGGCACATTCCCATCAGCCGCTCTACGCTATTGTAAGTCATTAGCATATCGACCGTCTTGACTTCTAGTTTCTTTAGGTTTGTGATGTCGAACAAACATGTCGGATCCTGGAGCCAAGGGATCGCCTCGGAATAATCCGTGGATGACATCCCGTCGAAAGTCAGGCTCTCGAGCAGACATTGAACTGGAATTGTCCTTGCCGTCGATGGTGTAAGATTTGGAGGAATCAAGAGTCGCTTCAAGCCGATGAATTCATCCAATAATGTAAGGCATGCATTCGGCCCTCCGTGGTATGACATCGCCCTGAAATCAAATTCCTCAATATTCCGCTTCTGCTCGAGGGACAAGTGGTAGAGGAAAGGGATATGCCCGAAAACAGGAAGCCGATTGAGAATCTGGAGATCCTCGTCGATAAATGGGAACCCTAAAGACTTGAGCCTCGTTAGGAGCCCAAACAGAGCATGGAGATCTTCCTCCTCTGCTGAGCTGCGTGGAAGCTCGCCTACGTTGACTTGCAACGCTGTGACGTACACACGAATGTGAGGCGCCCACCGGAGGAGCGCGAGAAACTTTGTTGGTGTTCGTCTAGGTGGTGCTCGTCTTTCTCCAAGCATGGGATACCTGTTTTTGAAGCAGATAGTGAAATCGAGGGTGACCGAAGCGAAAAGCCTCTTTTGAGCTACGGCATGCAGGTCGCGACAAGTTAGCGCGGAATGTCCGAGGGACGCGCGGTCTTTGATAAACGTGACGACCTCGCGGATTAGTTCTGGTGGAAGCGACATGGAGATAGGGCGACGAAACGGGAAGGATCTAGAGGAGGAGTGCAATTAAGCGCTCGTCGTATATGTCATCAACTAACCATCAGGCCAGTGGGATCACTTACAGTGGAGGATATACAAGAAAGATAGAACACATGGACTACGCGAAGGTGAATATATAGGCACCCTGTAAAGCACAGCCATCCTTTCTGGAATGCAGTGTGCACCTGTGCCCATCTCTTCTCTCACGTACCCAACGGTAGAAAGGTAAGGATGACCTCGGCTCGGAACACCACTCTCGCTACTATGACGACAAGAAACGGCTCATCAGGACGAATCGTAAGGGCTGGATATGCCTCGAGGTTCAAGATAGTATTACTAGATAGTTAATTCAAAGACTCTGAAGAAGGCTGTTACAGAGCATACGAGCTGGCCTATCTATATCGAGAAGATAGGGCCAGGGAGAGGTGTAAATCGGATCTGATAAGTAAAGATGATACTCTATAGCTTCGTGTCTATTCTTCGAAGTGTGATATACCGCAATCATGAATCTGGGTTGTCGCGGGTACATAATGTAATGGCTGACGACGACTGAGTACTCTACATATTATAACTAACTATGCAGTAAAGCACATCCCTTAGCAACCCACTTGTCTCCATTAGAGTAAATGGGGCTGGGTTTCCAGCGCTATACTTGTGGTTCTGCGATAAGGTCGGGATGGGGTTCTGTCGAATTTTTAGTCCGGCTCGTCCATAGTTGTTTGTGCCAAGTGAATGGTGACATCGTCTTTTACTGCAACGCTGTTGCTGTGTCTGACGGTGGGTTGGACTTGAAAATCGAAGATAGACAACGAGCTTCGTTATAACAATAATCGTGACGAACGAGATCAACGTTTCGCGAGTGACGCAATGGGCGCTTGTTGATCTCACCTCGTCACTCCCTATATTTCTCAACTAGTAAAGAGAAATCGTGGTCACCAAGTATTCACGCATTGTTGTAGAGTGAGTAGAGATTCTTCTATTCACCGCGACAATCTTCAAGAAGAGCAGTGAGCGTACGTACGTACTTGCTACGATATGAAGGTGTTCGAGTGTGTTCGCGCATGTAAGTAGTCGCAATGGTCGAGCTTGAGGTCTTGAGGTTGCGGAGGCGATTCTGGGACAGATCACAGAGAGTGCTATTCGCGCATGAGCGGGCCCCAGCGTGGAAACTGCGTCGGGAACATCTTCTAGGGTGAGATCGAAGAGTTATGTCGGAAAAAAGGATAATCGCACGTTACCTTGATTCCAGTGGCGAATCCTCCTATTCATAGCGGGCCCAAGGCCACCTCAAGTAGCATTGAATGGTCTTGTGATTACTTCGAGTTATTGTAGTCATTCAAGATGATCGATATCGCTTCCCTCATCGGAAAATTGACTAGAACAGACCACCTCATTTCGTTCGTATTGACAACATATGGATTCACAGACCGAATAAGGCCCATACAAAGTCAAAGGATGTTCAACAACCGCTGGAATTCAAGCATGCCACATGTGCCATGTGCTGTATTATTGCCGAGTCCAGGGAAGACAGAGAAAATTAGCCCTAAAAGAAATTATAATTCATATGGCATGAACAGAACGTAGGAATTAGCGAAGGACCGCTGAGATATGTAGTAGCAATGAAATCAGACTTGCCCCTGCCTGATACAGTTGAGAGGACTTTAGCGAGCACAGACGGGTCTTCGCTCCTCTATCCTCTGCCGCTTTACCTTTTCCGCTGTTACCCAGAAGTCCTCCCCGCCGCGAGCACCGCATTCCCAATGCTCCAGATGATTCGTCACAGAGCGCAATTGCACCGCCCTTAGATCCCTCTTCGACGCGATTTGAAGGTCCATGGAGGGTTTGTCGAGGTAGAACGTGACGAGTAACTCCAGGTGCTGGCACTCCTTCAGGATACGTTCGACCAGCGCACCGTCAACAATACCTGCTAGGGCCAGGTGAGTTAGTGCATGCATACTGGCGAGTTTCTTCCACTTCTTCCAATGCGGTGACGCGTTGATGATCTCCAGGTGGGTGAGGCGGCTGAATGCAGGGAGGTCGAGTGGTACTTTCCAATCGTCGTAGTAGTCCTGGAAAAAGTACGACGGGTCGAACGAAAGCCGTCGTAGCGACTTGAGCACCTCGAGGATCGGCACGAGGTGGCGGCACGAGCCGTGGATAATCCATATGGCGAGGTTCCTCACGTTGGGGCACAGTTGTAGGATTTTTCCGATCTCCTCTGAAGGCCTGTTCTGCAGGAGAATGTGCCGCACATGGGGACCGAATCTCGCAATACGCTCCAGGTCGGGTGTACGCCCCGCGACTGTATGTGGATAGTTGCTCTTGTATAAAGGTGGTATGACCTTCCCGTCATCCCCAGAGCGAATAATGCGGTATAGTTCGGGCTCTAACCTACAGCATCAACATAAATCTGAGGAGGATACGTTGTAGTGGGTCACATACCATTGTCGAACGCGACGAGCGACGAGGACCATGGTCGTGATACACCTGCGGTGTGTCAACGCCACGAGCTCAAATATCTCTCTTTCAAGCTCCACTGGCAGACGATTTTCGTGGATACAGCTATTCCTCGAAGGTGTAATCCTGTCCTTTGATGGTGTCATCAGTGGGCAAGAATAGTCAAGGTCGTGGTCGAAGTGAAAGAGTGAAAGCACGTGGCTGTGTTCCGAACTTACAGAGACTCAACCACCACAAGCGAGAAGGCTTTCCTCAAACGTCAAGTTTCAAGCTTCAAGGGTCCACTATCGAGAGATCTGGCTCCAAGAATGGACAACGATTGTGTTCAAATCGTAACTTTCTCTAGAACTGTTTTCACGGGGAGACAAAGATATCTTCAACTTGGGTCGACGTCGCTGGAGCTGCCGAAAGTTTCACCACAATTTTCAGCCTAAGGTCAGTGGTTTTTCTAATTCATTCAGAGGTTTTTCCATTGAAATGCTTCATCGAAAGTTCAACGACAAACAACAACTACCGGGTCTTTGAATAGGAACCCTTTGTCGTGTTGCACCAGAATGGGCCATACCAACTGCTGGTCGTAGTTTAGTACGTTGTGACCTGGCTGAAAGGAATCGGTCTACCGGTGGCATACCTTCTCAAACCTTTAAAGCGAATGTGGCGATTTTCTTCATCTTGTCTCCGCCATCGACATCGCCTGACCTCGAAATGAACGGTCCAAGAATCGCTGTCGAACTTATCGACCACATCCTCGACGATGTGGCTGATGACCCCGACGCAGGTGCGACACTAAGAGCCTGCTCGTACGCAAACAGCACTCTCTGTGGCATGTCCCAGAAACGCCTCTTCCGCAATCTCAAGCTCGACTTTTGCTACTATCTCAAGAACCCTGAAGCGACCAGCACTTTCAGACAAGAATACGTTGTCTGTGAGCGTCGAGCTCCCCGTTCGCGTGGACGCAAGTTTCTCGATCTCGTGCAAGGTGCCGGCGAAGATGGTGGCCGATTCTTCAAATACGTGGAGTCACTCACTGTCCTCCTTTCGGACGCCGAAAAAATCGAGAAGAGCGCTCGAGAAAGCAACCTAGCCACCCCTCGGCTCCTTCCTCTCCTGCCCAACTTGAAGAAAATCACCTTCATGGAGCCTCTTTCCATTCTCGAGCGGAGAGAATGTAACGCCATGACCGAGAATATTCCATGGGGCTCGCTAGAGTATGACCTAAGGTCTGCTTTTCTCTGGGCATTTCAAGCTCCCTCTTTGAAAGAACTCAACCTCGGGAGGGTTACGGACCTACCTATCTGTTGCCTCCAGCTGTTCTCCGGAACATTGGATTCACTCGTCATTTCGACGCTTTTTGCTGGCGACAGCGATGATAGGTCCTCCAATGGTCCTGAAGAGTGCCCAAATTGTGGCGGAGAATGTCTGGTATATAAAAACCAAACGCGCGGGGGCCGTCCCTCCATCAAGCGTCTGAGGTTCGACGGCGAGTTTCAGCCCCAGAGGAGCGTTTGCGACACGGTTGAACAGCTCCGCAACCCGAGCTTCCCCTTCGACCTCTCTCGCTTGACCTCTCTGGAAATCGCATCGTCCTCGAGGAATTATCATATGTGTTTCGATCCCGTGTTGGAGATGTGTTCCGAGACCCTTGAACGCCTTCACATGCAGACAAGTACGTTCGTCCATTCAACCTCCGACGCGTTATTGATGCGAACTCTATTCCAGCACACAGCGTCTTTCCGTATATCCCAGGCGAGGAGCCAGATGAAAGCCTAAGTTCTTCATTCTTCGACGATCGACTCTTGTCTTCGATCCTCAACTTACGTGCCTTCTCTATCGAGTTCATTATATACGGCAACTATCCAGCCATGGAAGACCGGTCGCCAGCCCTCCGCACCGCCATAGAGAACAACTCACCAAAGCTCGAGTACTCCTCTCCCGACGAATGGCTGGCGCTGACGCTCGTTCTCATCAACTTGAATACGTCCCGACATGGTTCCACGCGCCATCTTGACGAGCTGACCGTCTACCTCGAGATCAACTTCACTGAATACAACACACTCCCGCGGAATTGGCTTAAATTCATGTCGATCTTTCGATCTCCTACAATGCCCAAGACGAACCGCTTTAGGGTTGAGATACATTGCCTCAGGCAGCCAAAGGACATGGCGAGGAGTGAAATGGCGAGACTTTTGTGGGAGGATGAAAACGTGCAGTGGTTGGCAGCGGAGGGCATTTTGACGGTGACTGCTAAGGTTGAGGATAACATCCGCTAGTCTGCCATATCTCCGCGTTTGAACCGAAATCTAAGCTTTTTTTAGAGGCATATTATATGAAACAAATGATTGGACTATGTACATAAGTTCGAAGTTTTCGAGCCTGAATATGACAACATGCCGTTATATTTTGGGATCCGGAGGGCTCACTATCGGAATTGAGTAGGAAAAAAACAGACAGCATCGGGAGTGCCCTCTCCTAGCTCTCCCATAAATACGTGCTGATTGGTTCTTATTTTACTCGAGTTCATCCTTCGAAGTCGGCTGCAGGCTTTACTAGCCTTGTGTAAGGAAATTTGCTGACGACGAAGTTGGGAGAATACTAGTCCACCTCCTCCTTGGTGGATTGAGCATGAAATCCAGATTAATTCGTGATTTCTCTTTCCATTATTTCTCTTTCTCAAGATTCATGCATAGAACCGGCTGAAGGATTGGAATGAACTGCGAACCTTCTACATCGTCCTCGAAACTTTTGTCGGACCATCCGGTCTGCTCACTCCTCGCGCTCCAACGATCCGCTTCGAGATCCGAGTCTTCGAACCTCGGAAGATACACGGAAACCCGTCGGATGTCCTTCCGTATTTCCGAAGTTTCCGTCGTCGTGATCATCACTCAAAGGACTTGCGGAAGAAAAAAAATCATGCCACGATTCACAATCACTCAAAGAAAATCATCTTTCAAATCTTTATCATCTTTATTCCAACTACTCTGCGGCACAAACGATGCATAGTCAACACAATTCAGGCATAGGAGAGAGACAGCACAAACAGGAAATGTAACTAGGAGAAACATACGATGCGAGATGGATGGGGGATGGAGATGGAGATGGGAGTACGACGATGTTCCAGGACACGGAGGAGAGGAGGATGGCGATGAGAAATACAAGGGATACATCGAAGAGTTAATACGTAGGAACGACTTGAAAAATATACGGTCGTCGCTAGGAGTCCAGGTAACAGATGTAATGTACGAGACTTTTTCAGACTGGGAAGAGTGGGATGGATGGATGGGAAGGGGAATCAAGAACAATATAGCGAAAACGAGAACGAATAGGGTTTGTAGCCATAAGAAAAGAAAAAAAGAAAAACGCAACGAGAAATTTATCTTCATCTACGGCGCTCACGTCGAGTACTTCACTTCGTCGGGAGGGAAGTCCGGGTAGGTCACACCCATCCCACGAAGGACACCCAACAGCATGTTCGCGCGCTCTTGCCACTGCTCCTTGAGCGCCCGCTCCTCGTCCCTCGACTTCTCCAAAGTCTGGAGCTGCTCGAGCTTCCTCTTCCTGCTCCTGCGAGCGGCGACGGTGTTCTGTCGTCGCTTTGCCTCAATGAGGTCCTTCTCCGTGGGATTGGGAGGGAGGTCGTCACCAAGTTGGTCCTCCTCGTCGCCGAAGGCAGCCGAGCGCGCGCGCTTGCGGGCAAATACAGCAGGCAGCTCCTTCTTCGACGTCACAGAAGGCATGGTGTACTTGCGAGGCTGTGTCGGCGCCGACTCATCGAGCAGGTCATCGGGAGTGATGCCTTTACGAATACCAGTGGCCTTGCTGCTTGCGCGACGACTAGCAGTCTTGGCGACGGTGGCAGGGGGTGTTGAGAGAGCAGAGCGAGGAACGGAGGGAGCAGAGGGGTCGAACGATTGAAGCAAAGGAGTCTCAGGAGAGATTGTGTAAAGCGACTCGAGGTTGAACTGCGGAGCAGGTTGAACGACCGACTCTTGAGCCTTCTCAGAAGGGTAGTCGGGCATTGAAGGGAAGAGAGGAAGGTCGTTCATATACGGGCTGGTCAGCATATCGTCGTCTTCAGGGAAGAGCGGAGTGTTGAGGAAGTCCGCATACGGCGTCTCGAGGGGCGAGGTACCGAAGTCGTCGTCGAGCGCAGGCATCGGCGATGTCATATACTTCTCAAAGTCATCCATGTCCTGGAATTCGGGCGACGAGTTGACTGCGGGCCCGAACTCATGAGTCACACTGAATCGGACTCGGGAGCGGGATGGCTTACCAAGCATCGCGGCGATGTCGCGCAGATGGTCTTCGGCGTTGGTGGGTATGAGCGGAGCGTTGAGGTCCGCGGTGGTGACGGCCGCAGCCGAAACGGGAGCGTTGGTTGTGCTGGTGGCGGCCATGGAATTATCGGTCGGCTTGTTAGATAGCATATTTAAATAATTGGCGCTGAGAGTCTGGAAGTCTGGGTAGACTTGCGCGGGTTTTGGCGTGGGTGGCTGATATCGAGGTGTTGTGCGAGGCGCGGGTGGCAATCGTTGAGGGATTCCATAATGGGCAGCAAGATCCGTGGCGGATGAGAAGACCGTAGACGTCCGAGGACGACGAATTGGGTGGTTTAGGCCATGTTGAGTGATAGGAGGAGGGAAACTCGAAACAGATGTTTCGTGTGTAGACGGTTGACCGAAAGTACGGGTTGCCGATGACGAGGACGAAGAAGTCTCGTTATTCACAAAGTGGTGAACATCTCGACTTGTGTATGTGTTGTAGTCGATGTTCTGTTGGGCGGAAATCGCGACGTGCGATTGGTGGCTCGTGGGGGTAGGTGTTACGGACGAAGGCACCGTCGTGGGTAACCTTGATACACTAGAGGTGGGCGGGATCAGTGCTTGCTCGAAATCGCTGGATAACGATGCGTGCGCCGGCGAAGCGAGTACGGAAGGATCCTCTGGGCGTCCGCGGGAGCCAGGACGGTCCACCTCCATCTGATCAGGTACATTGAACCCCAACGCTGGTTCGGGGCTCTTGGACGAAGCCCTGGCAGACATCGCATCTGCAGATGCTGAGGCCATCGGGTAGATAGCTCGATATGACTCGAATGTGGTATGAAGAAACAACGGAGCTCGCGAGTACTCGCTGCGGCACGCAATGCGCACGTAGGCGAATGTATGAGATACGATGGGAAAGGATGACTCACGGGTACTCAGAGATTCGACTTCTGAGCTGCTTGACCTAGCTGTGGTCAAGTCTGTGGTGGGGGTGGGGAAGAAAGACAATGGACTCGGTCGCCGTGACTCGACTCGGCTTATATACATTTAGCACAGCCACAAGTTCAGGCTCAGCTCCGCCCCCGGTTCCGTATCCCCGATAGGCTATCCGTCCGTCCATACTCCCAGCATTCTCCAAAGGCGATGCCCGTCAGCCCATCTTCTAGAACGCGATTATACCAATCCATAGAGCCCACGAACGCCCACCCAGACGCCCTCAACACCTCCAAAAACCCCTTCTTTCTCGCTCGATTTCGCTGGGCAAATGGACAATTTCTCAGACCGAGTCATAATGATAGTGCAGTGCCTGTCAGCATGCTGTGACGCTGACAAATCGTTCCCGAACAGTGCGGCGCCTCACATGTGTTTCCCGACGCCTGCCTTATCAGGTATAACGCGCCCCACCATGAGGCGTCGACCACAGCCCCGCCGCACTGCCCGCTGTCCAGATGACCCCCGGTCCCTGTATACATGCCCGCCGCATGTCCTTTTTACGTATCCCCGCCCGCTGTCCCTTCTCCCCCTTTCACGTCGGCCGTCTGGGCATCAAATTGATCAACCGCTCCACCGACGAAGACCCGCGCGACGGAACGCGCTTTCCGCTTCAGACGCGGCGATCCTTGGTGCCCTTTGAAATTCCCCCACCTTGAGCTGCGATCCGCATAGGTATTCGTGGCACCCCAACGCAGCAGCGAGACGTCAGCTGCCCACTTGAGCGCTCATTATGCCCACTTGCGCAGCCACCGCTATCTTCTCTCGTCTTGCTCCCCGGCGCCAGCGCCAAATGCGGCGTATCAAATCTCCTTGCACGTCGCAAGAACCCATAGCGTCTATTAATCCGCGATCGTCATCCGACTCCTCATTGTGCCCCTCCTAACCGGTCTCCTTCCTGCCGACGAGAACAAAAACGAACGGCACGAACATGTGCTGCGAGATGTCCTGAAGAAGCTCCAAATCCAGATACGGTAGTCCCAATTTCATATTCGACGGATGGTGTGCAGGGCCTCGCGTCGTTCCAAAGGAAGACGGATTCCTAATTCGAGTTCAAATGCCAATACGCTTGCGGAGGCGCCGCGAGAGGCACATGCTTCCCTCAGCGGGCGGCTGTGCAGAACCAGTGCCTTGAGTGGCTCCTTATCTACCAGTGGGCGCTCAACAGGCTGGTTGGTAGGCTTGGTTGGTTGGAGGTAAGGCGCCCACGCCCGCGTATCCTCGTCTCAGGTGACACTGACGACCGTGGCGGGTCGTGCCGCAGCGACGCGCTATGGCACTTCCAACGCCCATGTCCAGTAGACCTGTCTCCACCGCATTCTTTAAACTGACATGACGAGGACGCGGCACAGCTGCAGCGCAGCCTCTCTCTTGACACGCGCCCACTGCGCAGAGCCAAATCTATATCTGCGCCTCGAAACACGTCGATCCACGTATCTGGCACGTCATCGATTCGTTCATTTCATCCTTTCAAATGTTCGTTGCAGGTCCACGTAGCCATTCCATTCTCTTCTAGTGTTTTCGAGCAGGTCACCTGTCCATTTGTTCATGCAGCCCTCGCTGCGCGTCGGAACTTTCACGAATGATATCGAACTTTCCGAGTCTCGAGCGCCCACTGACGACGATTCCAATTTGCAATTCGTCGGGCCACCACAGGAATAGAAGCCCTTACACGAGACTTGAAACAGATGCTTGAATTGAAGGAAGAACGGTCCGAACCACTTTCGTTCTAACTTCTCTTCAACACCGATACCGTCGCCGTCGTCGCCCGTGGAACGCCTTTATGGCTTGCGCTTGATGTGCTTGAAACACAGGCTATCTTCAGCGTCAACAGCTTTGAGTTTGGCTTCACCAGCAGAACCGCGTCGAGGCGATGCGTGTCTTGCGTCCATGCGCGCCATTGGGCGCCTCCACGTCTCTTGGTCAGCGCCTTCAACATCCGCGCCGTCCGAGGAGAGTCAGGCTGGCGAACGCGAGAGCGACACACAGACGCCGACGATCCAGGAGCCGTTCACGCCGGAGTGAACAAGCAAATGAACGCACGACATTGGCCGGTACGAGAGACTTGTGCTGACAGATTTCATATCGGGATTCATCATCGTTGCACGTTGCGCAAAAACTGGGGTACAGGGTTCATGATTGACCTTCGTGAACGGAGAATAATTTTAGCTCTGGTCGCTTGTTTCATTTCGTTGTCTATGGGGCGTGGGGTTGACAATTCGGGCGGGATCGGCTCGAGAGCCGCGGTTGGGTTGACGGATTTATTACGCTTGCGTGGGTGCGGGCGGGTATGGAGGTGTACATGGGTCGGTTCGGTTACTTGCTGACTTGCACGGGCGCATAGTTTCTTTTCTTGCGTAATCTTCTTCGCATTCATATATGAAACAAAATCACGAGCGCATCGAGAGAGTGGTTCTTCGGGTTTGGAGGACGAGCAGACCGCGGACGCGCATTGATCATGAACAGCCTCTCTAGACCCACTTGCACTAGCACAACTCGAGTAGTCGGCCCTTCAGTCGCTGCACCTCGGACAGTTGTGATCGCTGACCCACTGTCCCCGGAAGGGCAGCTATCGATCCTTCGAAAAACGAGGCGATGAAAATCATTACCACCTGACCCCTTCTACCGGCCCGCCGTGGTTCTTGGGCGCTTGGTTTGTAATCAGACGGGCGCTTCCAGGGGACGGGCGGCGAAGTCGGGACGAAGTCGAGAGACCATGTGGACGTGCAATGAGAACCTAGGAAACCATCGGTAGTTGGGAAGCTTCGTTAGCACATAGGGGTGCGGAGTGGAGGTTCTAGGGCGGAGAGGATAGCCTTCGTCGATCGGAACTCGCAGAGGCACATAGTGAAGTCTTGTTCCGACCTTTCGAGCATAGAGTAGATGGACGCGGAGATTTCTCATCGGCAGTGGTAAGCTTTGATAGAGTCAGCAAAATTTCCGAAGACGAAGTAAGCCAAAAGGAAGCCCGGTGTTGACAATTATAAGTAAACTTCGCCAGCCAGGAAGCGGGCTGATCGCGGATCAAGGTAGTTCATGAAAGAATAAGGTCTATGGCTGAGTGGCACACCGAAAAAAAAATGGTCACTCACCTAGATACCAGCGTCAATTTCACGATTATTCAAGCTATTGAGCGCTGGAAACCTCGGGTCGGAAGGTGGAAGCCATGTAGCCCAGGGCTGGAGGAATAAATATCGCAGGAAAAGGACAAAGAAATCCGGCGGCAAGCTGCAGAGGAACGGGGGCGTGGGGGATTCGGGAGAGCCTCGGAGGCGCAGAGCCGGGGCTTTATATCTTGCCATCGGAGCCGCCTGACTCATTCTCGGAGCCTTGACGCTTAGAGCGCCCCGATATGGTAATCGCGGCCACACCGCCTCTTCCGGCCTGTGACGTCACGCGTCTGGACGCGTCTGAGTCATGACTGTGGTAATTCTTATGTAAGCGAACTAGTTTCGGCGAGGCACGTTGTCTCTGACGCTTCTCATTGCGCTGAGACGACTAGGAAGGTTTTGCTTCTTCCTTCACTCCTACGATTCTTACTAACGTACCTCTTCCAGATGGCTATATGCACTGTATGCGGCGCCGACGGCAGGAAAAACGTTACCGATTCTACACTTGTTAGCTGGGAGTGCCCGAAGAACCAGGACTCCCCCTGCGAACCATGCTTGAAGATTTCGGAGCTCGAGTTGAGGATTCAGCAAACCAAATCCTTACTCGTCCAGCTCGTGGAAGAACGGCGCAGCCTTCAGACCCATAGGAACCGTGAACATGATCCGATGGGTAAACTTCCGCCAGAAATCGTCTCAAGCATCTTCACGTTCTGTGGAGCTCCTCCGCGCTCATCTCGGATAAAGACTTTTGGGATATGGAAACTTAGCCTTTTCTCCCAAGTATTAGGCCGTGTTTGTAGGAGATGGCGTGAAATCGCGCAGGCTACGCCTCAACTCTGGACAAATATCACCCTTTCTCTGGAGACTGCGAAAGCGAATTGGCAAACAGAGAGGACGAAAGAACGTATATCACGCTCGGGACACCTCCCTCTTTCAATCTCCCTGTTCATGTCGAATTCAGGAACTTCACCTTTTGACCCGCACCCCTTCCACACCCTCATCGATCTCCTTAACGGCAATTCATGGCGTTGGAGAGACATATCTGCCTCCATTCCCTATTCTTTACTCTCGCGCCTTCGACCCGACAAGCATGGTATCCCTATGCTGACCGATATGACCATACGTGCCTGTGATTGTCGCATCGTGCGCCAGGCATTTCCCTTCGACTTCGGGCCCATCACCCCGTCTCTCGTTTCCGTCGATTTCTGCGCTTTCTTCTTTGCTTCCATAGTAATCAGCTGGCGTACCGTGGTCCGGGTTCATCTGGGTACACTATCCGTTGGTGAATTCTTCGAACTGTTTCAACAGGGGCCCAACATAACTGAATGCAATATTGATTCTATTACCGGCGGTGACGAGGAACATCTCAATCCCAGCGACGAGCTTATTCATTGCTCTCTTCGACAGCTGGCGTTGGGTTCGGAGGGCGATGTATCAGGCATGCACCTATCGAAATTATTGGTACCATCTCTTCAATCTTTGAATTATAACGAGGGCAGAGCCAGCGTTCTCCGAGCTGTCCTGGCACCCTCCTCTTCCCTGATATCGCTCAGCATTAAGGATGTTGCAGGTACCGAAGAGGAGATTTTGGAGATTTTGCATATGACGCCGAGCCTTGAAAGGCTGAGGGTTTACCAATGCCCGCTAGCCAATCAGTTCTTGCATACCTTGGCTGCCACTACCATATGCCATAGGGATGATGAAGGCCAACGCGTTTTTTTGCCATCTCTCAAAGACTTGATATGGGATGATGTCTCGCAGCGCCTCTCCTGGCACCTGATACCCTTGCTTTTCCCCTCTGGCCCACTTTCGTCAACAGGTCATCAGCGACCCTTGAAAAGGGTTGAAATCGCGGTTTCTGATCTGGAAGACGACGACTACATTGAAGAGGAAGTTCTCAAAGAAATTCTCGGGATCCTTAAGCGCGGAATCGAGCTTGTTATCACCAACGCCGCAGATGACGACCTCATCGCTCATTCTCAAGAATATTATGAATCACTCGACTCGCGAGAGGGAACCGACCAGTCTGAGGAGACTTGAAGGTGTTGAGGATGAACATCACTGAGTTGGGGGGACGATGGACATACTTGATCGACTTTTCTTTGAGTGGTCGAACTTGACGTGGAGTCCTGTTATTCGCCTTCTCGGAACATCGTATCGAGGAGTATGAAGCGCGTAGACATACTTATGAGCTAGTGATAGCTCTGGGAGCTTAAAGTATCTTATATGTAACACCCTGCAGTCTCAGCCTTAAGGGAAAATATAATTCTGTCATGGCCTCACCAACGGGCCGCTTCTCCGGTTGATTGACAAACCAACGAAATGAATTCGCAGGACGACTTTGACCGTAACCACCACCATCACCGACTGGTCCAGCCAAAACTCACAAACCGAAACACGACATGATTTTCCCAATCGAGCTGCTCGATCATATGCTAGCATACGTGGAAGAAGACCCAGATGCCACCACGACACTGAAGAACTTTTCGTACGCCAACCATCTGACATGCCACCTCGCTCAAAAGCGCCTCTTTCGGGACCTCCTGCTGGTTTACTCCGGCTACGAAGATGGGCCGTATCACATATGTGAACAGATAAGCCCCCCGTCTCATGTACAGAGATTCCTTCTATTAGCAGAGGAGTCGCCACACCTCCTGCAACACATCCAGACCCTCCGGATATCCTGGCCTTCCTGGACGACGACAGGTATCGAGCGAGATATGCACGAGACCCACCCGCGAACCATTGTTCTCATTTCTCTCCTGAAAAACTTGAAGAAGGTTACCTTCGTCGACGAGTCAATGCCACATCGGTGGTCGAACGACCAACCTTCGGTCTTCTGGAATGGGCTGGATACTGGGCTTCAAAGCGCTTTCGCCCAAGGATTTCGGTTCACAAACGTCGTCGAACTCAACTTTGCTTCTATAACCGACATGCCACCCTGCGTGCTCGCAGAAAGCCTCCCACTCTCAAGACCCTCACCATTGCTACCCTTAACATCGTCAAGCACCCGAAGCCACGTTCGCTAATCCGGTGCTCTTTATGCCACTGCGAATGTTCATCTATGGCGTACTGGAACTCTCAGCCTCTAACATGCCACAACCCTCGTAGAAAGCGGCCGTTGTTGAAATCGTTGACTATCTCATCAACTCTCGACAATAGTAGCCGAAGCACCAGGTTCGCTTGCACATATGACTGGTTTGTGACTCTATCTTGCCCCATTGACATGTCAGGTATGTCTACTCTGCGGTTGATGACGTCAAACTGCACAGGAGGAGGAACGGCCGGCTTCGAGCGTCTACTCTCAACGTGTTCCAGGACGCTTGAACACCTTCACATCGATGCATGTAAGTCTACATTATGACTTCAGTATGCGATTGGGATTCATGATCCCGTTCTAGACTTCGAAGTACAATCGTACATCGGCGAGCGACTGGTCGATAACGTCTACTGTGATAGTATTCTTGCTGCTAGTCGGATCCCTCCACTTCCAAGGCTACGCACCCTGTCGGTTGACCAATTGTTGTATTGCACTGAGTATTTGGTCAGAGATGGAGTTCGGGTTGAGGACCTGTTTTACACGCTGCCAGGAGGATGGTTCCAGAAACTCATCAAGCAACTCCGTCCTCCAATGCACGATGGTGCAATGTCGTCCTTCGAAGAAATGGTTATTTATCTCGAACTCGACTTCAGCGAAAGCGACGAGGTTCATCCCAACTGGGCCAACACTTTCTTATCTGTCTTCCACTCGCCTACTTTCGCTGGTGTCCGATCCAGGGTCACCATCTCGGACCTTACCCCGACTAGACATGCGTCAACGACCAGGATGCTGGATGATATCCGACAGAGTACGTCCTTCAAGCAGCTAGTAGCAGAGGGGAACATCGTCGCTCAATCTATGCAATAAATGATCTCTATTCTAGCAAGGCTCAACGTGTATTTATGTTGCTTAGCTGTCGTTCGACTCCGTCATGATCTTTTCCTTCAATAAAATCTTTTGTGCATTCTCCAAACCATTGTTCTAACAATTCTTTTTTGCGCCAGTATTCAGTTTGAAGTACAAGGGTCATTTACACCCCCACAATTCCGTCTTTTCACTGAAAGTATGCAATCATGGAAAGGCCAGTTCTCGCAGCGGCCCGCTTCTCCGAAAGCTTTACCAACAACCACCATCATCGAGCACTCCTGCCGATTTTTTTCTTCAACCTAAGCACGTCATGATTCTGCAGAGTTCTAGCATGCTATCTCGCTCCAAAGCGGCTCTATCGTCACCTGCTGGTTTACTCCGCCGCCTACACTAGTGGACGATATTACATCTGTGAACAGATTGCCCCCCGTTCCTGCATACAGAAGTTTCTTCAGCTACCAGAAGAGTCGCCACGCTTTTTTCAACACGTCCAGACCCTCCAGATATCCTCGCCTTTCCGTAAACCCGAAATCGAGCCAGAATTGCACGAAATTCGCCCGCGCAGGGCTATCCTCATTTTTCTCCTGAAGAATTTGAAGAAGGTCACCTTTATCAACGGGTCGGTTTCATTTCGATGGTTTGAGCTTCACTCATTTATGTGGTGGGATGACTTAGAGAGCGGACTCCAAGCGGCTTTCGCTCATGGGTTCCGCTTCACGACTATGTAGACTATTCGAACCGAGCTTCATCAAGCCGGCCGCTTCTATGTGCGTTATGCGGTTTCACATGTTCGCCCATCACATGTTGGAATTCTCAAACGCCAATGCCCAACAACATTCACAGAAACCGCCCGATTTTGAGACCGCTCACCATCTCCCCATTCTTCGACAACACCCCGCGGCCCAACCCACTTGAAGGCACTTTCGACTGGCTGTGTTTCCCTTCCTGTCCCATCAACGCATCCCAGTTGTCCAGTCTGCGGATTGACACCTCGAGAGCTTCGGAACCCTACACTCGGGGTCTGGATTTGACCGCCTTCTCACTTTGTGTGTTGCCACTCTGGAACACATTATATACCGGAGAGCTTCCAGAGGTCAATGCGTATACGTACAGTATTCTGATTGGTCACTCTTTCCCGACCCTACCCAAGTTACGGTTTCTGTCCGTCAACCAACTCCTGTATTACACGGATTACCACGCAACGAGAGGCTCTGCGGACCTCTGCTGTACCTCGTTCGCCAAGTGGTGTGAGGTTACAGGTGGACTGACCGTTAACCCTCAGATCCACGATGCTATGAAGCTTATGCCGTCCACCCGTGCCCTCGAATCACTTTCTCGAAACCCATAATCATGAACTTCCGTGCCGTCGATGTACGTGTTCCTCCATTAAATTCAAACGTTGATCGGATTGCACTGAAGCCTTGTCCGATAGAAACCCGAGTACTTAGCCCCCATCACTGGCATTCAGGACTTTTTCTTAGTCCTTTCCCCCTACCCGCGGTCCAAATTATTGTCCGGACTCACAGCGTACTGCGTTGGGCCTTCTTGAGGGTGCTGACGGATTGCACAGATAGTGAATCGTTATTCTGCGGATCTTCTACCATAGAGAACCCACCTGTACTGCTTGTGCATCTGGCACTAGGTGCGCCTCCTATCCCTATCGTGAATGAAGCCTAAGGCTTGCGATCGTGCTGTCAGTATGTATTGTCACTTTTCCCAATGAGAACCCAGATATGGCTTCTCGTAGAGCTTTGAAGCTGGAAGTTGGAAGCGCAATCAGACTTCGACCTGCCCAACTTTCAGATCTCAAGCTCCACTTCTTCCATTAGGTTATTGCGCCGAAGGACACTCGCTTCTCGAAGCCCGTCGTGTTTGCTGCATTCAGGAAGGCCGCCTGCAGAATGCTGCCGAACACGGACGATTAAACCTTCGACTGCAGCTTGATGGAAGCATCGAATCTAATCATGTCTGTCTACCTTTGTCCATTCTATTCCCTAAAAGCTGCAAGCCCAAGCCAGCCCTCCAGCCCATTAAAAGCGTGCGGAGTTTCACCCGTATCTGCCCCACCTTTCTTCCTTTCCTCCTCTTCTCACTATGACCTCGATTGTCGACTCGCCTCCCGGGATGCAGAGCAATGCTTCGACAGTCTTCTCTGACCCGACGACCTTCTCAGTGAAATTTGCTGAACCCATTGGAGCAGCGGTTGACGTTGAGCCCCTTCCAGATTGTATTCCGCCGGACCATCTTCATCGAACACTTGTCCTTTGCTTTGACGGCACTGGCGACCAGTGAGTCCCATCCACTCGTTCTGATTTCCTGCGGTTGTCCTGATCATTTCCGCTCTGACAAATAGATTCGATTCTGATGTGAGAGGCACTCTCATATAACACCTGCAGTTATGCTTACCGAGCCAAGAACTCGAACGTCGTCGAGTTTTTTAGCATGTTGAAAAAAGAAGACCCTTCTCGTCAGCTGGTCTACTACCAGGTAGGCATCGACTGACAAGGCCCAATGCACTAGTTTTGACCTTATTGATTATAGGCGGGCATTGGGACGTATACGACTCCAGAAATAGCGACGCCCACGTTTGCCAAATTCAGCAAGGTGAGTTGCATATTAGACACCTCAAAACGGTTGCTAATTTATTTTGCTTAGTTGATGGATGAGATGATTGCGTGGAACCTTGACGCACATATCATGGGTAGGAAAATGGTTTGCGTTTATTTCAGCCCATAACACTTCACTTTTCATAGGAGGGTACGAGTTCCTCATGCAAAATTGTACGTCAGTTAACTGTCATCTTGAACCGCCTACTGATAGGCGATTTCCCAGATCGAGCGAACGACAAAATCTGCATCTTCGGTGGGACCATTTCATGCGCATATATTTACCGTCGTCTCACTGATGGCTCCAAGGTTTTTCTCGGGGTGCCTACACCGCACGATGGTAAGCTCCCTCCTTGCACCTTTCACTCTCCACTTTTCGAACCTCCATATGCAGCTTGGCTGGCATGATCCATAAAGTTGGCCTCCTACCGACATGCAACCATCAGCAAGTTCCGTTCGCCTACAAGATGTACACCCAAGCAGACGAGGAAGGATGGAAGCAATCAAATGCCTTCAAGAAAACCTTCTCTATCGACGTTGACATCGAATTTGTGGGAGTCTGGTAGAACAACATACTGCTCAACCACGTTCCGTAGAGACTAACTGCCTAACCAACAGGGACACTGTCAATTCCGTCGGCCTGTTTCCACGGCGCTTGCCATTCACGACCTCGAACATGGTCGTGCACACATTTAGGCACGCCGTGTCGTTGGATGAGCGTCGCGCGAAGTTCAAAGCCAATCTCTGGAATTGCCCTGACCACCACGAGCAGATGCTCAGCATCAGCGATCAGAAGGCCAAGCATCACCTCGATGAACACGCCGCAGGAGCTGCGAATAAGAAGCGTAAGACGCCTCACCTCCATGCACTCGAGCGGAGGTACAGCCAAGATCGCAATATCGAGACGGACGTTGAAGAGGTAAGTACATGCTGTTTTCGCCTAAGGATTTTTCGCTCATTCTATGTATCTTCTAGGTCTGGTTCTCCGGGTGTCATTGTGGTACGCCTTATTTTGACGTAGCTTGCTGGATATCCCTCTGATTCGAACATTTCTCTCCCTTTATTTCTCCCTAGATGTTGGTGGAGGCTCTGGTATGTTTTTCCTCTGCACATTTTGAAATCTCGAAACTTATTTCCGACAATGCTAGTTGAGAATGGTGCCAAGCCCTGTCTGGCTCGCATTCCTCTTCGTTGGATGGTTCGCGAATGCTTCAAGACCAAAAGCGGCATTCTTTTCCACACCGACGGTCTGAGGGCGATAGGACTCGATCCCGCCTCCTTGTATCCGGAGGTGCTCAAGCGGCTGCCTGCCGTCGAGCTCGACACCGCCACACCAGAGACTTCTCTTATCCAGTCCATCCCGAAAGGCCCTCGTCCTCCAGTTCATGATTCGACCGCAGCAACATCCTCAAAGGCACCGGTTGAGTCGGAGGAAGTCGCCGATCTCAAAGACGCGTTGGCACCAATATACGACCAGCTCAGCATGCACTGGTTTTGGTGGCTCCTCGAGTTGCTCCCATTGAAACATCGGCGCCAGGAGCACAACCATAGCTGGACGTGGTGGTTTGGCTGGAATCTGGGTCAAGGAAGGCACATTCCGCATCACCAGCAGCGACACTTGAAGGTGCATCGGAGCGTCAAGACGAGAATGACTGCGGAGGATGCTCATGGCCAGAAGTATACGCCCAAGGCTTTTCGTGACTTTGAGGAGGTTAAATTGGAGGATATAACTTGGGTTGATTGAGATGTGCGCTTTACGCATCTCGTTCGAGTCGTGTGCCAACCGAGTAGTGACCAATGACCCCTAATTGTATTCCCGCTCTTTTCCTTACCACTGAGCCGGTCGTTTCTGATAGGGACCTAGTACCGGTTAATACACTTCCTTCCTTCCTTCCTTCCTTATGTAATCCAAATTCCATATCTCTCCGAAATTCACTTCAGCCCCTCAGATCTCAGAGTCCTTTCGACGTTTATATCGCCACAGACATTACTGTATCCAACCAGAGCGAACTCAATGAAATGTGAGTCCATTAAATTCTATCACCATTTAGTGGTATGAATAACCGTTGGGTTCAGATGAGTGCCTGCCCTTTTTGCAAGGGTTTCGATAATAGCAAACCGCAATGCCCACCAGATTCTCCTGATCCTCCCTGCGAACCATGCCAAAAGATTAGGGAACTAGATTCAGAGATCCTCGAAAATCAGTCACATCTGGCCAGGCTCCTCAGAAAACGGCGCGTCCTAAAGACCGAGATGAATCATGTCCATGACCCCATGCACAAACTCCCTCCGGAAATCGTATCTCGCGTTTTCACCGTCTGCATGCACGCAACCTGGGAGAACCGTCGTCCACACGACGCCCTCCTCAATCCCGTTCCTCGAGCTACGATCCCCCCGCTGTTATTCGGCGCTGTTTGCCAGAGGTGGCGGGAGATTGCATGGTCGACACCACAGCTATGGACGAAGCTCAATATTTACCTCGATCCCAGCATCTGTGGCTGGCAAACGAAGGTGGCACAAGAGTGGCTTGCGCGCTCTGGCTCTCTCCATCTCTCCATTCATTTGCGTCCCCGGCACGAGCAAGACTTATCGTACCACACTAATCTGTTCGCTCCGCTTATGCGTCTTCTCAGCGAACACTCCCCTCGCTGGAAGCACCTCAATATTGCCCTTCCGCACTCTTTTATGACCCACTTTCGAGGAGACCTGCAGGGAATCCCTGTGTTACAGACCATGGTTATCAACGGCAAATCCGTATTCCCGTTGGGAAGTCAGGGTGAAGAATCCCTCCACTTTGGTCAAGAAGCTTCATCCCTAGTCTCAGTCGAAATTTACTCTTATCGTTTCAGATCTATAGGAATCGGTTGGAAACACGTCACAACGGTCCATTTAAGCAAACTGTTCGTAGAGGAATGCCTGGAACTATTCCAAGTCGCTTCTTCCATGAGGGAGTGCAACATCGCCCTCGTCACACAGGCAGATGACACAGAATTACCTGTTCATCATCATGTTATCTCTGACAGTCTTGAGAATCTTGCGATCGGTTTTGTGAATAGTTTGGATGGGCCAGCACTCATGAACAACATAACACTTCCCCGTCTGCAATCTCTATCTTACTACGTCTCTGCCATTGATTCACTCTCACCCTTCTTTTCACGTTCTTCCTCCACACTCACCCGCCTTCTACTTTCCGAAAATGACGCAAGCGAGGTGGAGCTTATACAGCTCTTGTATTCCACGCCGTTCCTTCAAGCCCTCGACCTTTACCACATGGACCTCGAAAATCAGCTCTTGGACCATCTTGTTTCAACAGCCCTCTCAACCATTGACCGCGAAGGCAACAAGCATGGATTTTTACCCCATCTTGCAGAATTATCCCTTCTTGGTGAGGGCGACTATTCGCTGGACACACTTCCCATGATATTCGCACAAGGACACCTGTTGCCCAACCAGGCGATGAGGCCATGGGAGAAGATGGAAATCGCGTTCTTTGTTGATCCAGAGGAGGAATATCTTGGGCAAGACCTTCTCAACAAACTTCTTGAAATCATTGACCGTGGAATCAAACTGCTGCTCTTCAACACAGAGACTGATAACGACCTCATCAAGGTCTCTCAACAATACTATGAATCCCTGGATGCTGAAGATGGAGAAGAGGCAGATGACGACGGCGATAGTGATGCTGAGGATGAAAACGTCAAGGAGGAGTATTCAGAAGGTGAGGACCAGTGAAACCGGGAAAGTATGCCGCTCTTTCCTTCGAGATCAAGCAGCAACTTGATAAATCCTTCTTCGCAGCAGGTTCAGAATGAGCCTCGAGTCGAGTCATCACACTCGCAACACGTCGTGGCTGTTTGTTCAGTCAGTTATTGGCGCTGTGTATCATGGCAGCAAGACCCCTGGATTAGCATGAAAGGCGGATGGTACGTTACTCCAGACTGCTGACGCTGTCAAACACCTCGTCAATGAATGCCTCATAGTCAAATTCCGCCTCGCCAGCCTCGTTGCGTCCACTCGGCATCGCATCACGCAGGTAGTCAATGGCAACCGCAGGAAGATGGGCCAACCGCAAGTCTAGCTCTGTCACAAATGGCTGTATGGGAAGATTAGAAACCAGAAAATGGCGTCGGACACAATGTTACTCACCTTGTCTTTCGCTATGCCACGGAATGCCTCGCGCAGCTGGTCCGGCGAAGTCTGGTCCTCCGTAATATCCACCTTAGAACACAGTTAACGCAAGGAAATCATTCTAATGTCAACAATTTTTACCAGAAGGTTGATAAATGCCTCGAACGTCACTGCGCCATAGCTCCCAACGAGCTGGTCATATATCGAGTCCATGTCGTCTTCAGAGTAGACAATGCCCAAGCTCGCAAGAGCCGCGATCATCTCCGCAATGTTCAGCGTATTTGTGCCGTCCTTGTCAAAGTACCGGAAGGTGCTTTCGAACTCCTCGAGCTGTGCTGGGGTCAAATTCGACATATTTCGCGATACGATCTGGAAGATACTTGTGTCAGACGATTTGCTTTTGGCTCGTGTATGTGGGCTGTGGACCCACCTGGTTCTCGATGAAGGTTAATTTCTTCTGTATGCTTTGTATTACCAGCTCCAGTTCAAACTCGAGGTCTTGACACGTAAAGACAGTGTAATCATTCTCTTCAACGTTCGCCGCTTCGCATTCAGCCTCAGCTGAGCAACAGTCGACAACGCTTCTGAGAGGGTCGGTATTCGTGTTTGGATGTCCAAGACGTGATCTTGTTGTTCCTATGAGATAATCAGCAAATGCAGATTCTCAACATTCAACCAGTGCATACATACTTCCAGAGGACCTTCAATCGCAGCCAATTCGCTGGAGATCGCACGTAGCCGCTGTTCAAAATCGTTTGCAAGAGTCGCGAACGTCTTCCTTAGCGACTCCTTAATCCTACGCAACAGAGGGTCAGCAATCCTGCCACCAAGACGAACCTGAATCGGACTCACATCCGTATCTGTGCATTTATTTTCCGACTCCTCTCCGCCTCCTTCTTCAATAGTAGTTCCCAAGCTACGTCGAGATCTGACAGGGCAAGACCCGGAGGTGGTACGTATTCTCTTAGGCCATAGGTCTTCAGCTTCGTCTGCACATTCCCGAAGAGGGTTGCGACATCCTGTCGTTCGATAACCCATGTTCGCTTCGTCGTTTGCTTGTAGTTGGTAAATTCAGCCGATTGCTCCTTCGCGTCTGTATAGGTTCCTGTGAAGACTTGGGATGCCCATTGGGATTGGATCGAGGACAATGCTGCGAGGAGCTGGTGGAAAATGGACGCGTCATCCCAAGGATTCGAAGAAACGAGAGAGGAAAACTCACCAGGCGTATCCGCCGTTCGTAATCGTTCCTTATCAGCCACGCTGACTGCATAAGTTCGGCAAATTTCTCCACTCTCCGCGATTCCGTCTCTGCTTGATCTAAATATATGCGTAAGGAACAGCGATCGTACGAAAAGCTCAAGAACACCAACCCATTGTCGAAAACGCGTGGAAAAAGCTTGCAATATAAGTCATCACACTCCGTTCGTCTGGATGGGCCGAATCGCACAGATCTTCAACTTCTAACAGTTGCTGTAGGGAAGAAAATCGTTACATCTACGGTAGTCGCGTGAAGAGAGTGAACATACAGGGATGTTAAGGTGTTCGGCTGCCACTGTGAACGCCAGTCGCGTATTTCCGTGTCGATCAGACTGAAAGGAAAACTCAGTGAAACATACAACGGCGACGGGTAGGACTATGCCTTGTCGAGCTTATCGTAATCGAGCAGGTCTGGCCGATGACAATGAATGAGGGCACACCTAGATACCATTCCAATCCATCAGCTGACTACGAATTCCTTCCGTCCATTCGACTCACAGCGCTAATCCATCCGACCAACTGTGCGAGAAATCCTGCACATCTACCTCCTTGTACGGCTCCGTCTTCCTCTGACACCACAGGAGCAGGCCTTCCTTTGCCGAGAGGCCTTCTTCGCTTTCGTTGTGCCACTTGAGACGCGTTCGGATGGAGAGGGAACAGAGGCAGGACACACCTGATGTCCGCGATCGTGAACCGTAGGATAAGCGTCCAGATCATCCCGAGAATGAGCTTCAGGTTCCCGTCGATGATGTCTACGCGTCATGGGCGATCAGGGGTATGGTTAAGATGGGCATGATTGTTGAGATGACGAAGCTACAAAATGAGAGAGATTGAGAGGACACACCTTCGGGCCCGATGTTGGTCAGCTTAACGCCCCGCGAGGTGATGAATTCTAGTGCCTTGTTGACGTTCTCCGCCTTCTGGACGCGCATTCTAGGATTCTTATTGTACCGCCCGAGCGAGGTGTCGCCTATCCATCAACAGAGAACGAGTTCGTCAAGATCTTGCATCCAAAATATAGAAAAAGGGATAGACAAGTACCCATGATCTCCTGAACGCGACGCCGGAACGATTGGCAAAAGAACGCGCTTTATGTAGTCACAAAATATCCGCACCATGAGTTGGATGAGCCGGACACCATCCGACAGATCTTTGACAAGAGACGACATCGGCGGGTATCCATTCGCCTCTAGCTTCGTGTTCAACCTGAAAACACCAAATGAACCGTCAGCCAACGCCCTTGTCCTCAACCCAACGCCCCTCGGGCCATCCGGCTCGCCTCGCACTCACCATTTACAGAACGTCCTTTGTTGAGTATCGCGCGAGCGGCTTTCCAGGCTGTCCATGGCAGTTGTTGCAGGGTATTAGAGAGATAATATCGTGGATAGTAAGAGAGGAGTTATAGGGGGAAAGTAGATTGGGCAAGGGGGAATGGCAGAGGCTCAAATAGGGCATCAGCCCCATCGACTCACCGATGGAACGCGTCTTTCAAACTCCGCAACGCGTCGACGACGTCCTATCTGCACCTATCGAGCTTCGTGTTCATCAAAATTTGCTCCTATCAGCGCATTGCAAGGGTCTTGGATGAACGAAATAATTCATTGAGTAGATAGAAAGTAGGAGGTCGTACTAAGTATATCATAAGGAATCGTGTACAAGGAATATAACAATATTAATGCTAATTTTGTGCGTGAAAGACATAATGTGCGTTGCCTCAGAGAGGCGTCATCGAGAACATCGTATAACACAGCAAAAGAACAGAAGGTATGTAATGCCATGAAGGAACAATCAATCAATCCAAGTGGGTTCGACCCACAAGACTGGCTTGGGCACGTACTTCTTGCCCCTGCGCCTCCTTTCTTCGTCCGCATACTCTGCTTCCATCCTCAGCTTGACGCTCCGGTGCACCTTCAAACCACTGGTGCGTTGCTTCGGGATGTACCGCGGGTTAGCTCTGTTCAGGCTGCAAAATAGGCCCGACAACAGGATCAGCAACGTCGCCATGAAAGCAAGAGAAGATAAAACTGACCCCCAATGCGTAACCCACTCGTTATTCCCCCTCTGGTACCTCAGCTGGAGCGGTAGCCACTCAAGCACCCACCAGAACTTTTTTAGCCTGAGCTGATCGTACTTCGGGGCCATGGCATCCCGAATCTCCTCTTCCTCCTCCGAGCCCAGGAACGGCACACGCTGCGCCTGCAAGAGCTTGGGCATCTCCTGCGACGACTTCTTGTTTTTCTTTGTCAGGAGCTTGTGTGGGCGGATCGGAATAGGCTTGGACGGTGGGTGTTGGATCTTGTGCTGTTCCGTGATGGGCAGAGGTGGCGGACGGGGTGCTACGTAGGGGTAGAGTGTCGATGGGTCGAGGCCGATATCGCGAAGGGTGTCCGATTTGAACATAATCCCCGTATTGCACTTGAAGCACTCGCGGACCATCCAGCGCAGGGCGATGCGCGCGAGAGAGTGCCGCGTCTTGTTGCTGACAGCACCACCACCGATGTCTATTGAACAGAATTTCAGTCCGGGGGTACGGCAGCATGTCATGGGCACCTACCGCAATGGCATCCAGCAAACCACACCTCCTCAATATCTGTCATCGTGTCGCCCTTCTCGGAATACATCCTCTCCAACGTGTTCAGAGCCTTGTCATCCTCGTCCTCCTTCCTTCGCTTGATCTTCGGCTTCTCACCAGACCATCTCTTCTTCTCTGTCTCAGGACTGTCTAGGCACTCGTTCTCTTCAAAGTCTTCGTACTCTTCGAAGAAGCTAGGCGGTCGGGTTGGTTGTTTAGGAGGAGCCGGAGGGTGCTGGTGACTGCAGGAGGGAAGTCCTAATCTTGCCTCTTCATGAGTAGGTCGGTTCCACAAATTGGCCTTGAACTTGGCGCGACGTTCATCGAGTGCTACAGCGTGCCGGAAAGTCTTGACGATCGTGTTTGAAGTCGTGAAGGGCAGTCTTTTCGGGATGATGCCGACTGAATCGACTGTGTCCCTATTCCAGAGGGTCAGACGAGGCTACAAGAAAACCTGCGGCAACTGACCAAACGCCGATGAACTCGATAGACACATCAACTGAAAATGCCTTCTTGAACTCGTTGGATTGTTCCCAGCCTATATCGTCGGCACGAGTGTACATCTTGTACGCGAACGGTACTTGTTGGAAGTTGCCAGCTGGAAGAAGGCCAACCTTGTGGAGCATGCCCGCGAGACTATCATGATGCGTAAATAAGCAACATGAAACCAACGAGAAGGAACTGAACCTACCTTCGCGCCGTATATGCGCCTCTCGAGAAACCAAATAGGTAGATCTTGTCCCCTGAGATATCTATAGGACCAATGTCCTGCTTAGTCTACACCCGAGTTCGTTCTGGCAACACGACATACAATTCTGCATCAAGAACTCATACCCACCTACGAAACATGCAATTAGCTGCTGACATTGCGACAGGCTAGACAGCGACGTACTCATCACATGGGCATGCAAATTCAAGGCGATCATTTCATCGAGGATCTTACGACAGAAATGTAAGTCGCCGACGCCACACTCTTAATGGAGAGCACCGAACGACACTTACCTTCCTAGTCTTGGACATGAATGGAGTTGCAACCTTGGGCGACGTGTACGTTCCAATCCCCGTCTATCAGAGCCGAAAATAGCCTCAGTACCCCGCAAGACAAAAAAGCGTGCATATACGAGGGAAACACACCTGGTAATACACCAACTGTTTCGTCTGATCGTCCTTCTTCAACAGCGACACTAGCTGCACGATGTTTGAGTTGTCCGCGTCGAACTGGTCGCCCGTGCCATCGAAGCAGACCACGAGCGTCCTGTTGGTATGGTTGGGCGGGATAACGGGAGGGCAGCGGGTGGGATCGATCGTTCCCTCGCGTCGCACGGGCGGGGGTTTGTCCGCAACCTCTGGCAGTGCCTCTGACACGAAGACGCCATCCTTGTCCGCGTTCAGCGTGCTTGTGGTATTCGCGGTTTTCTCGCTGCTGGTGTTGGAGAGACGCGACTCCTGCGCCTCGACGAACGTGCCTGTCGTTGAGAGCACGGTGGGCTCTTGGACGTGGGCGGTCGGGCGGGCGGCTGACATGTCGATGGCGGGGACTTGGGCGGTCGTCGCGGTGTGCCTCCGGCCAGGGGAAACGCACAGAAAGACGCAGAGGGCAAGGGAGGATTTCCCAGGGGGTGTTAATATATGTCACTTTGCGACGTCCTGAGCGCTTCTCCCCGCAGCTGGCATCCGGTATGTAAGGAGGGTGCGTCACGGCGAGCTTAAGAGGACAAGAAAATAGGGCCTGAGAACCATGATATTATCAGGGCTGTACTGATGGGCCCGGTGGATGAAGCAGGCCGACTGTCAGAGTGAAGCGAGAACTCCTCCACGAGGCTGGTGGGGACATTCACGATTGGAGGAAATTCCGGCAACTTGCAACAATAGTGTTCGCCTTGCGAGGGAGTCGGCGTTTGCTTGAACGAGGTGCAAAGAGCATGAACACAGCTTATGTTGAGAGGCAGGCATTGGGCAGCGCTATTCGGGGGAAAGAGGTAAAAATCAATTGATGGTCCAACTGCAGAGCTCACATTCTCACGGCCATTAGGGGTAAAATCGACTTAGCACTGAGGACAAGAGGGAAGCAAGCCTTTCTTGTTGTATAGCTTTGCCTTCATTTTAATCAGCTGACAATGCGACTCGAAGCTCCTTGGACATTTGACGTTATTCGCTTCTTCGACGGTGCATAGGAAAGTGGTGCTCACCACTTCATTTTAGATTGATGGAGTGGAAATGAGCTGTGAACAATGCTTGATAGTGTAAGAAGCTACCATATACATCATAGACTAAAGGTTTCAAAAAATGAGAACGTAAACTAGTGGAGTGACCAATCGCAGGGTAACCGAAGATAAGTCTTGTTCAGGCTTGGATCAAAATAAGCGCTCGCCAATCCCTTCGAAAGGCCACGGCATCATAAATGACTTCACTACCGCTGCGCAGCTAGCAGCCCAACGCGTCAATCGACCCAAGTGACATGCTCGAGGTTTAGGTTCGCCTTCGGCATATACCTCTCTCCGCGTGCATCCTCCGCGGTCATCCTCGTGCGGACGCTCCGGTGCACCCTCACTCCATGACTCCTTTGGCCCGGGACGTGTCTTCCTGTTCCAAGATTCCATCCAAACCACGACGTCCACGCATTGTTGCTTCGTTGGTATCGGTGCTTCAATGGGAGGAGTTCCAGAATCCACCAGAACCAGTTCAAGCTGAGCTGGTCGTATATCGGAGAAAGGGCATCTTTGAGCTCGATTTGTTCTTCCGTCTCCGTTGGTTTCAGCGACGACACTAGCATGTTGTCTTCGTCGGTAGATGGGATTGGATTCTTTGGAATGGATTGTATCATTGATGTTTCGACGCGGGAAGTGTCGAGGTCGAGTGGCGGCGGGCGCGAGAGGACAACTGGATACAAGGTTGAAGGATCGAACCCGATATCTCGAAGGCCTTCTGTATGGAAGGCGATCCCGCTATTCGTCTTGAAGCACTCCCGTATCATCCAACGAAGGGGAATGCGAGCAAGGCAGAATGGAACGCCGTTTTCCACTGGTTATCATATCTTCAGCCCACGTAGAGTTGTATGACTAGAAGAACACTCACCAGACCCTCCGCCTATATCTAGAGAAAGGTTGCAACACCGTCAGAACTTTTCTTATTTTTTCGTGTGTGTAAAACTTCTTACCACAATGGCAGCCCGCAAACCAAACCTGCAGAGACGTCAGTCTCACGACAGACATTTAGAAAAGTAAGCGAAACTTGCCTCATCAATATCCGTCTCGCCAACCGTGCTCTTGCTATACCTCCTCTCCAGCTCACGATGACTCGGTGCATGGCTCCCATGCAGGCGATGCGCCAGGCCACTACACTGCCGTTGAACCTTTTGATCGGTCGTGCTCAAAAGCTTCTCGTTATCGTTGGGCCGATTCCACAGATTTGCTTTAAATTTTGCCCGACGCTCATCAAGAGCGATAGCATGCCGGAACGTGCGCACAACGGTGTTTGACGTCGTGAACGGCAGGCGTCGCGGGATCAGACCCACGGAACTGACGGTGTCCCTGGAGGTCGTGGGGTAATGTCAGATATGATGCAACCTCGAGTATAAGGTGTCAGAAGCGTACCAGACGCCTAAAAACTCAATGTTGACGTCGATGGAGAAAGCTTTCTTGAATGCGTTGGACTGTTTCCAGCCTATGTCGTCCGTGCGCGTGTACATCTTGTACGCGAAAGGAACTTGTTGATGATTGCAAGTCGGGAGAAGGCCGACTTTGTGAATCATGCCCGCTAGGCTACATCGCGGAGTTAGGAATGCTGAAGAAGGATTAGTGGAAGGCGATCAGTCACCATCGTGCTGTGTAGGCCCCGCGCGAAAATCCTTGAAAGGGGTTAAGGAGCAGTTAGGCGCCGTCACTGTGGCGTAGGTGGCGTCGCTACTTACCGAAGATACAGATTCGGTCATTCGCACGATCTAGCACCATGAACCTTCAATTGACGACATGTAAAATGCACGCGGGGTCATGATGACGCACAATTCTGCATAAGAAACTCGTAGCCACCTTCATGGCGAAGTTAGTTTGACGGTGTGAAAGCGAAGTTCAAATTGAAGACGTACACATGATATGGGAGTCCATATTCCAGGCGACCATTTCGTCCAATGTCTGCATACATTGGTGGTCATGAGGGCGTTTTCTCGAGGGGAGCATGCAAACATACCTTGCTTATCTTGGCAAACATCGGCGTTGCAATCTGGGGTGTCGTAAAGGTGCCAATTCCAGACTGAAATGAAGAGCTTCAGAGACAGTTGTAACTCTCTACCTTCCCTCTTACCTGATAGTATACTAACTGACGAGAAGGGTCGTCTTTCTTCAACATGCTGAAAAACTCGACGACATTTGAATTCTGCATACCCTCAGTCAGTCAGTGATAAACTTGGCAAGGACTGTTCACGCTCACGTCAGAGTCAAACCTGGGATCAAAACATTAATGAACATCCATCTTATTCACGGAAATTAAACTTACTGATCACCAGTGCCATCGAAGCAGAGGACCAGCGTGCGAGAAGGGGATTCTGGGGGAATGCAATCTGGCAAAGGAACGGTAGCAGCACCACCGTTCAGCGACCCGAACTTTGACTGAGTAGGAGAGTCGGTCGACAAGGTCGTATCAGAAATGGCACTGTCCAGTCGTGCATGGGCGTCAATGGTGGCCATCGTGCTCATCGAGATCCAGGAGAGAATGAAGCGATTCAGAAAGATTGAGAGAGGAAGAGAGGAAGGAGAAACCGCTGGATACACATACGTCGTAGAGTGTAGTATTTATTCGCTTCGCGTCATGGTCTACCAAGAGCCCGAACAGTGCGCATTGGCAGGTGTAATGTTCGTCATCCTCAGGGTTCAGCGCGGTCTGATGGACAAGCCGTCGTTTTCCCATTCGTCTCGATAAGAATACTTAGCCTGGAGCAACTTTAGGCGAACGAAGTCCACCGACCTAAGTTACTCACCCGTCAGCTGGGCTTCTGGACAGTGAAAATGCTTCGAAGTGTTCATACTACACCGCATATATCGGGCCTGATATTGCGACATAAGACTGAAAACATCGGACATCCGATCGGCGGGAAGTGAGGTGGGAGCACCGTGGCCTCCAATATCGAGCATTGGGCAGGCGGATGCAAACATTTTCTCTTCCGATACTGGGTTGACAGTTTACCTAGAGTAAGTAGCTGTGTAATATGTACAACGAGATAGGGTGGAACTTGCCGGTTCGACAGCCTTTCTTTGTTCGGTTCTGTTTTCGATACAACCGTAACATCGTGCACGACTGGTCGCAGGTACGGCGGAGGGTGCATTATTGAATGCGGTTTGGGTATGAGCATTGGAAGGAAAAGGTCTGTCGATCTTACATAAGTAGCCACAAAGTTCTGTGCCGAGTTCCCAAACGATTGTGCGAGAAGTTGATCATTTTCAAATTGGGAAGAAGCTGTGTGGTGCTGATGTTATAAATTTCGTTTACATCTTCCCGATCCTAAGTTTCTTCAACGCAGGTGCGGGCGGGGCAACAGCGCGTTGAGGTTCATTGTCGAGGGAATGAAGAATTTTTCGATGATTTCTGTTGGGGATACGTGAATATTATTCATATCTTGTCGTTCAGAGCACACCAGGAACGCACTTGCGAAGAGGAAGAAAGTCGTACTTACCCACGTACTTAGGCATGAGGAATCGCGGTTGCACGGCCCAGTCAAACCAAGGTCAAACCTGAGTGTGCTGCCAGCAGCTTGCAGAATGGAGTCAATTGCCTGATCACCAAGCATCAAGTACATAGCTGAAGTGAGAACGTATTCACGTCTCATGGATTCTCGTCATCTGAAGGGTCATCCGTCATGCCATCTTCCTCGTCTTCAGTGTCTAGCATTCCGTGATGCCTCTGCGAACGCTCGATGAGGTTTGCCCCAGTCTCTTCGTTGGTAATCTTCAGGTCGATTCCGCGGTCTATGATTTCGAGAAGCTCTTTAAGGAGATCTTGATCGATGAATCCCACATCTTCATGCCAGTAAAATCCGATTTCCATCATCTCCCAAGGACGTCTGAGTTGCTTCTGTGACTGCGGTCCTGATGCAAATATCCGGGGAAGATTCTTGAGCAAATAGTCTCGACCACCGAATAACGACAAATCCCCAAGATGGGGTAAAAATCGACGACTTTCACCCTGTTCATCAGTGCTCGAGAGCGCCGTAGTCGCGAGAAGATCTAAGAAGTGATTCTCGATGTTAAGGTGGAAGACCCGAAGTATCTTGAGGTGCGGTGTGGCGTAAGAGTCGGATGAATTCGTCTTCGGTGGCATCAATCTCCGACATATGGAGGTGGGTAAGAGCGCACGAGGACTGCGTCAAGAAGGACAGGATGTCGTTGATTAAACCGCCCTCGACAACAAAGGACTGCAATGAGGGAATCGATATCTTCCTGAGGAGGGTACAATTGTCGGCGCTGACACAGATGACCAATCTCTGCACACTATGGGAGACAACAGTGTCAACAGGGATGCCGAATCCTCCGCTACCCTCGACAACCAAGGAGAATTCACAAGTGACCATTGAAGAGGCGAGTTGGAATAGCTGCAGGCATTCGTCCACGAACACCTCCCCAAGCCTCACTGTATTCACATGTCGCCAATCGATCCCCACCGACCGAAAGTAAAAAGTCTTGACTTCAACCGAAATAAGAGAAGGAGCTGTCTGCCCAAGGTGAAAGGATCCTTCGCTCCGTTCTGTCCTGAATCCGGAGGTATTTTTGATCAGGATGGTTTGCAAAGCAGAGACACCGTGCAAATCTCCTCGCAGGAGCGCCACCAAAGAATGCGGAAGGGCTACCTTGAGGTCTCTCCAACGAGCAGATTGCCGGCTGAGAAGATACATCAACGGACGGAAAAGGTCAGCAGAGGACGACAAATCCCGCTCGCCTCGGGAGTGCAAGCGGATTGAGAGCGGGAGGGAGCCCGATCGTGCAAGCCACTCCTGCGTCATCAGCGTCTGCCAATCGACGATGCTTGGGTCGAGGTAGAGGTTAAGTCTTGTCCAAAGTCGGGGCGTCGACCAAGCGATGTCGCGCCATCTCTTGCAAACGGTCCCGAGAAGGAGCGGAGGTTGGGTAACGTAGGGCAAGGGGTTGAGGAATGGGTAGTACGGCAGGGGTTCCTCCCCTGCGAACATGCACAATGTGAAAACGCGCGAGACGAGCTCAGGAGGTAGCTTGTTCACTGGGTCGTGAAACTGGTTCATGTCGGCCTTGAGGACGTGTCATTCGTTGAGGAGATGCGTAAGCAGCGCTTTGGTTTCGTCGATCCTTGAGGACAGATCCTTCGTCTTTCGGCATGGCTCGCATGGAGGGTTGGCGGAGTCTGGCGGACACTGCGGCTCGACGTCGTCGGGACTCCCGCAAAGAACGCAGTCATTCATCTAAAAACCCCCACATCAGCTTTCGGTAGAAGAACTGACCAGACGAAGATAAATACTCTTCTGTGAGAAATGTGCTTCCCTGGTGAAAGTAAGGATGTAAGTTCGTGGCAAGGCACGACTACGGTTGCAAAAAGACCGGCGTCTTCGTTACGTAACTACACCGTAAGTTAGGGGCTAATTTACCAAACCGCGTTGGAGTTTATCCACTGTTCGAAATGGTGTTCTTTGACATCTGGATTCTCTTGCAAGTGTTATTTGAATGCTCCAAAAGATGATATATGTTGTATTTCAAGGGATGCAGTCAAAAAGACAGACCGAGGTCAAGTTCACTCATAGAGAGGCTTTAGCAAACCTCCGCGTCATGTCGCACTCCTCCTTGATAACCAACAGTCCTTTTTCGATAAGGCGAGACAAATGCCTATCGTGCTGTAAAATTTCCAGCACCCTGATGACGCCTGACTTTCTTTCACGGTCGTCATGGTGAGGGACCCAGAGTTCGACGCTCTTCAGGCCCTTGAGGCGGTCTGAGGTCACTGCTTGTACCAACGTGTTCCAATCGACTCTGCTAAGAGCGGCCTGATCGCCTCTGAAGTGGATACGGAGAGCGAGGTGATGGAGAGGGGAATATTCGGGTAAGGTTTGAACGATGTTCGCAATCCACTGCAGCGGCGACAACAGGTTCCTGGCCTCAATGGTCTCTTCTCCAGTGCTTGACACCCAAAACTCTTGCGACAACCAAATTCTTGTACGAATGGTTAGACTATTGAGGCGATGAAGATTCGAAAGGCTGAGATGACACATTTCAGGACTAGAGGCGATGGTTCCGTCGATGAGGTTAAACAGAGTGTGGTCTGTAGATTCGATAAGTAAAACAGTGCAAATTTGTGAATGAACTTGTGACCCACAGGCATTTCCAGGATCGATAACGAGGTCCGTAAGTGAGTTAGAGCATTGCTGCAAGAGAAGAGGAAGACGATTCACGTCCTCGGAATTCATTGTCTGAAAATCGACCGAGCGAAGTTGTGTGATGTCTGGAGAATCATTGCGGAGAAGCCAGTCCAGGATTTGTGAAAAGGCCAAAGAAAAGCGGCGAATTGAAAGATGCTCGAGCTGAGGTTTGGTGGAAGTGTGTTCAAATGTCGATTGAAGGTCGACGGTTGCAATGTCCTCAATGGCGAGTCGTTTGAGAGATGAACAGCTTTCAAAGGCTGCAAGAGGGAAGGAATCGACAGAATTGATGGTAATATCCGCCATCGAAGGTAAACGGAGAGTCTGGAGGAAGTTGACCGCAAGATATCACTTAATCTCGTCCAATTGATCATTCCGTTTCGGGGAGTAGTTAGAGTGATCTTAGAAAGGAGGGGCAGGAGAGGGAGCACAGTGGCTATGTCTTGGTCGTTCAACGACCGGGTGAGAAACCACTTCATGACGCCGGGCGGGGAGATGACAATTCGAAGGTGTTGCACATATGTCGCTATGTGAGGTGATTCTTGGAGGATCTTGCATAGATGTGCCGGCGTATAGCGATCCCGTTCAGTGTTCTTCTCGTTATGCACCGTAACATAGCTGTAGATGTACTTCTCGGCGATGGCAAGGAGTAAAGGGTCAGCATTTGCGCATGCATTTAGAGACCCCTTGTCTCCTTGAAGGAAGCTGAGGATGTAGTCGAGGATCTCGACTGGGAGGGCAACGTTAGACTCTTGGGCCATTCCTGCGGTCAAGACCTAGTTCTCGAACTTGGATGAGAGCCTGCTGAAGGCCATTGAAGAAAATAATACAGTTAGATATCCATAGCTTGGTCAGTCCGAGAAATAGGGCTCACACGACGACCAGAGGTAGAAGGTACGTATGTTGTGGAGGTAAGATCCCGGACCTGAGCTGACCACATGCTTTGCTCCGACATATTAGGTAATCCACGACCTGACAGTGGCGCCTGACCTTGAGAATGGTTTCCTGAATACCAACCGCCAACGTTCATGGTCAATGGCGCCCGCCCTTCAAAAGTAAAGCGACCTAATCCATCGAAAAAGCCGACATTCACTGTCGAAGTTTATCCTGCTGAACGCAGCTCTCCGTCTCCACCATCAGGGCAGTCCACTGGTCTTCTACAGACGCCTACGTTCGCACAACACATTCGTTCACGGTACATGGCCATGATATCACCAAGAAGCAGTAATTACGAGCGGCTGGAAGGTGGGCACGGTCCGTCCAGGACGGGCACACCGAAGCGTTTTGGATGGAAGAAGTTTGCTCTGGTAGCAGCAGCACTGATCACTCTGGTGTACTTTTTCGGTCCTCGAGCGTCCAAGTCTTTGCCGTGGAAGTCCAAGACGCTGCCAGGTGCGAGTATGTGCTTGGCTTCTTTCTTGATGCTAACGTTGCCTCCTAGAATCACCAGGTTCTGGTTATCCATATAGTGACGACATCGAGCAAGACCCAGCTCCTGTCGGCGGGCATACAAAGACCAAAGTCGGGGAACACAAAGGCGTTGACAAACCCAAAGTCACCAAGCCAGAGACCCACCCCGCCGTCATTCACCCCGAATCCTACGAAACTGACCCCGACCCGTCGAAGACCACCCATTGTACCACACCCCACGATCCCCACGACCCCCTTGTGCAATATGCTCTCATGATCGACGCAGGCTCGACGGGCTCGCGTATCCACATCTACAAGTTCAACAATTGCGGATCCTCTGCTGAATACGAGTACGAGGTATTCAAGATGACGAACCCTGGCCTGTCCTCCTTTGCGGGTAGGCCAGAGGAGGCCGCAGAGAGCCTGGACGTACTTCTCGATGAGGCTATTCGTGTTGTGCCGAGGTCGTTGCGTAAATGTACGCCTGTGGCCGTCAAGGCTACTGCTGGTCTTCGGCTCCTTCCAGGCTCGCAAAGCGCAGACATCCTGCACGCGGTGGAAGATAGAATACACGAAAAATATCCTTTCAAGCTGCAAGAGAAGGATGGTGTGGTCATTATGGACGGCAAGGATGAAGGAGTATATGCTTGGATCACGGCAAACTACCTCCTCGGAACAATCAAGGGCGACACTCCCAAAGATACCCCGACCTATGCTGTCCTTGATTTGGGTGGCGCCTCGACCCAGATCGTTTTCAAGCCCGCCTTTTCCACGAAGCACAAGGGTCTTGAAGACGGAGAGCACAAGTACGACCTTAAGTTCGGAGGCAACACGCACACGTTGTACCAACATTCCTACCTTGGCTACGGCCTCATGCGTGCCCGCGCCCATGTTCACACTCTCGTCGACTTTATGGCGTCCATTCGACCACCTTCGTCGAAGGAGAAGGCGCAGAACATGGTCGGCAACCCTTGTTTGGCCCGTGGTACGAGGAGGGTGATCGAGGTCACCGACGAGCCAACCGGAAAGAAGAGGAAGGTTACGATGGACGGCGACGATATTGGCTCTTTCGAGGCCTGTGATAGGATCGTGCAGCTGGTGCTGGCGAAGGATTCGTACGTATACCTTTTCATTATATAGCGCTCAAGCTCATTAATTCACACTGCAGGATCTGCGAGCTGAAACCCTGCTCGTTCAACGGTGTCTACCAGCCTTCGCTCCTCGACTCTTTCCCTCATGGCAAAGTCCTCCTCCTCTCCTATTTTTACGACCGACTCCACCCTCTCCTCCCTCCAAAGACACCCATAACCGTGTCGACCATCGCTGAGACCGCGAAGGAAATCTGTCAAGGTCGCGAGACATGGGCTAAGAAGCACTGGGGCAAAGACAAGGAGCTCATGGCGGAGCTCGAGGATCGCCCAGAGTGGTGCCTCGATCTTACGTTTATGCATGCGCTGCTGCGTCTCGGATACGAGTTCCAGGATGACAGGGAAGTGCGCATCGAGAAGAAGGTGAGGGAGACGGAGTTGGGATGGTGCCTTGGAGCGACAATTGCGATGGTCGGTGGAGAGTTGACATGTCGAGACTCAACAGAGGATTAGCTTGAGCTGTAGTAGAGCGTTATATCTCGTTGTGGATGGATACTTGTAATTTATCGATAGAGTATGTTAATATTTAAGTCGGAGAGTTAGGAAAGCGTGTGAAGGAATTTCACCTGACCTAGGTCGACAGCCTAGGCTCCAAACGTTCAACATTCGACGTCAACACTCGTTCACTTCCGCTACTTTCAGATCTACAATGGTTTCAAGCGCCTCTGCCTCTGGTTCCTCGTCCAGAGCTTATATCGACCTAACGGACGACGAGTTCGTTGGAGAGATTCAAGCCAAGCTTCGTGCCGAACTGGCTGACAATCTCAAGGAAATGAACCGCCTTCGGTCTCAAATACGCGACCTTCAATCCGAGAGCACAGGCTTACGGCTGGAGCTCAAGGAAACCAAAGATGAACTCAAGGAGACGCGCGCTTTACTTGGTCAGGCTGTCGTGACAGCGACGCGGCAGGTGGGTTTTCTATCATGGCCCCTGTCCAGGCTGAACTGACGTTTTCGTGCAGAAGGAATCCTCGACCGCCGCTAGTAGAACTTCGACACGTTCCGTGCCTCTTCCGCCCATGAGGGTAAAATCAGTACTGTAAATGGCCGTGTTTCTGTCTGAAAGCCGTTAGATTCGGTCACCGTCTTTCGAGGTCATCGACTATGTGGAGAAAGACAAAGATAAATCGACGGTAGAGAGGTACATCATTTGTTCTCTACTTCTGCTATAAACGATTACTCAAGCCGAATGCGTAGAACACGCGACCAACCACACTGAAATCCGCGAAGCGACTCATCTCCTACGTCGACGTCCCTCCACGAAAGACAGCTGTTAAGCTTGAGCAATCATCCTTGAAACGGCCTCCGGAGACGAATCCAAGTGAACAAGAGAGACAAGAGTCTTCAAAGCGTCCGAAAGTCGAGCCTGCTGCCTGTGCGAAGAAGCAAAGTACTTCGGTGAGCATAACACAACTGTTAGATCCAAAAAGTCTAATGTTTAGCATTCCTATTCTCTGTCATGAAGAGCTCTGCGACCAGCTCTGGCATTCAAAAGGCTGAAAGCGTATCACGCCATGCTCAAGGAAAAGCTCCTGTCAGTCCAAATACCACCGTTCCTCCCAGCCATCTGCTGGCACCCTTTGATGCTTCGCCTAGATTGCCCCTAAACCCGAACTGAAAGCCGAACCTAAAATCATTCTCGATCTCGTATCGCATCACCTCCACGGCGCGCCAACGCTGCACATAGATCCGCCTCCTTCGACCATCCCGGTGCCCCGTCGGCTCCTACGCCTTGCTTATGGGGGCAGCGATATGCAATTCGTCCAGTACTTTCCGGACTGGGAGAACCCCTCTGGCCCAGCGAAGCGACGTCTTGTCTTCCCGCAACTCAACATGAACCCGGCTATGCCGACAGAACCTGGGACTCCAGGACTCGTCTTCGCGTCACGGCACGAAATTTTGGACGATCCTCCTTGGACGCTATTCCACAAGGTCCAGAACGCGAAGCCCGCCGTTTGGTTGTACCAAGGAGAGTACGAGAGTGTGCTGAGTGGGACGATGACGGCAGAGCAGTTTCGGGGCCAACGGCCAGAGGTAACTGATGCCTTTTCTCGCTGGCAAAGGCGTCGTGACAAATGAATGTTGTAGGTGAAACGTGAATGGGGCGACCTTCTCGTGACTCAGGTCGTCTGCAAGCCCTACCTTTCTATGCGTTCGCGCATCGCTCTGCGGAAAGCAGGACTGATACCTTTGGGAGACGAAGAGGCTGAGGAGGCGCTCATCAAGAAGGAGATGGTGGCCGTGAAAAAGAACGGAGGGCATCCTGTCAACGCAGATGATATTATTGCCGCTCTTGAAAGAGGAGACGAGGTTCGTCAGGTTTGGCATTATCTGCGTCCTGCGACCGCTCATGTTTTCTTACAGGGAATTGACATTCTCCGTATGACATGCGTTAAATACGACCATGCTTTCGCGAAGGAGCTCGAGGAACGATTGCCGACTCTTCCGCGCTTGATCGAGGAGGCAAAGGCGAAGAAAGAAGCGGAGGAAGCTGCGAAGAAGGCTGCGAAGAAAAGGAAGAAGCCGACTGCGTCTGTGGGACCCACCTCGAAGACGAAGAAAAAGAAAGTGGCGACGGAAAAGGGTGTGTCGAAGAAGCCTCCGCCCCTTGAAATAGAGGAAGATAGCTCGGCAGACGACTTCGTTGGACCCGACGATGATAGGACAGCAACTCCCTCATCCTCTGTCCGGGAGCTCCGACCTCGTAAGTCCACAAGGCAGTCATTCGTTTCTCTGACCACCGATGAGGATGAAGGCGGAAATTCAGATGACTCTGATATCGTGGGTCTGGACTCGCGGTATTGATTTTGGACTGCTCATTCTTGCCATATACTCTCGTTGGATTCTACATTCTTTTTACACCGTATACTTATCCATCTATGTAAATTATATCCTCACTTATGTATGATATCTAGCAAAAGTCGACCTCCGAGCTTTTAGCCCCTAAGTCGCGTTTCCGCTCCGCCGGCGGATCAGGGTCGCTGTCATGAGCGAAAACCTGGCGAAAACCTACATAAATGGTCCAAAATTTCTTCCCTAGCCACCATCCTACGCGTTTCCCTCCTCAAGAATGTCTCGACTTCAATCTGTCGCGTCGACATCTACAACTTACGTTGAGATTCCTGATGACGAACCTCCGTGTATTGCTCCTCTTCAAGCAAGCATTCACGAGCAGACGACAACAGACGCCATCCTCGAGATGCAACGCCTCCGGTCACAAGTACGGGAGCTGGAAGCTAGAAACGATGAAATACTTCTGGAGCTGGAGGACATGAAAATAGAACTGAAGGAAACTCAGAGTTTGCTTGGGCAAACTTTGGTGAAAGCTGCTCGACAGGTAAGTACGACGCGTGCATATATCTACGTATCCTCATTTGTTCACCGCGTTTTTTCTTTCTGTCTACAGAGAGAAGGCCGTGACACTACGCCTAGCTCTTCAAGATGCGTCAACGCATCGACAAAAAGGGTGAGAGACTTCAGATTGACAACCTTTTCTTTATATGAACTCGACGAGACCAGGCTCGGTCATCTTCGCTCGAGGTCGTAAAGGTTGTCGTAAATTCTCAGAAGACCGAGAAAGGTGTGGAACGGGATGCTCTCGAGGTAAGCAGATACCTAACCGTTAACATCCCTGACCTCTTCTACCCTAGAAGCCCCTATCCAACGGTCTGTCCAAACATCCCACCGACGCTGCGCAAACGACCGCAAAAACGGAAAAATTACAAGTTCAACTGACCAAAAGGACCACCGAGAAGACGAACGAATACGCAGTCGGAAGTGTTGCGGTTAAGCGGCGAAAACTAGAGCCAGTGCAGGAGCCTCGTTCCGCTAGTAAGGTATGCCTGCTCCTCAGGATTAAACCGTACCATCTTCTCAACGATTTATTTTCCTAGAAAGAGACGACCCAGGCCAAAGTGACCACTACAGAGAATTCATCAGCATCTTCGGTAGTTACTTCACAGCTTCGCAGCTTTGCCATTTCGCCACCGTCTTCCATATTCGAGGTTCCGCGCGCCTTCCTACGCGTACAGTACGGTGGCAGCGACCAGCAATTCCTCCAGTATTTCCGAGCGGAAAAGGGCAACCTCTCCTCGCCAATAATCCGCCGACTTGTCTTCGCTCAACCTAATATGAACCCTGACATGCCGAGCTCCCCCGGAGCTCCTGGGATGATATACGCCTCAAGACATGAAATTGTTCAGAACCCTCCATGGACGGTTTTCTACAAGAGCACGTTGAAACCTGCCTTGTGGACGTACGTTGGGGAATACGAGAGTGTGGTATCTGGTCAGTTGTCGGCTGCTCAATTTTCGAGCCAGAAAGCCGATGTGAGTTCCTCAAAATGTGTCCTGATTTTGCCTCTCCTCCTAATTTGGTCCGAAATTATAGTTCAAGAAAGGTTGGGCTGAACAACTTATAACAGCAAAGGAGCAAACGGTCTATGTCAGGATGAGAGCCCGCATTGCTCTGCGTAAAGCTGGCCTTATCCCTCTGGCGGACGAGAAGGAAGAGGCAAGGCTTATTGAAAAAGAGGTCAAGGCCGTTGTTCGTAGCAGTGGGCTTCCTGTTCGTGAGCAGGACCTGATAGACGCGCTCTGCAGAGGCGAGGAGGTAAGCCTTCGACATCTCTGCGTTATGATTTGTTCTTAAAGTCTATGACTGCACGCAGAATATTGATATCATCCAAATGACCTGCGTGAAATATGACCATGAGTTCGCAAATGATATGATGAATAAGCTACCTCAATTTAACTCTGCACACCGAAAAGACAGCAAGAATGCAAATTCCTCCTCGCGGAGCTCTGCCAGAAGAGAGGCAACACAGACCGACAGGATGGCACCACAATCGACGCGTAATGGTAAAGTGGACACCCTGACCGCGGGGCCTGTGCCCTCAGAGGAATCACGCCTAAGGCGCTCTACTCGCGCTCGGGGTAATGCCCGCTCCTCGGTCATCGCCAGCATGGATGACTCAGATCGTGGCTCCATGAGCCCTATAGAAGCAGATTCAAGACGGCGATGATTCTTGTTTCTGTATCGACTTTTAATAGAATGTAGCACTGCATCTACAATATCGCCTATCCTCACGTCCTCAACAGTCATCAACCACATCATGTCAGTCTTCACCTATATATTTTCCTCACAACTTCCAGGCCTTCTTTCTCTCCCTCGATCCAATCCCGGAACCCGCGCAAGGGAGGGACTACAGTACAAGTTCTCATAATGCACAGGATTTTCGGAGAACCAAATTGCATGACCCAGGCAAAACGCCTTCTCATAAGGCATAATTCTGGTAGTCACCGACGTTATGCGGTATGAGAACTTGTAATAGCACCGTGTTTGTTTGTGCCGTCGGCCATTTTGTCCGGATCGCGGTACCAAATGGGCAAACCGCGGTTTAGCACACCCAACACGCACCGTAAGCCGCGTTCTCACGTTCGTTATCTTTCCTTCAACCACCAGCGACACAGTTATCCGCCATCCTCGCTCGTAATGTCACGAAAGCAGAAGTACGCATCGGCATCTGCAAAGTTGAACAAACTATGTTGATCTGACAGAGGATGAATCCGCCAGGGCCCCTAAAGCGAACAACAAGAAAGCAGAAACCTGCCAACGTCCGGAGGTCCAACGCCTACGCGCAAGACTGCGGGAGGCTGAAACTGAAAAGGATCGTCTAGCGTTGGAGCTATCGGAGACGAAGGCCCACCTCAAGGACACACAGGCTTTCCTGGGGCAAACTATAATGGCAGCTAGAATGGTGTGTACTACGCGAATCCACTTTCATGTCTCTTTCTCAAATCCTGTATGCAGGAGCCTTCGACCGCCGCATCAGCGTCGTCAATGTCTGTAGCACCTGCGGAACCTATTAACGGAGCACGGAAACGGGTGAGGCAATCCGATCTTTCCTTCTGGGCAGGCGTGCTGAAAACCTTATTCCAGAGTCGCTCATCTTCAATCACATCCATCGACAATGAATCCGCACCGTCTTCAAAAAAAGCAAAGAAAAAAGCAAAGCCAAACTTACCAAAGGCGAAGCAATCAACGAGAGGCAAGGCGAAATCTTCCCCTCAGCCACCAGGTCGTAAGGTAGGCACGGAGTGCAAACCTCGCCTGACAGACGTGACAAGCCCCAATCTCAGACAAAAAATCTTAATGGCGGTGGCAAACGGAAGAAAAGCAAAAATCGAGCCGCGCAGGGCCCTAGAAAATGATAGGTCTGAAAACCCTGCTCGAGCAGATTTTTTGTTTTGGGCGTTTTGGGAGCGCCATTAAGCTTACAAGCATCCAAAATCGTCCATTTTTACGTCGTCTCCCCTTCTTCGTTGTCTTATGCCCACCATCGTTGGGTCCCTGTGTTAAATTTCATTCTAAAAGTAGCGTTACCTCATTCAAGTAGATGGAGTGAAAAAGCGGTGGGTTACTGCTCGGATACATAGGGATGAGGTGCTCAAAGGCCGCGGTTCTCCAACCCTCGTCTAGCTCCAAGGTCTCGACTGGGTGTAGGTCATTAAACACATCCAAAATCCAATTTAAATTCCTCTCAACGCATTTTGGGTCTCTTCCGTGACCAGGCAAAGGCTCCACGCTCGAAGCGTGGGTTGGGGTGAGGGTTGGCATGTCTGGTGTGGCGGACTAACACATAGGACATTTACGGGAAGGTGATGGAAAATTTCTTCCCCTGGGAGCTACAGTCCCTAACTAACTTACCCTACTTCCAGGGGTATTGTGTTGTACTGGCCATCTGAGGAACACATCGAAGTTGGTTTGCTGCGAAGTGCCAAACCATACCCCTGAGTCATGCCGCATTCTCCGCGTTGTATGTCTGACCCCACTGGTTGCTTTCTATTGTCTCACTAGTCCTTTAGTACCTCTCCCCGTACTTGAATTCACGTGCTATGGAACAAAAGTCTAGCTTCTGGTCTATCGTGGATACCTCAGGAGGTCACTCGTGGCATCCCCTATGCCTGGGCAACGGCCATGCCCAGTTTCATGCGAAATTCTGGGAAAAGAGCATGGAAGACGAGAGGGACATATGGCGACAGTCCGAAGGGCTTCCACCGCTGAACAAGTCATGACGAAGATGAAGCCAAGGTTGACAGAGAAGTCAACATTCTTCCTGGATGCTACGCTCTCAACATTGGTATTCCGGGCTTCAGCTACTCCTCAATCTGGATCCGTGCTTATGGTGGTCCGTGCTGGACAAAAATACAATGTAAATGAATTTCAGTGATGATTGTGGCAGAACACGGAAGAAAGTCAGGGAATGGTCACGATAGCCAAGGAACGGTCATGATTGTTGAAGAATGTTGACGTTCTTTGACGATCCGCACAGAAAGTTACCTTTTTTGGCAGGATGTTAACAATAATCAAAGAATGACACCCCGCAGAATGACACTGTTTGTCGCCGATCCATTGACAGAGGCCAAAACAAATGAGAATTTGTCTTGACATGGCCTGACCTATTCCAGTTTCTTCAAGAATCTCTGAGACCCTGAACTGCCTCCATGATGCCACACCATGTGTGGGTTTCATGTGCCATGAAGTTATGTAACATATATACTGTTGTAAACCCCCATAAGCTGTATAAAATGCAAAAACAATAATATGAATAACAGTCCCTCATCCATACCCAGCCCTAGGCATATTCCCCAGCCCAGGAAGCATCTGGACTATTTAATATAGGCACATATATGAGTGGGAAGACCACCATCCAGGCTTTGGGAGTGGCAGGATATACAGTATCATGGTGAGTAATTTACCTCTCCTTCTACCCCTCTTCCACACACCAACATCAGGAAAAACTGAGTTTCCTGATCAGCCTCAGTAAGCATGAATAAGTCACAATAAGTTGGACCCTTGCTGATCTCACCTTACTGGCATTCAATAATGTAGAATCAGCTGCTAATCAGTAAGAATCAGCAGTGAGGAATGCTTATCAAGGGTGAAAAAGTATTTCATAAGAAAGCCCATTCACTTATTCAATGCCACTCAGGAATGCCAAAAGGTCAAGGTTTGGAAAGATATTAAATCAGCTTAAACTAACTACATAAACTCTTCTGTAAGTCACTCACTGAGAAATACAGAGAAGCATAATAGAAACAACTGTTGTTTCCACCCCTGCAATCCTCCTGTCTGTTTCCTGCACACCCAAACACCATCCTCACTGTCCACTAGCCTACATGCATCGCTATCATCTTTGCACTGTGCTCACACTCGCCATCATCCTCGCGCTGCATTCACCCTTGTGGTCATCCTCACGTTGTGTTCACCCTCGCCTCCTTCCTCTTCATCATTTGGAATTGTTGTTGTCATCAACTCGCTGGGCTTGTGGTAGTGATACTGTAGCTCCGGAACTGAGGGAGAGGAAGGGAGGAGATAGAGAAATGGGGGAAGGTGGTTGGCTGGTGACAAGGAAAGTCCCTCTTGAAGGGGAAGGGAGGATGTGCGAGAGCAAGGTGGGGCAGGCTGAGAAAGAGCCAGAGACGGTGGCGCGAGTAGTTGAGAGAGAGCGAGGGTGAGGGAAGGCATAGGTGAGGGACAAGTGGCTGTGATGTCATGTTGACATTGACGTGATCTCTTTGTTTGGCTGCAATCAACAAAGTCACATGTCAAAAGTTGAACTTCGAACTTCTCGATCCCACCATCCTTGCTCTCTCCCAACTCCACCCCACTCGTCAACTCCCTTACACCACCATTCAGCACCCCCCAAGACCTTCATGCGAGAGTTTTGCATGCATCAACTATGCCTGCTGGTGTCGCTACACCACGTACTGCGCCATGCTGCGAATTGGAGGGAGGAACATTGGCAACAGGGAGGACAGGACAAGGGCCAGTGGAGGTACGTCACAACACACCAACCACCTGCCCTCACTCATTGCGACCCCCCATCACCCCCTCGCTCTTTTGGCATGCAAGATTGCCACGGTGTGCCATAACCAACACTGCACAATGTGCCCACCATACCCCATATCCCCATGCCATGTCTTCAGTGATGAGGTCCCATTTGGGCACATCATGGCCACACACGCATGCACATTCTTGACACACTGCAGGAATGGGCACAGCCCTTGCATCTGCAGCACGGTGGTACGCCCAACCCATACCCCACTCACTCACTTCTAATGCCCATCAACCAGGCCAGGACCCTCCTGTGAGGTCCTGCATGTGGAACCTTTGTGCTCAGCAATGTGGGCATGAACCATCCACCATCTGGTCAGCCCGCTTCCCACCACCGTGATCCCTGGCCTTCTCTCTCCCCCTTCCTGTCATCCTAGCGACACCAAATGCGTTTGTTCAGCGATGTTAGGGTAGTTTCTTTGTTCCTAAATCACCGCTGCTGCCTCCCTTGGTGTGTCACCTTTGCCTGCCCTCTCTTCCTCCTCATTTGGCACCCATATGCATCGACCAACCACATGCCACTTAACGGTGTCAGCATGAAAAATACTTTCACTAGGGTTTACCGGAACTTGCTTTGTTCAGGATATTCCTATCGTTCAATGAGGGAGGTTCCACTAATCAGTTTCGACTAGAGTGGTAATATTTGTAGATGGGTCTTAGACAGAAGTATTGTTCTAAGTTCCAAGATATAAGGATGTAATTGAAGAGTATTTGTATAGTCTTCAATTAGTGTAAGTAAAATGTAATATTTCACTTAAGATAGGCACGTAGAATTAATGCCTGGGGATTCGATACTGGACAATAGGTCTTTGATTACCAGGTCGAAATTGGATTCAAACTTCAATTGGTAAGGAGAAGTTTAGATGTTGGAAGGAAGATGACAGATTTGGTGAAGATCTTGAAGTTGGTTGCTGTGGACAATGTTGATGTTGTCTGGGATTTGATACTCGACTAATTATTGTCTGGCGATTTCCACAATGACAATAATATCTACTTTGACGTTGAGATGGTGGAATATTTCGGCAAGGTACAGGACGATGACAGTTATGACAGGTAGCTTGGTAGTAGTTGCGTTCGCTTTGGTGGTTAATGGAAGTGCGGATAGTTGATTGATGTTGAAGACGGGAAGTAGATGACAGAGTGCGATAAGACGGAATGGTGTCTGTCAAGGAAGTTTTGGTGATAATTCAATACTGATGGTCTGCAATTGGTGCAGACTGGTTTACGT